AAAATGTTTAATCCCCAAAAGGACATCTAATAAGGAATAAAATGAGTATTTACTTCGATAAAAAAAAAAAAAACTCACACATATTTTTTGGTCTTAGGAGAGTTTGAACTCTTGATCTTCCACTTAGAATAAGAAGATCCCTACGAAAACTTGAATATACAATGTTCCAATTTAAAAAGAAAAATAACGATAAATTTTGATGTGGTAGGACTATTGGTCATAAGTAAGTCACTACCTGACACGTAACGAACAAATTCATTAATTAGTATAGGAATCATATTAAAAGGGGAGAGAAGAAGAAATGTTAGATAATTTAAAAGTGTATATTTGTCTAAAAAGTAATTTTTGTAGAGTTCTACTAAAATAGAAACATAAGTAATTAATATATTTAATGCATTTAATGGTATCTTAGTCCTATACTAATAGGACAAATGACCGTAAAGCTAATCTAATTCATATACTAATAGGACAAATGACTGTAACGCAAAACGATTGTGATTAGCAAAGCCCTTACTTTTATGTAACTTTTGTTCAACTTTTCAATATCTGCCCCTAGGGGCTTGGTAGAGTTGGTAAGGCAACGGTCTGGAGTGCCATATGTCTCAAGTTCGAGCCCGTCCATTCCCATTATATTTCCTGACTGAAATTGGTGCTAAGGTGTAGGGCCATCAACATCATCCCCAAATTTGTAACCTAGGCAACCTAGGCAGAAGTTCTTGGTGCCAATAAAAAAAAACTTTTCAATATCTTTCCATAATGAATAATTATTAAATTAATAAGAATATTATAAATTAACCTTATCCTCTTATTTTTCCCCCAATGTTTTTTCCACCCATGTGTTTTTACCATATGATGCATGATTTTATCCTAAACATACCTTGTGAGGTGTCAACCTTAACCATATCCGATACTAATCAAGTAATCATACTACCAATTTTAATTTAGAAGCAAGTTATGATTGACCGTCCTTGCAAGTAAATAGAACAAAAACCTTCCACATCCCCTTCTTTTCCCATCTTTTTTCACCACCCATGACTCATGAAGAAGCGTACTTTATACTTCTTTGTAATACACCTAATTTTAAAAGGATAATCTCAGTATTTATTTATTTATTTTAATTATATTTTTAATTATTTAATTGATTATTTGATTAATTGTTTAAATGTTTAATTGAATTAGGTATTACTTGATTATTTGATTATGTGTCTATGTATTATTTGTATTTGTCTATGTATTAATTGTTTAATTAGATTATGTGCTTAAATGGTATTTTGATTAATTGTAAATTAAATATTTTATTTTATTTTTATTTTATGGTTATGGTTAGTAGTAATGGGCCAACCAATTGGGGTCCCATGGACTACTTAGATAAGAGGTTGGATGTGTATGGATTATTATCCATGGATAGTTGTGCATAGATATATATTATATACATATATAAAAAGGAAAGTAATTTATTAATTACTTTTATGGTAACTTGAGTAGTAATATTTAATCTGATGTATATGTTTTATATTTAAATAATAAAAATATACATAAATTTGATACGTGGTATGTTTTAAGTTACTTTATAATATTATGTTAACTTAAGTATTATTGGATAATCCATTAATAAATAATGGAATGTGTATAATTTATTTATTTAATAAAGATTTACATAAATTATTTACGTAACATATTTTACTTATCTTTTTAATATATATAAAATGGAAAGTAATTTATTAATTACTTTTATGGTAACTTGGTTAATAATATTTAATCTTATGTATATGTTTTATATTTAAATAATAAAAATATACATAGATTTGATTTTGAGTTACTTTATAATATTATGCTAACTTAAGTATTATTGGATAATCCATTAATAAATAATGGAATGTATATAATTTATTTATTTAATAAACATATACATAAAATATATACGTAACATATTTTACTTACACTTTTAATGTATATAAAAGGGAAAGTAATTTATTAATTACTTTTATGGTAATTTGGGTAGTAATATTTAATCTGATGTAAATATATTATATTTAAATAATAGAAATATACATAGATACGTGTTATGTTTTAAGTTACTTTATAATATTATGGTAACTTAAGTATTATTGGATAATCCATTAATAAATAATGGATGTGTATAATTTATTTATTTAATTAAGATATACATAAATTATATACCTAACATATTTTACTTACTTTTTTAATATTTTAATTTTTTTTTTTTTTAAGTTGACTTGGATTGGGAAAATAGTTAGAGTTATTTTATTTAGCCTATAAATATATAGCTATAGGTTGTAAAAGGGGTTATAAATATTCACGTGATATATTCTAGAGAGAGAAAGTTAGAAAGGGAAGGAAAGAGGAAAAAAACCCTGTAGAGAGAAGATCAAGGAAGAAGAAGTTTAACTTTCGATCCGAAAGTTTAAGATAAGTTCTTCTTCTATCTCTTTCCCTTTGATTCGTGTTTCTGTACATACCTAGGGAATTCCATGATTTATTAAACATATAAAATCAAATAATTATGCATGTTTAATTAGATTAGAACATAGGTTTTATGACATGGTTCATATCTGTTCTTGTATTATGAATTCATAAATACATGATTTTGATTTGATTTCTGGTGTGAATTTTTATATGTTTAAATTATGTATTTTTCATATCCGTGGAATGATGGAACGTAGAAACATGCTTAGGATTCCTGAACATTAAATAGAAATTAGGTTTGAGTTTAAATAAATTTAAATAGACTCAATCATAATAATGCTTGCTATTTAAATGTTTAGACAAACGAATGGATTTAATCTTTTAAAATGTTTTAGCAATTGAGATTAAATGTGTTAGATAAATTATATATGGAGAATACTTATTTGACGGTATAATAAAATATTATCATGTATAAGATTCAGTTTGTGTAGGACATATGATATAGGAAGTTTAAATAAATAATAAGTCATTTCTATTTTATGATAATTTGATATCATATTATCATAGTTATTTCTGAATTGTTTGATGTATTTCCTTAATCGTTACATCAATTGTTGGATTGTGTGGTTTAATGTACGACGGTGGCATTCTAGGGACGGATTAACTTATCAGTTAAGTCCTACCTATTTTATATAAGGGAATGGATTAACTAAAATGTTAAGTTCTACTTATATTCAAGTCAGGTCAGCTGAATAACTTGAATGACTTATGGAAGATTAATTTATTATATAAGGGAATGGATTAACTAAAATGTTAAATCCTACTTATATTCAAGTCAGGTCAGCTGAATAAGTTGAATGACTTATGTAGGATTAATTTATACTGGATAGGATGGTTGCTAGATTATATATATATATATAAGTATGGTGCCATGATATGAGCTTGAGTCTCAGAATCAGTGGTTAGGGCGCGTATATCACCAGGGATGTGTAGATAGATATAGTATAGTTGTGTACTCTGGTAGGTTTAGGTACTCATGCCCACTATATGTGCGTTATGCATGCTTCCTTTAGTGTGTGTGTATATATATATATACGGACTACTAGTTACTGTTAGATTGACTAGGATGTATACGTGTATCGGATCTCTGCTTGAACTGTAGTAGAGTAGAACTTGTTTGTGGGCCTGACCCACCATTATTTTTCAGGTGTTCGTCAGGAGTAGAGGTTGTTCGTGCTGAGCGGGGATCAGTCTACTTCATTCTTCCGATGCTACAGAGGAGTTCCTTTATGATTCAGTTTCCTGATTTAGACAGTTATTACTGTTATTTGTTTAGTTTGAATTTTCTAGGGGTCCACACAGTATGGATTCCCGAGTTGTATTTTGGAGGATCAATTGTATTAGAAGAGTTTATTAATTAATGGAAATATGTTCTGAGGTTTATTATTAGATTATCATTTTAGTTTCTTGTCAGCATTTTATTTATTCTTCTTTATTTTTTTGTACTCTGTGTTCGTTTATTACCGATTTGTTTTTGATATCTTCGGATAAAAAAATTCTTATTTTCCCTCTCTTTTTTAGCATACTTCTCTCTTACTTACAAACATATGTAGTGAAGTGTCAACATTAACCCATATACTATGTCTCGTTTGGCATTCATTTTGTTTATTCTGTTTTTGTTTTTGGACTGTTACAGTTTCGATTTTAGCAACAAAAACATGTTTGGTGCAGTTTTATTTTATTTTATACAGTGCTAAAATACTTCGTGAAGATAAAATAAAATAAAACTGCACCAAACATATTTTTGTTGCTAAAATATTTCGTGAAGTAAATAATGGCCCAAAACCAAAACACCAAAAAATTGTTTTTTCTTGTTTTATAACCGTTCATGACTCAAAATCATATTTTACATGTATCTAATATTTTCACAGCAAAACATCGTTTTCAATTTCAAAACAATCTTACAACAACGTACCCCAAATATGTTTGTGTTATGAACTTACGATTTACTGTCCCAATAAATAAATAAAACACCTTCTTATCTTCTTATTTTCCATCTATTTTAACCATACCAAGCATACTTCTATCCTACCTACCAAACATACCCCGTAAAGGTATCAATGATAGTACTACTATTTGGAAGCGTGTTCCGGCGATTGACTCTCCTTGTACACGTCGTTGCCTCGAAACACCAATAAAAACGCCAGCAACTCGCTGCAAAATTCACATCGTGCCCCACAGAATTATTTGAAGGATATGCCAAATGCGTTTAATTGGCTAATCGACGAAGGACAAACTCGTAATAACACAAGGACAGTTCCAAGCACGCTCCCATGGTCAAACAAGCACAGTCCCACTTGAACCATCGACGTGTCATAGCAGTAATTAATAACAGTGATTATTCAGAAACTCCCAAATTTATAGTTACATCAAGTCAAGATTTTGACACGCGTACAAGTCTCAAATGCAGCACAACCGTCCGATCAACACTCTTTCTCAAAGGAGAATATCGTAATTTTATCCGGAAAACCGACTATATAAGGAGCAGCTACGGCACTGAATCAAAAGAGAGGAGGCCAAATACTCAGTGGCTGCCAAATACTCATTTTCGAGAGGGTGAGGTCTCTTAGGGAATGCAGAGAGATGAGAAGAACTTCGCTGTCTAACCCTGACCCGGGAGGGAGGTCCAAAAAATCCGCCGGCGACCGGAATTGCCACCGGAAACACGTCGAAGACGGGTGAACATCAGCCCACCACCACCACAGCTGTAAATCTCCCCCATTTTTAGCCCTTTTTGTTGTGTTTGTTTTTTTTCAAGAATTAGTTATCAGTATTAAAAAATGGCGGATAAGAGTGAAAAGTATCAAGGCCAGAGTCTGCTCCATGGAAAGTACGAGCTCGGAAGGCTATTAGGTCATGGCACGTTCGCCAAGGTGTACCATGCCCGGAATTTACAGTCCGGCAAGAACGTGGCGATGAAAGTAGTCGGAAAGGAGAAGGTGATTAAGGTCGGGATGACGGAGCAAGTGAAGCGTGAGATTTCGGTAATGAAGATGGTGAAACATCCTAACATAGTGGAGCTCCACGAGGTCATGGCGAGCAAGTCCAGGATCTACTTCGCGATGGAGTTCGTACGCGGCGGCGAATTGTTCGCCAAGATCGCCAAGGGACGTCTCCGGGAGGAGGTGGCCAGAAATTACTTCCAGCAGCTGATCTCCGCCGTCGATTTCTGTCACAGCCGCGGCGTCTACCACCGTGACCTCAAGCCGGAGAACCTATTGTTAGACGACGAAGGAAATCTGAAAGTGACGGACTTCGGACTCAGCGCCTTCGCGGAGCACCTGAAGCAGGACGGACTTCTGCACACCACGTGCGGAACGCCGGCATACGTGGCGCCGGAGGTGATCGGAAAGAAAGGATACGACGGAGCGAAGGCGGATATCTGGTCCTGCGGCGTCATTCTCTATGTCCTTCTAGCTGGATTTTTACCGTTTCAAGACGATAACATTGTATCGATGTATCGGAAGATCTACAAAGGAGATTTCAAGTGTCCGCCGTGGTTTTCGTCGGAATCACGGAGATTAATCACGAAATTGTTAGATCCAAATCCAAATACTCGGATTTCGATTGCGAAAATCATGGGTTCATCCTGGTTCAAGAAGTCAATTCCGAAATCTGTGATATCAAAAGAAGAGCAAGAATTCGAAGGCGACGTTGGGAAGGGGAAGGAAATAGAGACTCTGAACGCGTTTCATATCATTTCTTTATCGGAGGGGTTCGATTTGTCGCCGTTGTTTGAGGAGAAGAAGAGGGAAGAGAAGAAAGAGCTGAGATTCGCGACGACGAGGTCGGCGAGCAGCGTGATATCGACACTGGAGGAGGTGGCGAAGACGATGAAGTTCAGCGTCAAGAAGAGCGACTCCAGCGTGAGGTTGCAGGGGCAACACATCGGCCGGAAGGGGAAGTTGGCGATCGCGGCGGAGATATTCGCCGTGACGCCGTCGTTCCTGGTGGTGGAGGTGAATAAGTCTAGCGGTGACACACTGGAATACAATCAGTTCTGCAGCAAGGAGCTGAGACCGGCACTCAAGGACATCGTGTGGACGTCGCCCACCGGAGCTTGATCAATTTGGGTAATTGGTGGTCGTAAAATGAAGATTGTTGTCTGTTTAAAAGAATTGTTGTTGTTAATTAATTTGGATATTATTGAAATCGAGGCTAATTGAAGTCCCAGCTTTGCTTAAGTTTTAGATGAATTGAATCTGTTCTTGTGATTATTCTGTGTTCCTTTGTGTATTATGTTCCATCATCTTATCAATCATGCAATGAATTTGATGACTTTTGACCCATGTGCTTGGTGGTCTACTGTATTTGGAAAATGCTGATGTCATGCAAAAAACACTAGGGTAGCCAAGCAGCGTCTCATGTCCTTTATTCCATATGTTGTGTCTTTAGGTGCAATGTCGTAATTCAGTTGTCAAACAACGATATAACCCTTTTATATATATATATATATATATAATATTCTATTATAATGTAAGTCACATTAAGCGAAAATAAAAACCAAAACAAAACAAATTCAAGCAAAAGCGTGAAAACAATAAAATTAAGTTATATAAGTGAGAGTGCGCGGAGCATAAGAACGGGGACGCTCTCGGAGCGGGAGAACAACACCTGTTAATCTTTTATGTTTATAATTATGAATTTTCGTAAAGAAAAATTCAGTTAATACACATCTCTAATTTTTTTTTCTTACTAAAATGCATTATCTCTATTTAAAATTATTAACTTGTCATTTTTAGTTTAAATATATATAGTTATTAAGTTTGAATTTTTTTTTTTTGTTAACATAAAGGACAATAATAGAAAGATAATATTTAATTGGTTTGGTATTTTTAGGGAACAACTAATTTGGAGCATCAAAAAAGGGGATAATTGACAGAGGTAGTAACATAATTAGATTGAGAATTAAATTTAGGACAATACTTATCTATTTACTTAGTGGGTATGTGATCTTTATTGTGGTCTTATAACAACTGCACATGTTATCTCAAAATCAAGAAATTAATAAAAAAGTAAAACAATTTTTTGGGAAATAAATTCAATTATTTTGTGCTTTTCTTATTTATTACTCCTGATTTTATAATTCCAAGCAATGTTTGAATTTGTGATTGGTCCACAATCAATAGAGATCACCTATATATTCATTAGTGAGTAGACAAGTATTGCTCTTATATTTATATAGTTGTTGCATTGTTACTTGTTGCGTTAATGATGCAAATGCACGTGACAAAACACAAAATCAAAAAAATACACATGATAGGATCTTGATTCGTTTACTCTATGCCATTTTCCTTCTATATTTTCTTTGAATTTGTAGAAATGTTGTGCAAATTTGAAATTAACGGAAGTTGCTTAGGGCCGATTGTTTGGTTTGTTGCCAAATTAACTTTAAATTGGCAAGCATTACAACACCACAAAGTTTAAAAATCATAACTTACTATAAAAAAAAAATTTAAAACTTTGTTTGTTTATAATCTTTCCAATCTCTTATGTTGGAACTGCTAATGACAAAACTGTGTATGGTTTGTAATTTGAATGTTATTGGAGGGTGGCAAAAACATTATTGGATTTCACAATAGGATGAACCAGACTATGACATTTTGGGTTTTGTAAAAAGAAAGAATAGCTGTCCCGAGGGCTTGGATGAGTTAGTAAGGTGAGGGCACAGGCTTGTATCAGTCAGTATTCGAGTCTTCCTATCTCTATTATTACTCTTGATTTAAAATGTTATTTGTACTGTGAGATCGGAGTGAGTAGTTGAGATTTATTTGATAGTTACATGTTTAAAGAATGGGTAATTGCCAGAATTTTTACGTCATCAAAAATAAATAAATAAATGGCTGTGATGGTTTACATGATGTAAGCTTGTTTTCAATTATTGTTTAACAGTAAGTACAAAAAAATCTGAGGAAGAAAACTATCTTCCTACGCTAGGGTTGTAAAGTTGGCTTTGTTGAGATAGCCACTTTATTATTGATGAGTGTGGTTCTTGTCACGCAACGCTATCACCTTTTCTTTTTAGGTTCAGCAACTTATCCATATTTCATATCCACTGACTTGATTTGTTCACACATTTTTTACTATCACCTCTGTCACGTAATCCATTATCATGTTTCAAATTAATAGTTCATTTAGAAAAAAAAAAAACGTCAAAACAAATAAATTTTATTTTTTTATCTTTTATATTTTTTAAAAATTTCAAATTTGATAATTATATTTATTTAAATTAAAAATGATAAATTGATAATTTTAAAAGGAGACAATGCATTAATTATATATTTTTGTAAAATTTCAATTTATAAACACGGACAATTAATATAAGACGGAGGTCCAACACTTTGAAAATTGTTTGTGAGTCACAATTTTCAAAATGTTTAAATATTTTAAGGCAAAGAGAGTAGCAATATATATATATATGTGTGTGTGTGTGTGTGTATTAGGTGTTTTTGGAGTTATATGAACATGAAAAGTAGTCTCATTTTTTTCAATAATAATTCTATAAACCCTATAAGAAATTGATAAAATCTCCACCCACATACGGACCTAGGTATTTGTATGAGGGAGGCCATTATTGCACCGGTTCCATCCCTCCCTCCCTCCATCGTGACGGTGTATTCGTCATTGCGCGCACCACCCACTGCAGCTACCGCCTCACAACCACTATGAGACAATTCCGGCTAATAAGTACTATAACATTAGGTGCTGGTCTCAAATAATTAACACATGTATATATCATGCAACTATTATTTAAGAAGAAAAACTTTACTGTACAACAGACGTATCTAAACCATTCTTGTAATATATATGCCTATATGTATACGTATATGAACGATTACACGACGTAACAGAGCAATAAATTTTTTTTTTTTCCTTATTTGGGACACAAAAAAGGGTCACAGTTAAATTCCTATCAAGACTAAGTAGTGGGGTGTCCCATTTGAATTTGTTGAGAGTGGGAAACCAGTTTTATATATCCAACATGTTATTAACTTCCTTAATTGTGTTGAAAGACACAATGCCTTGGTTTTCATCACACCTCATCAAGTACCTTTCAAAGATGCACCCTGCATTTAATGGTCCGTTAACTTAAATCCTTTATCAAACCAACATTATCATTTGAATAATTCATTTTCAACGAACTTATTTAGACCAAAACTCTTACAGTAACATGTACCGTGGTACACATATTCGTGTAAAAGAGTTCTGTATGTCTACGGTCCATCATTTCAATTGACTTAATTGAAATAATTACGTCTAACTTTTGAACTCTGTACCAGAACACCCTTGTGATTATTATTATTACTAGCGGTGTTAATTTTTTTTTTTTAACTGCACACTCATCAAAGTCCACTAAACCTTGTTTAAATTGGAAGGGAAAAAAAAAAAAAAATGAAGTTTTGCTTGGAGTAGACTCCTAATGTTCAAATTGAGGTTGTGTTTAACACAGTAGTAATCCCGGCTAACAAGTACTATAACATTAAGTACTGGTCTCAAATAATTAAAATATGTATATATCCTGCAACTACTATTTAGGAAGAAAAACTTCATTGCACCTGTTGTACGAGCACATTTAAACCATTCTTGCAATATATATGCATACACATTTATTACACACGCTGCGTATGAACAATTGAATACGCTAATTATATAATGCAACAGGAGTAATAAAGTTTCTCTCTTATGCATGGCACAAAAAGGACACAATTAAATTCCTATCAAGAGTAGTGGTGGACACCATTTGAATTTGATGAGAGTGGAAACACAGTTTTATACACTACTCCATGCTTTTTATAATAAAATCATCCACAAATAAACTTCCTTAATCGTGTTGAAAGCCACAATGGCCTTGATTTTGATCACACAATCATCAGGTACCTTTCATAGCAACTAGTCTGCATTTAATGGTCCATTAGCCTAAATCCATTATCGAACCAACATTACCATTTGAATAATTCCTTTTCAACGAACTCATTTAGACCAAAACTCTTTTAGTTGCGTGTACCGTAATATACACATTCGTGAAAAATAGTTCCGTTTATGGTCTATCGTTTCAATCGACTTAATTAAAATAGATACGTCTAATTTTTGAACTCTGCATCAGGACTCTTGTGAATATTATTATTGCTAGTGGTTGTACTTTATTTATTTATTTATTAAATGCACACTCATCAAATTCCACTAAACCTTGTTTAATTTGGAAAAAAAAAAAAAAAAATTGAAGTTTTGCTTGGAGTAGATTCCTAATGTTCAAATTGAGGTTGCGTTTAGGGTTTTAGAGCTGGAATTGAGCTCAGATAAACCCATCAACGTCCTAATTAATCCAGTACTTGAGGTCATCCATAGCATCAATTATGTTGTAAACCCTATAATTAGGAGAATGAATTAGGTAGGGAAAAAGCTTTTTCACCTCCTAGTTAAATACTACTCTTTGACGAAAGCGAAAGCTAGAAACAGCTGATGAGATGACACTTCACTAATCAAACGAATTAAATATATGAAGTTTGATTAATAAACAATAGTGATGATTGCAATTCCAATCTTTCAACAATATATATATATATATATATATATATATATATATACTACAGTGAAAAAAATTAATGTACTACTGTATTATTTTTCTTGGATATATGAAAGCTCAGAGAGTAAAAATAAGGTAAAAAATATTGTTGAGTTGGCAGAGAGTCAATTTGGTCTTGCTAGACAAAACCAATATTTGATTTTGAATCAGCAACGATGTGATTAGTGCACTTACTTAATTATAGAAAAGCGTTATTTTAAATTTTATATTTTATGGAGTGCATTTAGTGCACTTACTTTATTTTTCCCAAACAACTAATATATATATATATATATATATATTTTTCGTTAGTGGGTCGTCTTTTAATGCATGTAATTAACGCATAGTAATGCGGTTTCTTAGGTTGTGCTTTAATTATCAGGCAAATTGGTAGTCAAATGATCTGGTATGGTTGTAAGTTGAAAATACAGACATTAATGAAGAAACAAGGTAAAGCTTGTAGACCATATTTTTCAGGTGAGAAGATGGGACAAAAAAACTAACATTAGGTCTCCCAAAACAACTAAAACCACCCAGTATTCTAAAGTTCTGTAACTTTGGTCATCCTATTCACTCAGTCCTACCAAACAAATATAACATCATCCATGTGTTCTTATCTTTTTGCATTTTTTAAGAACATCTCTCTCCATATATATATATATATATATATATATATATAATATGTATATATATATATATTGCTTTTTGGCATTAATTAGTAAGAACATCTCTCGCTACACACACATATATTGCTTCCCTGGACACACACAACATTTATCTCTTACACACACTGACACACACACACACACACACACACACACATATATATATAATGCTAACAAATTAAAAAATTCATCTCAATTGTTGTTCACATTCAGCCTCTTAGTTTAATACCCAGTCACTTTTTCATTATGATGCAATCTCTTCGTTGGGATCAGGTTACCCTACCTATTTGGAACTAGATCAAACACTGAATTTGACTTTGATACCAACTGTAACAGATGGACGCTTACCCATTTATCAAAAAATTGGAATTATTAGGTAGCGCTGCATACCCATTCATTTATATCGAATCAAATTTCCATCTGGATTCAATGTGAAACAAATGACCTTTGTTACATGTAACCACCAGCACATGAGAATTTGTAACTTTGGTAAATAAAATTTTAATTAAAGAGGTTAACAATATATATAATGGCACAACTAATCTCAACAACATTTAAAACGTACTTCCATGTGCATAAAAAAAATTTTAAGGATGTTATAGCAATGTAATCTTGCAATTAATTGATGTTCAACAACATTTAAAATGTATTAAATTAAATATTGATATAGTATACTACATATTTGAACCATATAAAATGACAATCCACAATAATGAACTTGTTAATCACAGATGGGTGTTGAATAAATAATTAAAAAAATCTATGATTACCTTAGATCCTTTAAAAATGACAATCCAAGCTGACAATTAAGTTTGATTTATACACAATAATGAACTTGTTAATCACAAATGGCTGTTGAACAAATAATAAAAAAATACTATGATTACCTTGAATCCTTTCAAAATGACAATCCAAGCTGACAATTAAGTTTGATATGAATCGTACCGATCAACGAACGATTGCCACCATATGTCCATTATTTAGTTAATTTAACATGATTAAAATACTAGAACAATATATATATATATATATATATATATATATATATATGTGCATATTAGTACAGTGCATATTAAAGCCCTCATGTGCAAAAAAAAAAAAAAAACACACCCTTAGAATTTTAATTTGGTGCAAATTTGGTTCGTTCCTCTTATTTTTATTTCTCGAACCGAGAAATCCATGAATCGGGATCCTAATGCATATAGATACAAATGGTCTAATGGGAGCAAGAATTTTCAGGAACATTTGGAACATTTTGTTTCGGAGCAGAAAAGTCATTTTTAAGTAATGTTCGATCGATTACGTATTAATCAATATTCAATTGATTGGTCTGAGGTTATCGACAAAAAAGATTTGTCTAAGCCACTTCGTTTCTATTTGTCCAAGCCACTTCTTTTTTTGTCCAAGTTGCTTTTCTTTTTGTCTAACTCACTTCCTTTTTTCTTTGTGAGTTTCGGGAATATCCCCATTCATAGGTTCGAGATCTACGTCTATGAATTGAAAGGTCCCTTTGACAAATTTAAATTCTAAGTTGACTAAATTACCCTTATTGAACTATTTTATAAAATATATAAAAATAAATAATTTTATAAAATGACACATTATTGTAAGATGTCCCTCTCGTGAAAAAAATACTCCTAAAGTTTCAATTTGGTGCAAATAGATCCCTTTAACAAATTTAAACCATAAGTTGACTAAATTACTCTTATTGAACCATTTTATAAAATATATAAAAATATATAATTTTATAAAATGACCAAAAATGATACCATTGGAGGACGTCGCCAATGGACAAGTAAAGATAAAAATATAAAATAGAAATAAAAGTATAAAAGAAAAGTAAAGATAAAAATAGAAAATAAAAAATAAAATTAAGTGCAAATTAAAGAAAACAAAAATTTTCCAAACTCCGAAAACCAGTGCACATTGATATTGGGATTTTTTTATTATTTTTTTTAACAGTGTTGGTACCAATATATATATAGTAAAAAAGAGTAAACTGAAATCTCAAAACATTCAAATCCTTTTTCTACAAATTCTCAAAGTTAAAAAAAAAAAATGTTTAGAGATATATAAAGAGAAAAAAGTTATATATATATATATATATATATATATATATATATATATATATATATAAAGTAGTGTGCACATAATATTCCTGCACTCTGAGATTAGTAACATATATTCTCCCTTAGACATTTTAGGAAGAGTAAAATGGCAAAAGGGTATTATAACATTAATTTATGTTAGATCGGTATTTTTGCACAATATAAAAAAATTAAGAGTGTTTTTGCACTTGTCCCATATATAAAATTTACTAAATTAAATATTGAGATAGTGCTACATATTTGAAATATATAAAATGACAACACACAATAATGAACTTGTTAATCATAAATGGCTGTTGCACAAATAATTAAAAAATACTATGATTACCTTAAATCCTTTCAAAATGACAATCCAAGCTGACAATTAAGTTTGACAGGGATCGTACCGATCAACGAACGATTGCCACGCTGTATCCATTATTTAGCTAATAACATGATTAAAATATTATATATACACACATATATGCATATTAGTGCAACCATTTGGGGGAGGTACTTAGATTTGTGATGTTGATTTCTTTATTATAAACAGTTTCTTAAACTTAAATTAGTACTAATTATGTAATTAGTAACAAGAAGGGCTTGGTAATGGATGTTGAAAGTCATAATAATTGAACCATATTATAGTGATGGTCTAACTGCCATCAATTATATACGTTCTTGGATCAACATGTAATTATGCTCTATAGTTCTTTAATTACATAAATTGAGGAATCATACCTAAATAATGTGGAGTGTCACACAATCATCCATTATTAGAATAGAAATGTATGTGATTTGGCTATGTGAAATGAAAACTAAAGTTGATTATAATTAGACATGACCACTTGATTAATTTGGTGACCAAAATGAGGCAAATGCATGGGCCAGGCAAGCGCAAATATCCTTGGGGGCCCACAGTTTAATAATTATTTGGTCCCATATGAAAATTGGAATCCAAAGGCTTGAAACACACAAAATAGGCCCACTAAACCCCAAACTTAGACTAAATATCTGTTCACTAAGACAAAATGGGCCACTAAGTTTCAAGCCCAAACCTCACAAATTTTTGTTCTAGCATCTTGTTATCTTCCGTCTCCAAAGACATCTGCCCACAAAAATTCGAAGTCCGAAAAATGATTCGTACTCTAAAAGTCGATGCATTCAATTGTTTAATTAATAATGTCACCTTCTATTTACATAAATGTTGTTGGATCCGACTTTTGGGCGCTGTATCACGACTCATGGTGTATTTGACACCATATTCTTGATTAATAAATAAATAATAATGATAATAATACATGAAAGGAGCACCAAAGGGCAGTTATTGTGATTAACCAAATGGTGCATTTGTTTTTGACAACAGAATGAGCTTGTAGCACCACCACAAGAACACAAATTTGCTGAAAATGCACATCAGAATTTAATGATTACTCTGGATATATGACTCAGTTTTCCTATATAAATATATATACATATACTTATATAATATATATATAGTGATGTACTAAACTGCCAGCTAAGTACCAAACAGAAGCAAGTCAAACTAATGTTATGAAAGTTATTTTACCCAAATTTTATGCATATATACGAGCAAGCAGAATGAAAATAGACAAAATACAATCTGTATCCTTGTAAATCATCTTTCCTCTTCCTTCAGTGTTATCAAGTCAAACTGATGTTCGTATAAATTTTCTTGAAAAAAAGCACGTATCAAACAATTTTTATGCAGATAATGTTCAAAATAACCAGTTTTATACATATACATGTACATGTGAATACAGAAAAATAGTGCCATTCTTGCAAATAAGATCAACAACACATTGCCTAAAAATCCAAAACTAAATTAAAAAAACAAAACCTTCCACAATAATTCAAAACAGAATTGACAAAATTAGTCTCTACAGACTAAAAATTAAATTAAAATAATCCATCCCCAATAAGCCAAGTTATTGGAGACAATCTAAGCCAAGTTATAGGAGTTTCCAATATCACCAATATGACCCAATGAAATAAAACTGGAGGGAAATATTAGTTGCATATGAAAACTCTTATAATGAACAAAGTACTAAATTCCTATTAGAAAAACAGACACCCTTGTCAAATTATTTGCACACCGAAAAGCCAAAGACCATTTCTCTCTGGTTCTGTTGATTTAGTCCCCACAAATTTCTTCTCTTCCTCGCCATAAACGTTTTCTTTTCCCAAACCAAGTTCCAGTTTCACCTCCTCAAATTCCTCATCATTCTCACCATCATCATAGTTTTTCCTTGTACTAAGTTGTAATGTTCGTCGCATTTCATTATCTACATTGATGTTGTCAACCACCCCTTCAACCCCGTCGTTGTAACTTACATCAATGACACAGAATGATCGGCCATCATACTCACAAGTGGAGAAAATCACCATGTCCTTTGCCTTCAATTCCTTTTCCTTCACGAAACGATTCCAACCCCTGGTGAAGACAAAGCTTTGACTACTCTTCCAGTAGCAGTATCGGAATTCCCATGACCTCATCAACCCGTCATAAAAAACTAGCGGCATGTTGGACACACCTCCATTTGAATCTTCTGAAATCGGAGGAAAATACTTCAAGGCATATTTCTTAGGAATGACAAGTCGGTTAAGCTTGCCAACATCACTAGGTGTTAGCTCCTTCTGAAAATATTGTCTGCACAAAGACCCTTTACTTGCATGCACTGGTGTCAAGCTGGGACCAACTTCAAACTCTCCCTTTTGAAATTGAGCCCTTACAAAATCTGCAAACTTGGATGGGTAGGAACCATCCTTTATCATATTCACTAGTGCGTCTTTATCGAATAGACTTTGAAATTTTGGTTCTTGGACAGTGATGTGTGTCCATGGAAAGTTTCGGTGAGGGTCTCCACTCCTTATTATGATGGCGGCACTGTCATAAGCCATTGCAGCCTCTTTCTCTGATTTAAATGTCCCGAGCCAGATTCGCACGTGGTTAGCATATATCTGTGCACCCCAGTGGCCGTTTGCTTGACACACAACTCCTTTGAATCTGGAAGTGGAGACACCGTTATCATGTCTAGGACGCTTGTTAGACTCAATACAGTAATTGCGTCTGTTTGAATCCGAAACTTCACCAGTCACATTTGTTGTAGAATCTGAAATCATGCTCATTTCTTCTTCCCTAGGGAATTTGAGGAAAAGTAAGTTGATTCAAAAAATCGGGATAAATTAAAATAAAATATGCAAAATAAAATTAAAACAATGATGAGCAAAATGCGTTCCTGGTAATGCCAGCCTAGGTGTCCATTGTCATTAGGATAAGCGATTCAACAGAAGGTGCTTAGAACGAGATCAAGAAATTTCTCCTATAATATACTAAATTACAAGAGTTCTAAGCATCTACTTCATCAAGGTCTCAGAACTTTCCTATCCAGCATCATGGAAAGCAATCAGTTTGAAACTAAAAGAAGGGGATATCTGGTCTTCATTAACTGTCAACAAATTGCTTTCCCAAACTCCACTTGTTTCAAGATTAGAACATAGCATAAATTCAAAACACTATGTGTTGATGTATACGTCCTACTACTACCTTTTTTTGCCATTGTTTTGAAGGTGACCCGCATCTCAAGAATTAGGGGAGAGACAAGTAAATTTTAAAGATCTATAGGCTTACACCAAGAATTGAAAATTATTTAAAACTTTCATCCATATATTCAATTGGAACAATTACATTGTTTTAGTTTATTAAACCAACAGGGGGGCGACCTTTAAGTTGGAAGAACTGTGGAGATGTACTTTGAAATAAAAAGGTTTTAGGTTGCCTAGGACCTAAGAAGCACGGACACTTCTATGAGGTGTCGTCCGTGTTGACACCGACACTTCATGGACACTCCTTGACACGTCTCTGACACTTCATGACCATGTCCATAATTCAAAAATATTTTTTATTATTTTGGACACTTGATCGACACATCTCGTACACTTGGTCGACACATTCCAGACACTTAACAACATATCCCACATTCGATATACAATAAGCATATGATAGTCCTACAAACAACATTATGAATATGTATCAAAGTGTCCAACCTCATTTTCTTTTAAAAAAATTGACATCAAACACGTCATAGCATGTAATATGAACAAAAACATAACTACAATTATATATAATACTACTATCATTTATAATATAATATATTCTTTAGGATATTCAAATAGCTTTACCTTCTAACTCATGTAACTTCAGTATAGAAATTATAAAGTAATTAAAGTTCTATAAATATTTTACTCAATAGATATATAAATATATTTATATTACCCATGTCCACACCGATGTCCTACCTTTTTAGAATTTGGCGTGTTGGTGTATCGTATCGTATCATGTCCATGTCCGTGTCCATGCTTCTTAGCCAGGACAAACAAAATGCATGTGATAAACTGGAAGCAAAAAGGATGGCATGCTAAAATTAACCACCAATAAATGCCTAAAAGTTTTCTTGGCAGATTACCACAGTTAGCAAAATCCCATATATAGTCATACATATAACAATAATAATTTCCGTTTAAGTTTCAAATATGATGAATAGTACTTGTATATTTAAGTTGAACCATATTATACACGTATTAAACGCGTTAAATATTATATATTATGAAAAATGCTTCACTGATATTCAAAAAAAAAAAATTTTTTAAAAAGAAAACTATATTGCCTTTTTATTATCAGCATAACCGATAATTAATCCAACCGCTTAATTTTTTTCAGTACCACCAGAACTGACCCAGCTTGAATTGAATGAAATTTAAATTTGTGCTTAAAAAATGGTATCTACTAGGATATGTTTCATAAAATGGAGCAAATCGAATTGACTTGAATGGTATTATTGATGACATCAATTTTCATTCAATATCATATTCAGCAAGAAAGATCATTTAAAATCTTACCAAGTTTCTTTGATAAGGTATACCATTAACATTGCCTGATAAACACTTACAAAAAGTATAAAGTTTGGTTATACGCAGCCACATATACCCTCCTGATTATAAGAAAAAGAACATTTACAACTCTATTAAACAAAGTCATTGTTTGGATATGTCCTAGTCTCCAAGTATAGTTGTGGTATTCACTTCATTCCCTTGCTTTAACTGTTCAATGTTTAAGAAAGTTATATAAAGTTAAAGCTAACGACCTATCAACGCAAGATGAGTTGTTGCTGTTGTCTTTTTTTCTATTTTCCTATCGCAAGATGAGATAATTGGGCACTACTTCATAGCAATTCAAAAGACACCCATCTTCACTGTTCCTACTCCTAAGGAGCAACTGTGTCAGGTTCTCACTTGCAATCTCAAGTTTGGAATGTTAGGATGAAGCTGAAGAATGCTTGGACGAAGGCCAAGTATTGAATGCTAGTCTTTTTCACATGAAGAATAAATTGGACCAATATGTCTTCAATACTGATAAAAATGTCGCTTAAACGAATTGATACCTTGGACATATTTAGTTAAACATCGGTCAGATATGTGTAACATAAACTTGAATGGCCACTTGGATTGAATAGGCCAAAATTGGTCTGATGGATTGAATATGCAATTGAGCGGTTAAAGGCCAAACACCTCTTTTTAGGAAAATAGAATATTTGGGGGGACATGTGTCCATCACCGGAATGAGCAATGGAACTGTTTGAAACGTCCCTCAAGTGCTTTAGCACACCTATAAGAATGAGGGATGACTTTCAAGGAAGACGTCCTAGCACCAACAAACACCATGTCTTCATTTTTTTTTCTTTCATGTATCTTTAGCCATGGTACTTCAATTTCCAATCCAGTAGCCTAGACTCTTGTAAAATTGTTTTTTTACTTCTCCAGCTATTGCAGTTTGAAATCTCTTATGCATAACGGAATTCGTCTTTTAAATCCCATGTCTTTTTACATGCCAACACATTCATTTGAACCATCATAAGTTCATCACTTACTACTTTCCATCTCAACACCACAATCAGGCACCCGGAGACATATTAAGTCCTTGGCATCAAGGCAAGGACAACCTAAGAGGGACCTCCCTTGCCTCCTTACAATCGCTTCATCATCCACACCACAATTTCAACAGGTCGTCCCAAGTCACACCTGAACTCAAGTCCGAGCCAAGGACTCTGGCACGCCCAAGCATAAACTCGAGGGCCAAATAAAGTCACCACCTAAATGATAGTTAGTATCCAAATTACTCCGAGTAAGGTTTCCTAGTCGAAATCTAAGAGCACATCATTAAAATAATCCCAAGGATAACAATCTTAATATTTTTTTTGCCCTGAATGCATCAAATCTGGTGAAGTGCACATTAAACTTAATACTTAATGCTGGTTGTAAATTTTAAAACACCATGAAGAGGGCATGTCCATAGATATATTAGAATATAACTAAGAAATTTAATAATTAAATTAAATATATCACAAAGAATCTAATACATGGATTATTTACCCCCAAAAAAACTAGTACAAGGACAGAAACCATTGATGCAGTTGCATATTCAGGCAAAAGGGTCCTATCCTTTTTGCCCGCCTAATTTTTATGCTTATCTAGTCACTTTATCATCTTTTAACAACTTAATCTTCTATAATATCAAATGAAATCACATTCTAATTTCAAAATACTGATATCAAAAAGAAAAAAGAAGAAAAAAAAAAAAATCAAGCACATAGTGAAGTAAAATGGTAAAATACACAAAAAGCAAATAAAAATAACATGAAAGGGAAGCTCAGCAATATTACCTGAGTAATTATGTTTCTGTAAAAGAAGGTATGAATTGCTCCCAGCACCAAGCAGTAATTGCTGTCAAACAACAAAATCATGTTTTAATACATATACATATAATATTAGTTTTATATGTAATCAAGGAAAGGACTTGGCAAACAAGAAAAGGGCGCCTCGAAAAAGGCAATAAATATAAATTTTTAAAAATTGATTAATTGAAGTAACTTTCTGACCTGTATATATAGAATTTTCTCCCTTGCCCATGGCTTTGATTTGATACGAATATAATCGGTGTGGAAACAATGAAATATTTCCATATTTAGCAGCATCCATGGTCCTATCCTCTAAAGTTTCCAAAAGGGTATTGTTTTCCTTCCAAGATGGTCCACCATACCATAACCAAATCCAGGAGAAAGAACTTTGAAACTGTATTAGTTCAAACAATTGACAGACAATAGGAGATATGTTTGTATATATATATTCATATATACGTATGTAATACACACACCCAATTCTTCTTTTGAATAACTATATGCAAAAAAGTAAGAATTGGAGGAAAGAGATAGGAAAGGAGGTCAAAAACACAATGTGTGTGTGTGTGTGTATTTATCCCAAAAATGCAGTTTTTGGTTGAGTCTAAGCAGGCGTACCTTCCAAACCACTTGGTCCTTTGAACTGAAATACTTCAATGCTGTGTCTCCAAGTACATAAATATATTACTAGTATTTTTATGTATATTAGTGGATTCACAAAGAGAAATTATTTATCAAAGCAAATATATATATAAAATAAAACCCACGGAGAGAGACCATACTTTGGTGTTGCACCATTTCATCGGGAAATCCCAATTACCCACATAGAAGAACATGAAAAAGATACTATTTTTTTTAGGGCATATCTGAGAATCTTCTAATCACAAACATTCTTAATTCGTATGCACAATTAGTGCAAGCTTAGCTCTAATAGTGTCTTTACGGATCGAATTTTGATGTCAATTTCATCCTATAACTCGAACATGATAATTTGTTAAACAAATTGGATATAAATTGTGTTTGATCCTATCAGACAATAATCCAATCTAAAATAATAATTATAGTATATTTCTTTGGTTTTGGGCTTCATTTGTTCATTTTTTGTTTTGGGCTTGACCATTTGTCTCCCTCCCATTTTTTATGTTTTTTTTATTATTTTGGACAAAACTTGCCTGAGTAGGTCATCCTACTATATAGTTTAATTACAAATGCTCAAATAATTTGTAATTATAAAATCATAAAAATAATAAATAAGAATAATAATTTTTTTAAAAATAAATTCAATCACCCTCCCTGATTTTTTTTTTTAACTTTCTATATTTAATAATTACAAACTACTTCTATATTTGTGATTAAACCACATTAACTATTAGTAAGAATGACCTAAGCAGGCCAAAAAAAAAATAATAATAATACTCCATAAATAGAGTATCTAATGCTATACTAAATGTATAGGAAATTGCACATATTTAATAGAAAATGCAAAATATAATATATCAACTTAACTATATAATAAATGATTTATAACAGAATAATTTTATAATGACGGATATGGAATTTCGATCGGATATATTTTTCACAGACACCAAAGTCAAATAACTTATCTACTTAAAATAATCCTTTGAAATTGTGTAATAATGTTTTAGCTTAAAACTTTTTGATTGTCTAATTGTACCTTTAGATTCACTTTGAACCTAGTAAGGGAAAAAAAAGGTTCTAACTAATTTGTGATCTCAATTTATTTTTTATGCCATCCTCACTATCAAAGTTAATTTTCTCTTCCATTATCTTTCTACTTTTATTTTCTTATGTCTTTCATTCCCTTTCAATCATTTCAAATTGGCCAATGCAATGTACAACCAAGCAGATCCAAACTTAATAAATTTAATTCTCACCAAAATTTAGTATAATAGCATATATTTACAGTTAAGATAAAAGTAATTTCAAAATTTTGACACATTGTAAATCACAAGCAACTTAGAAAAACAACTATTTAATTTATCAAATTTTCATCATCCCTAGTATTAAATCTTCTCTTTTTTATGCAAATTACCATTAGAGGAGTACCACTTATTTATTTATTTATTTCTGTGCATGTTTAGGGATAGCAACGAGACAGGTTTGGCTAAATCTTACTCCGCCCTATTAGAAAATTTATCATACCAATTCCGTCCCTACTCTGGAACAGGTTTGTAATTGTTATACCATCTCCACGCTTACTTCGATAGACAAAATATCGGTTCCGCCCCATGTACTCCGTTTAATTACGGGGTGCGGCAGGGGTGGGCCGAGTCATGCCACTTTTATTATGTAGTAAAAAAAAAAAAAAAAAACTAACCCAATGTGCTCAAATTTGGCTAATAAATAAGTTGGTCCAATTTTTAAATTACTAAGTATTGAATATTAATATGTTAATATGCACTTCTAATAAAGTAACAAGAGTCTTAAAAATATAAAATATATATTTTATATATAAAAAATTAAAAGATACATATATAATCGGGGCAGGGTCATCACTAAATCCGCCCCCACCCAAAACCGCTTTGAGTTTTCAATTATTTTATCATACACATTCCAAATCCATTTAAGGGCCACTAAATTCACCCCATTAAGGATGAGGACGAGGCAAAAACCCTTCGGGCCGAAGAAATTGTCATCGCTATACGTGTTACAGGTAATGACAACCATTTAATTATAGTATGTCCAGGAGAGAATAGTCTTTTTCAACCTGTCTTATGTCAATTAATTCACAATTTAATAAAAAATTCAAGTGTAATCGTGTTGATACGAACCACTTTTGTGCAACCAAACAATAGATAAACCGAACACGGATAACTAATACTTTTGCCGTTCCCCTTATACCGCAACCAAACATGGCGAACTCTTTCAATTTACAATTTAGGTACTACTACTATCCAGACACTTCTTCTGCTACAAGAAATCTCTCTCTCTCTCTCTCTCTGTGTGTGTGTGTGTGTGTGTGTGTGACTGTGTGTGTAGTTATGGCGGTTGAAGCTTACGCATCACAGAACCCTAATACGGTCCATGCCGATGTCCTCTCGAAAGCTAGACAATCCTGCTATAAGGTACTCCCCAATTTATTTCCCATTTCTTATATGTATGTATATGGATATATGAAATGAATTCATATGTAGAAAACTCAAACCCTAATAATCACTGGATTTTTTTTTTTTTTCAATTTTAAAAGGCGCGCGACGCTTTCTATGCTTGTTTGGAGAAGGAATCGAACAAGAAGCCTACAGAAATTGCATCAGTGGGGCTGCTCTACCCGGTCGAATGCAAGAAACCCAGGGATCAATATGTCAAACAATGCCGACCTACTTGGGTAATTATTTTGAATTTCATCTAATATAAGTTTGATTGTTGTTTCATCATTGTAATTTTGGGTTTGATTTTTGAGAAATTGTGTTTCTATAATACGTTTTGATTTGTATTGTAGGTGAAGCATTTTGATAGGCAATACTGTGCTAAGAAGAGGGTTCAGAGGCTGCTGGATGATAATGAAGGCAGGAGAGGTCCGTTGTCACTTCCATACACTTTCAAGCCCGCTAATTGATTTTGAAACACACGAGCACAAATTCGTAGTTTGAGCTACATGGTTTAACTGGGAATCTTTGTTTTTTGTTGGGTGAATTGATGAATATGCTGTGTAAAGTGATTAGAACTTGATACCAAACTAGTTATGTTTGATTAGTCACCTATGTAGAAGGAATGTAATTGTAACTTCTCTAATGGTGAACTATGGGGATGCTTATCCATGCTTTAGTATATCGATCTTGCTGTTTCGATTCAGAATGAATAGTTTGGCTATGAATTTTTCCTGTGTTTTTATTATTATTAGTATTTTTACTATGTTTGGAAGCATACAATGAGGAATACTTGATTTGTTACCTCATTGGGTTGGGTTGATCCATTTTGGCAGGGGTATAAAGCTTGGCCCCTTTGGAAGAAGAGGGAAGTGAAATCTTTTATCATTCACCCTGGTGACTTATTGGATGTCTCTGGCACTGAATCTTTCACGAACTTTTCAATTGAGATCAAGCAGTTCTTGATGGTTTCAGGCTTGCTGCATCTTTAGGAATTTGCTAATCTCGTCGAGTCTGTTAATTTTTGCATTAGTGGTCGAGTGTATGTGGACTTGGCAGAATGAAATTCTAGCATGAAGAATGGACATGAATTTTAACAATGATGTTATTTTGCTACTTGAATGGTCGTGTAGTTGGTATATTATGCATGATGTTTGCCTCTTCAAGATCTCTGCTGTCTAATTAGTTGGCATAAAGATTTGTTTGATATGTCCAATACTCCCATCTCATGCATGGTTGAATATTCCACATACAATTCTTTTCATATCATATGTTCTATGTTTGTGCATCACAACTGATCTATGAGCCAAACAAACTCTGATACTTAAATTGGGAAGAGGGAGTTCTGTTCTTATAGCTATATATGACTAATAGTGTGGGACAGTGCTTAGCTATTATCATTTGGAGCTGTGCTTATGGGCTGTCCAGGTTCAGCATTCGTATGCAAGTCCATCTCCCTACAGTTGAGCTTTAGATAGTGTCCTCAAAGAGTCTCCAATTCTTGCTCGATTGCTGTTTTTGGTTTGTTTCTTCGAAAACTGGAGACATGTAGAGCAGACACCTCTCATGGAGTTTCAGCTTGAAAGCTTGTTTTTTCATTTTATTCATCTTGAATTGAACTGAAAGATTAATAAATTTTCATAATGCAACTTCAATTAACATAATAAAGCCTTGCACCATTTAAGAACCATAGTCAGAATCCACTTCTAGAATCCTTTTTGATATAGCTTGCATTTTGCTCGGTGCAAATGTAACACTATATTGTTCAATCGATACAATCTTAGAGGCTTCTACCCCATCCACAGGCATGCCCCATGAGCTTCATTTGGCTAATTGAAATTTTCCTGCTTCAACCAGTTATACATGAACTCTTGTTCTGTGCACAGTAGGATATGGTATGCACACAAGTTATTTGTATGTGACTATGTGCCACTGTTTAACACAGATGGTACCAAGTTGGTCAAATGTAAATTCTGATTAAAAAGACTCAGATTTCAACGTTTTCAATTTTAAGATTGTGATAACTAAGAAAGAAAAAATATTTAAGATTGTAATTATCGTTTTCCAACTTTTGACATACATTACTATATGGGTTATATATTCTGCTATAGGTTAGATGTGGACTGCTCCCCTCAAAGAAAATTGAGATAAATAAAGAACAATAGTATATCGCATCATATAACCCCGACTTTTGTTTTCCTTTCCATCTTTGTTTTGTTTTGTTTTGTTCAGTCAGGAAGTTTCTGCTTTGAAATCTCTTGAATTTTATTTGTTGTTTTTAAGTTGTACATGTGATTTTAACGGCTTTGTGGCCTTCCGCGTGCATTCTTTACCATCCCAGATATGAATAATGCTTTTGGAATTCTAAAGAACACGACATCTTGATTGCATAGCCATGAATATAATTGGCAACTTGGATGTAGTAGAGGGTATTAGATTGGGTCCGTTGAATAATGACTGATGAAATTAGATTGACCATGAATACCCCTTTTGAACTAAATAAATTTCAGTGTACTCTGATCAGATTGTCAAGATCAACTTGAATTAAGTTTTAAAGGCTTGGACATAGATCCAAGCAAGACAGAATTTGGGTAAAAAATAAAAAATTTAAGACAAGTTGGATGAAAAATGATGAAAATATTAGGATGGTTTCACGACAACCACCAATAAATATTAGAACCGTGAGAAGATGGCCAAAACATTTCAATGCTCACAAGGATAATAGTAGTCTTTTTTAAATAAAAAAAAAGCTTGCCCAAGATTGTTTAGCCAGTGATTACAAATTTACTATCAAAGAAAGCAGCTTCACCAAGCCTAAGGTGTGCTTGAACAAATATTGTTTTGCAAAAGACTACTTTTGAGATTTGGGATTAGGAATTGCCTACCAATCCATAGTATGTAGGGTTTGACATTGTGATAAATAAATTGTTGGTGGGACTAACTATATTTATGCCAGTATGTCTACAACAAACCTTAAATAGGATCCTTTACAAGGGCTTGTAACTAGTATAGTAAAGCCATCATCTGTGTTTTGGCTCTTTGAAGTTGTAATTTATGTATTTTTGTATAGTTGCATTGACTATCACTTCCAGACTTTGTTCATGCCTTTCAACTTTCCTTGACCTTCAATGTTTTGTTATACTCTGGTTATTATTATTATTTTTTATTGGCAACTATTTGTATAGTACCAGCTTTCTTTTTCCCAATTGAATTACTACTATATACAGGACAATTGCTTTTATAATCTATAGCATTGGTAGATTTTTATGTATTGATGAGAAGTTATACTAATAACTGGCTCATTGTTTATAAAATATGGAACTGATGATGCTGCAATGCTTTGACAAGCTGTTTTGGCATACGTTCTGCTGATCTCAAACCTTGGCCTTGTGGTTTAGGATTCAAGCCAACAGGCCACAAAGTAAACCGGTCTTTGACAAGCTGTGTTTGTGACTAGATGCAGTGGACTCCATGTCTCTCGATATTTTCCTGTGCATATATGTGCATGTATATTATATATTCTTTTGGAAATGGAGATTTTCAAAATTCAATGAGGATTTTCGTAATCCCGAGCCTTGAATTTTGAAAATCCTCGTAATATCGATACAAATATTGATAATATAACTCTGTAACTATTAATTAGATAATTATTCACAGAGTCGATTTAAGGATTTGAAAGGTTCCGCCGAATAAATCAAAGTAATTATTAATTAAAATTAGAGTCTATACTTTTGTCATGCTTGAAAGTCAAATGACATGATAACGATAGAGAGCAATTGTATACAGTTATTCTTACAATGTATGCTGACCTATTATAATGTCAATTCTTTATTAATAATTATGAACCATTTATGATTGCTACTTATATTTCTTAATTGCTCACTCCAAAGTTTGCTAGTTAATGTTTACACCATACCAAATTGTAAGCAAAATAGCCCATGAGGCTTGGCTTGATTTGATGGTGGTGGATACATATTGAAACAAGACGTTTTATGCGAAATTGAAACTATCATGAAGTCTGCTTATTACCAATTTGGTTTGCTAAAGAAGAGCATTGGTCATTATTATAACAATTCACTCTACCAGAACAGTAAGTAGGCTTTCCAACAAGCTCAATCAAATGGGTACTTCTCCTAGGTTGGGATCTTCGGTGGTCGCACCCAAGGCTTGGTCTCCAGGTTTCCCAACCAAGTCTTCCTCTGAAAAGGCTGCAGCCAAGTCTTCCTCCTCCACTGGACTACTTTGATTGCAATACATCATTGAAATACAAATGTAGTAGAATAGGTTCCCAACACATAGGAAAACCAACATTTTGTAATAGTGATCGAAACGGCTCCAATTTATAGAGTCTCCGAATGAGGCTTGGAAAATTTGGACACAAGCTATGCTAACGAATTTCCCAATGCTTAATGCACACTCGGTGAACACCTGCTCGTAGATTCTGTACTCAGTTTTCTGACCAAACTGAGTATTGAAGAAATTTTTAAGCCCCTCTTCGGCTAGTCGTTTCATAACTCCCAACAAACAGTACTGTGGAATTAACCAATAGATGCTCATTGAAATAGTATGCAGCCTCCGAATCTCAACCTGTAAAGCAGTGACGCAACATAATATACAAGTCACCATCCCGAATCCAATTCTCACAAGCGTACACCGGTGTTGCAATTCTTTATCATGGATCATTTTTTTTAGTTGGTCGCATAGAACACCAAAAATGAGGTTTGAGAATGATATCACAAGAAAGAAAACTGTAGTTGGCAAAGTCAATCCATTGCTGCCAATCTTATCATTCAATTTGGCAGCTTGCGTGATGAAGAAAGTATTCCCGGTTGTCTGCACCACACTGTAGAAAATGAAGGTTGTCCACATAGGGACCATTCTGAATAAAAGCTTCACTGCCCTCACTTGCCTAACTTGGAAAACCTTTCCTTGATCAAATTGTTCTTGTGGACACTGAGGGGTAGACTCCAAAATGGCAGCTTTGTCTAACCACCTGCGATCAACCCAACACGTACATTAAGGCTGCTTCTATTACCACACACACACACAGCAGATGGAGAAGAAAGAGAGAGAGATGCAATACTACTACTACACCTTAAGCATCGATCTGGAGGGGACAGTATTAATTCTTCTTTGTCATTCCTGTGGAATTTAGTGGGGTCGCTAGGATAGTCGAGGTGGCGTTTCGAAATAGCTGCCTTAGGGATATCATATAGAAGAGTTAGGGGACTGTCCACCTTTTCTGGTGGTGTGACGTCAGTGTAAAAGGGGAGGCCAAACCAGAACAATAGATACGCCACTCCAATTGCAATTGCTGATACCTTGAACTTATACGCCCATGAAACATTTTTTGAAAGAGTAAACATGGATAAAATACAACCTGAGAAATAAGGGATTCCCCGCCAGATTTGTACAACGTTATTTATCCGTTTCACCTCTGTTGGTTCCACCTCTGTAGTAGGCTTTACAGACTCGCGCTTTCTTAACTGATCGCCAACAAATTCTTTCAGAGGCATTTTGAGTCCTGCTGTACCCAAAGCTGTTAGCAGCACTGCCACATAAAACACCCATTCTTCAGTTATTCGAGCATCTTCAACGCATAGTAGCACAAGTCCCTGCAAAAATTGCTTCTTGTGAGGCTTAGATTGAGCATGTGGGGTGGGTGTACGTAAACGAATTGGAGTGAAGGCTCGGAGTTTAAATAACTTCTTGTTGGCAGTACTAATATAATAAAGGAATTGTTTAGAGAATGAGTAGTTTGTACGAAAAAAAGGAACTTACAATGATATAAAGAGGTGTGGTGATGACAACCATTAGAAAACGTCCGGTCCACATATCTGATATGCGAGCAAGAATAATCACCATAAATGATGATACACCAGCTTGCAAATTTACAATTGATACGGCTTTTGGAAGATTTTGGCTCCCCCATTGACTTGTGATATACCCAATAAACACAGCAGTCACTGCATAATCTACTAAGCCACGGCTGAAATACAGGCCTAGATAAGAAAGCAGATATTACAAGAGGATTAAATCAGCAAATCAACTCCGTAAGATAGGAAATTAAATCAAAAGCCTGTTTTCAAAGACAATATATGTCCATCAAAAACTACCTAAGATAAATAAGGACGTCCTGGGAAACACAATATAATCACATAACCTCCTTTTGACTTCCTTATCCAACATCTTTTCGTGCTTCACTTCCTTATCCAACCTCCTTTTGTGCTTCACTTCCTTGGCCATATTAACTGTTGCAGAATTTATCTTCCTTTAAATTGCATGTACAATGAAACAATCATAAGAAATGAAAACAAATAAAGAGACCATTAAAATTAGGGGTGGCAATTCGGGTTCGCGTATCATAATCCTGTCGTATCAACTTAGGGGTATAACACTAAACATGTCAACCCGAACACGACACGATTAATAAACGTGTCACACATCCTAAACCCAAACACGACTCGTTTATTAAACGAATGACACGACACGACACGTGTAACCCGTTTAATAAACGAGTCGTGTTAAGACACACCAGACACGACCTGTTTAACCCGTTTATCCATTTAACATCATTTTCCTTTTCTTTTTCTTTTTTAAATTGGTAAATCTTATTAATATGCCATGTGAATGATTCAGATATATGAGTATGTACATCCAAACAAGATCCTAACTAATTTTATTGATTTTACATAAAGGTACATAAATTCGGAAGACTATGAAGGAGGGTTCGAAAAATCAGATATTGAGCAAATCTTGTCAAATGTAGAGTTCAATTTCAACAATTAGGCTTCACACTTTGCTTCTCTGGTTGTTGATGCAAGCGATCCTCTCTCTCTATAGAAATTCGAAAAGTGCTTGAACAGAATGAGGCCTGAAGCTGCACTCTCAGCAACAAAACTTGTTTTTCAGAGTGATGAAAGAGACACTCTCAAAAAGGTTACAACCCCATGCACCATCATCTTGACCACTAGCGACATCGTTGTACAGTCCTGTATCCCCGGCTACATGCAGAGGAAGATCAAGGGCGAAACCACGATTGAAATCATCGACACCCATCAGCAAGGTTTAGATAAAAAAAAATATTTAATTGATAACAAAGCCTAATAAACAATCAAACCCATTAAATCAGCAATCAAGCAGATAGATCGATCCAATAAACAAAATCCAAACGAAAAACAGTGGATTCATTATTTCATTACATAAACCATGAATCTTAGATAGAGAGAGGAGGACCAAAACAATATTTAGATAAACCATAAATAATTAAATATTTATGGTTTATGTAATGAACCATAAATTCGAAAAATCAGATTTTGAAGACTATGAAGGAGGGTTCGAAAAATCAGATATTGAGCAAATCTTGTCAAATGTAGAGTTCAATTTCAACAATTAGGCTTCACACTTTGCTTCTCTGGTTGTTGATGCAAGCGATCCTCTCTCTCTATAGAAATTCGAAAAGTGCTTGAACAGAATGAGGCCTGAAGCTGCACTCTCAGCAACAAAACTTGTTTTTCAGAGTGATGAAAGAGACACTCTCAAAAAGGTTACAACCCCATGCACCATCATCTTGACCACTAGCGACATCGTTGTACAGTCCTGTATCCCCGGCTACATGCAGAGGAAGATCAAGGGCGAAACCACGATTGAAATCATCGACACCCATCAGCAAGGTTTAGATAAAAAAAAATATTTAATTGATAACAAAGCCTAATAAACAATCAAACCCATTAAATCAGCAATCAAGCAGATAGATCGATCCAATAAACAAAATCCAAACGAAAAACAGTGGATTCATTATTTCATTACATAAACCATGAATCTTAGATAGAGAGAGGAGGACCAAAACAATATTTAGATAAACCATAAATAATTATAGTATTTTACCTAAACAAGAAGATAGATCCACGTGAGTTCACTGAGTTGTAGAAGAACGGAGGATTTGAGAGAGAAAGGGAGTTGTCTTTTGTCTGAACTCTGAAGAGAAAAGAGGAGAGAGAGACTGAAGAGAAGAAAAGAAAAATCCGCCGCTGCAATCTGCATAGTGAATCTAATGACTAAGGGGCTAAGGGCGTATAGTGATAGGGTTTCTTATGAGTTATGTATACTATGCGATGACCAAAATGTCCCTTATCATGCAAATTTACAGTTGATACGGCTTTTGGAAGATTTTGGCTCCCCCATTGACTTGTGATATACCAAATAAACACAGCAGTCACTGCATAATCTACTAAGCCACGGCTGAAATACAGGCCTAGAAAAGAAAGCAGATATTACAAGAGGATTAAATCAGCAAATCAACTCCGTAAGATAGGAAATTAAATCAAAAGCCTGTTTTCAAAGACAATATATGTCCATCAAAAACTACCTAAGATAAATAAGGACGTCCTGGGAAACACAATATAATCACATAACCTCCTTTTGACTTCCTTATCCAACATCTTTTTGTGCTTCACTTCCTTATCCAACCTCCTTTTGTGCTTCACTTCCTTGGCCATATTAACTGTTGCAGAATTTATCTTCCTTTAAATTGCATGTACAATGAAACAATCATAAGAAATGAAAACAAATAAAGAGACCATTAAAATACTCAATTCCATTGTTAGCAGTTCAAGGTGTTTAAAGTGACCCATTGGATTTATGCTGGGTTTAGTACGCAAGAAAAGAATGGAATGAGAATGAGAATATATTTGATGAATCAACATGATATTGCAAACTTCTTAAATATATAGGATGGATCGAGAGAGAGTAATCTACAGATAGGATTTCAAACTCTATTTGTATTTTTCAAATAATGACGGTTTCAAATAATGAAGTAAAAGAAAAAGAAAAATGGAAGCTTAAGAGAGTGAGAGAGAGACCAGCGGAAGAAGAGAGAAATGAGAGACCCATTGGTGGTCTCTAACTCCTTTTAAGGTGGTGGTGGGTCCCACTTTATTTTTATTTTATTTTCCTTTTTTCTTTTTCTTATTAATTCTCACCATAAACACACACACATATATATATGCACCAACTATATAATAACACATTAAATAAAATAAATATGATGCAAATAGACCCGACCAAAATCTCCGAGTGCAACAATTCCATTAGCGGGTCCCACATGGAACCGTCTGGCCCAAAAAATCGAAAAATACCAAAATGATCACCCTTGCATTTCAAAGCATTTCAAAGAGTCTTGAACTCAATGAAATGCCACAGACAACTCTCGGACACAATCGGCACACTGCACAGTGCCCAGTACGAAAAACGGCAAGAGACGAAAATGCCCTTGCAATGACAAAATTTTTGAAAAATTGAAAAATGTCGAAAAATGGAAACATCACACATTTGGGGGGTTTTTTGGCTTAATTTGAAGTAGGGGTCTCTAATTCCCACTTTCTTTCACCTTTGTGAGTTTTTTTTTTATATTAAAATTGTTATTATGTATACTTAATTTGAGTTGGTTGTCTCTTAAATGATTTAATTGTGTATATAAAGCATGCAACTATGTGTATTTGTTGATTTACATGAAAAACATGCCTGAGTGTTGATTCCTTATGTTTATTGGGTGTTAACTTGCTAGAAATGATGTATGAGAGTATGTGTAATTTTTCTTAGAATTTCTTGTAAGACATGCTTAATTGTGTTGTATAAAAATTCCTTATTATCATAGCATTGAAAGTATGAGATATGTATGCATTTCATTGGGTACGAATGAAGGGAAATTATTTGAAATAAAAGAAAAAGGAATTTTTGGGAAAAATTTTGATAAAATGATTTTAAGAAAACCCAATCGCCGTGGAGTCACCAAAGGGCCGTGGTGTTAATATAACCTAGAAGGAATTAGGGAAATCACCCTAGCGTGGTTGAGCTAGCTGGGCCCCAAATGACGCCGCGGGGGTACCAAGGGTTAGGACAGTAGCCAATCCTTCTCTTGTGTCGCTGCTGAGTCACCAAATGACGGGTTATATTAACAATATGAAAAGCGATGGATTTGAATTTTAAAAATGGGGAGCGACATACATGACATTGCATATCATGGCATGACATTGTTTATTTGAAATTGGAATTTATGTTGCATTCTTTTTCGGTATAGCATGACCCCTATCCTCTATTCCTATTCATTATTTGGATTCACGGAACCACAAGAAGTATGTCTTAGGTACCACCTACTGAGCAATTTGCTCACCCCATCATATTTAATTTTTCTTCAAAACTCGGGAAGGAAGTAAGAGACGCAGACCCTTCACAAACTTAAGGAGGACTAAGAATATATTTTTTTGCTATCTTTTGTATATTTGCTATACTTTTGTAAAGTCTCAAAACCATAGTGAAGTGTATGCATTTTGTAAGCCATGGTCATGTATTGTAAACTATAACTCTTATCGGTATTTTGAAGGGAAGCGAGACTATGTAAATATTTTGTGTTGAATGGGATGATGATGATGGGCCATTTTGAAGAGGTTGTTGATGTTGTTTTGGGAATGTATTATATTTTTTTTTGCATTGTATATTGGGACATGTTAGATAAATTTTGAAGGGCCACCATTGTATTTTTTTTTATTTAAGCAGGTTGTTGTAGGCCCCTTTTTAGCAGAGGTCATGCCGAATTTTTTTTTTTAATTAGTATTCAGTTTAGGGTCGTTACAATAAAGAATGGACATGAATTTTAACAATGATGTTATTTTGCTACCTCAATGACCGTGTAGTTGGTATATTATGCATGATGTTTGCCTCTTCAAGATCTCTGCTGTCTAATTAGTTGGCATAAAGATTTGTTTGATGTGTCCAATACTCCCATCTCATGCATGGTTGAATATTCCACATAAAATTCTTTTCATATCATATGTTCTATGTTTGTGCATCACAACTGCTCTATCAGCCAAACCAACTCTGATTCTAAATTGAGAAGAGGGAGTTCTGTTCTTATGGCTATATATGACTATTAGTGTGGGACAGTGCTTAGCTATTATCATTTGGAGCTGTGCTTATGGGCTGTCCAGGTTCAACATTCGTATGCATGTCCATCTCCCCACAGTTGAACTTTAGATGTTGTCCTCAAAGAGTCTCCAATTCTTGCTCGATTGCTATTTTTGGTTTGTTTCTTCGAAAACTGGATACATGTAGAGCAGACACCTCTCATGGAGTTTCAACTTAAAAGCTTGTTTTGAAAAACAAGGAGTGCATTTTATTTATCTTGAATTGAACTGAAAAATTAATAAGTTTCATAATGCAACTTCGATTAACATAATAAAGCCTTGCACCATTTAAGAAGCATAGTCACAATCCACTTCTAAAATCCTTTTTGATATAGCTTGCATTTTGCTCGGTGCGAATGTAACACTGTTTTGTTCAATCGATACAATCTTAGATGCTTCTACCCCATCCACAAGCATGCCCCATGAGCTTCATTTGGCTAATTGAATTTTTCCTGCTTCAACCAGTTATTCTAATCAATATACATGGACTCTTGTTCTGTGCACAGTGGGATATGGTAATGCACACAAGTTATTTGTAATTTTGTATGTGCCACTGTTGAACACAAATGGTACCAAGTTGGTCAAATGTAAATCCTGATTCAAAAGACTCAGATTTCAATATTTTCAATTTTAAGATTTTAATTATTGTTTTCCAGTTTTTGACATATATCTCCACTTTTGTTTCAGTATTCCTATATATATGCCATATATATTCTGCTATAGGTTGTGCACTGCTCCCCTCAAAAAAAAAAAAAAAAAAAATACTATATCTCCTGTCATATGTTCCCATGATTTGTTTTTCCTTTCCATCTTTGTTTCATTTTGTTCAGTTAGAAAGTGGTGATATGAAAATACCTTGATAGTATATAGTGCATCTAAAATACTTTTTAAAATGGAAAATTCGATTTTATACCTCAATTGTTACATATATTGTGATGCAATTGCAGGCTATGCAAAAAAAGAAAAAAAAAAAAAGAGTACCAATCCATAGTATCTTGGGCTTTACATTCTATAAATTGTTGTAAAAAATCTACCAATCCATAGTTTTGGCTCTTTGAAGTTATAATTTATGTATATTTGTATAGTTGCATTGAATATCACTTCCATCCTTTGTTCATGCCTTTCAACTTTCCTTGACCTTCAATGTTCTTTTTGGTGTGTTATACTTTGGTTATTATTATTATTAAATTGCAACTATTTGTATAGTACCAGCATGCTTTTTCCAATTTGAAATTACTATACACAGGACAATTGCTTCTATAATCTATAGCATTGGTAGATTTTTATGTATGTATGAGAAGTTAAACTAACTGGCTCATTGTTTATAAAATATGGAACCGATGACGCTGCAATGCTTTGACAAGCTGTTTTGGCATACGTTCTACCAATCTCAAACCTTGGCATTGTGGTTTAGGATTCAAGCCATAAGCCAACAGGCGACAAGGCGAACCGGTCTTTGACAAGCTGTTTTTATGACTACACGTTGTGGACTCCATGTCTCTCGATATTTTCCTGTGCATAGATATTATATATTCTTTTAACAGGCAAAGTTTAGCTTTGAATTTATGGCCATTGATTTTGACTCTTAATCGATTGATCTCTCTGTATATCTCTTTCAATTCCTGTGCTGTAGCGATGCATAAATAAAAATCCACCAATGCTATAGACTATAGAAGCAATGTTCCATATTCTCTGTCATGAACATCTTACTTGAGTTGCCATTGATCTAAACACATATGCAATGCTTATTTACAGTAACTGTTTTTATTTTTACCCAAATTTATCTTTTTAACAATTTCATGAAGGCTTGTGTCTACCAAACTATGGATGTGCTGACAATTTAATATCAAGGTTTCTCTTCCATTTTCATATATATATATATATATATGTACCCTGTGTGGTGAGTTCATTTTTAACATATGCACTTGTCTTTTCTTTTTATAAGTATTCTCACAAACTTGTTAGATGTGTTGGTTGAGTATGTGCCTAATCCCTGGTGTTGAGAGGAATGGCTAGGTATTAAGGTCAAATCTGTTGTTAATTTGAACTTGTATGTTTACTTTACATATATTGCAGATAATGACCATTTTTTTTTTTAATTTTTTTTTTCTTTCTTCTTCTTAATTTAGGTATTCTAGACAACTTGTGTGTGTAAAATACACACTCTTGCTCATCAAATTATTTGAATAAGTAGGTCATGGCATTCGGGGTCAACTTGCTGACCCGGAAAGACTCCATGATGCAAAATATAGTAATATATAAATAATAAATAATAATAATAAAAAAAATAGAAACTACAAAGTTTGGGATAGGGTGGTCTGTGTGTGTATTATTTTCTAACACCTATGTAAAGTAAAATTCGAATATACAAATAGCATGTTTAGATAAGGATTAATTCTTGTATTTAAAACGCTAAAGCTCAACCACGTCTACTTTCCGACAAAAAACATAAAAATTGTTAAGATTAAGACCTAATTCATTAGCATTTTTTTTATTAAGTAATTAGGGTTGAAACACATGGGGCCAAAATGATTTGCATGAAGGAAAGGAAATTCAAGTGTGAACAATAGGGCAATTAACTTTTTGTTTTGTGTTTTTTTCAGAGAATTATAGAACACAGTTATATTTTCTAACTTATTTTCGACAAACTAAGGAAGAATATTTGCTTATTTGAGGGCTAAACTCATAAACATGTAAATATTGAAGGACTTAAAAAATAATGATGTTTGTGATATGAACAATTATTGTATACCATTCAGAAACCTTATCCATTCAGTGTATGCGCATGTGTGTGAAACATAGTAAATTAGCTGCCAAACAACACTGGTTTAATAATTGCTCGTAATACCATAGAATTACTATTTGCTCCAACGTGCATAGATACATACATACATACATATATATGTATATATATATGTGCATATGTAACATTTTACAGGCGTGAGAACGAGTTTTCAACATCCGGCTATAGCATTCTCTTAAGTATTTTGACCCCAGAGTCATAAGCACTTGCTAGTCTCAATGATTTAGATGATGAAAGCACAATTAAATGAAAAGTCAAAATCTTCATTGGATTAAAACTGTCCCATTAGTTGACTTAAACCATGAAATTGACTGCCATTAAGCTTCTTCCTCTTTGACTTCAACCCACTAGCGACATTTCACCCAATTTATAAAGTCAAATTATATTCGTTATTTAAAACCACACATATTTCTAATATATTTTCAAAACACATGTTTTTGTTTTTTTTACTCATTCAAACTGTGGTTCCCTTACCAACTCAATCCTCTCCTTTTTTTATGAACCAGTACTAACTGACAAGACTGCTTCAGTGCTAATAATGTGTTTGGGAGGAGGAGTAGAGAGAGAGAGAGAAAGGAAAGGGGAGGAAGTACTAGAATTAATTTCCTTGATCTAGAAAGAAAAGAAAAGAAAGGGAGGAGGGAATGGAACATTGGGAGACTTTCTCCATGGGTTAACAATATATTTCCTTGAGAAACTGTTCTTCTCTCATTCATTTTTCACATTTTTTGTTCCCACTTCAAAAAGTCCTTTTTAACCTCCCAATCATTCAATGTAAACAAGTGTCGTTGAGAAATGTAAGAAGTTAGAATGAGGGTGACATTAAAAGGATTGAAGCTGGCATGCCATGTGAAGAAAGGCCATGCCCAAGACAACCCTTTGCCTCTTTTTTATTTTTCCCTCCTTGCTTTGCAGGAAAGAAAGCAAGTGTGAAATCACAAGTTGATTCACAAACTATCTAGTCCAACCACACACACACACACACACACACACACATACACACACATAAATATGTGTTAAAGGTTAGTCCAATCATATATTATTAAATATATTCAAAATGAATATTGGAAGTCGAAGTCAAACACAAACCAATTCAACCCAACCCAACACACAAACAATAGTAATGATGTATGAGTAAAGAAAAAGCCATTTAGAAAGCTGCCAAGTAGCAGACTCTTTTTCATTTCATAATAGTAAGGGGAGAGAGAGAGAGAGATACCACAATGATATGATAAGATCCCTAATTATTTTAATTAATAATAATATTAATCATTTCATACTAATGGAATCATGACAGCCCATATCAACACACAGTGGGCCCAACAAGCTCGTACATGTACTTTGAAAAACAACATAGTGAACGCCAAAAATAAGAAAAATAAAAAAATAAATAAACTGATGTTATACTAACTTATAAGGCTGGGCTGGGCTTGGGCCAAGTCTACGTAAATACGGGTCGTAATACAGTGTTCAAGATTAGAGACCCTTATTTTGGTAGACTTAGCACCCACTATTTTATTTCTCTCTCTTATCTCAAAAGAGTCAAAAGAAGTCAACGGGCGTGATCACGGCTTGGAAACGGACGTAGCGTCTTTGAGGGAAGTTTCTGCCGTGCCGTTACCCAACGTGGCTGACTGGACGGTCAACACCGACAAACTGGGAGATGATGGGCCACCCTCGCCGTTAGAACCGAGTAGTGGGTGGTTGTTGATGGGGTTACGGGAGTGACACGTGGCGGTGGAGATGGCGGTGGCCAGAGAGATAGGCATCAGGCACAGCCCTTTCCCCTGTAGGTACTGCATGGCGGAACCCATGTCCTCCTCCATCAGCTTCGCCACCTGATGCTCTGTCATCGTCATGCTGTCGTTTGATGACGCCGTTTGTGCCCCGTTACTGCTCCGTCCACCACTGTTCTGAACACAGTCACTACCTCCCTACAACACCAAAACAAATATATTTGTAATTTTGTGTGTGTATATATATATATATATTGTTATACGCGTATAGATATTCTCAGCTATTTGTTCCTAAAATAATTCACTTAAAACAGGGGTGGCATAAATTGGGTCTGTCACACCAAATGATGTGTCCCATCATTTATGGTGAGTTATCTCCCCCTCCAAAAATGTTCTTCTTCACTGAAAAGGAATACTTTATTAGTCCTCATTTTCAACAATCTGCTTTCTAAATTATTTGTTAAACAAAATGCAAAACCCATTCAATAACTATAAAGTTTTTAAATTCACAGTATAAAGTTGTTGTATTTAGGCAAAGGACAAAAATGATCTATGAGTGGTTCCTGCTTCTTGCATAAGATGTTCAACACTACTCTGTTTTTGGTCCTAATTGGGGCCTGTTCTTCCCAAAGGGGCTGTTTGCCCAATTGGCCCACATCTGTAAATATTTCTTATATTTATAATGCTTGCTTAAAATTCCAAAAAAAAAAAAAAAACTATTCTACAACACATAATTGATACATAAAATATAATAATAATAAATAAATAAATAAATAAATCCTTATATTTCATATTAACCTCAAAAAAACGTTATGTTTTATATCTGATTTAAAAATAATAATTAATTATTTAATGTTCCTTATCATTTTTCTTAACGTCAATCTCTACACCTACCACAAAGGAACATCCATCTCTATCAAATGAAAGGGCACGAATTTGCCAAAACGCATCACATAATTAATGTCTTGTGAAGATACTCTCAACTAATTATAAAACAAATCATTTGTCATAAAAATAATAACTACAATACACGGACATTACTCATCACTCTTACTTCTTCAAACACCAATAATCATAACTTCAAAATCTATCAAATTTATAGTGAAGAGAATTAAAAGTTCAAAATCTATCAAATTTATAGTAAAGAGAATTAATGATAAACGTTACGCAAATTTTATGACATGTAACCTTACATTTCAATATTTTTCTAATGTGTATTCCAATATTCTCCTTACCAATTGAAATAAACATATACATTGCAGCGCATGAGTGGATTATGATCTCTCTTTGTCGTGAATAACAACAAGAATGAAACAAATTGTTTTATCTACCCTCTCTCTCTCTCTCTCTCTCTAACCATTTTTACGTGAGAGAGTTGAAAGGGTAAGAAATGCACAAAAAGGAAGGAGCAAAGAATGCCCATTCTCAAGTAATCTCAAAGATAATGCTTTTTTCTATTTTCGTTAATTTATCTCAAAGCTGACAATGAGTGATGGATTATCACTTTATTTCTGAAAAACATAAAATAAAAAATGATAATTACGTTTAACTCCCTAGCACATTGTCTAAATAACATAAATTACTTTGACTCAATGTGTTAAATGACTATTATGCTCATTATATAAATATATATTCCCATATGAACAAGAGATTTAAGTAGAGATATTCTTGAATTTTAAGTAAATATTGGATATGACATAGGCAACAAGAGTTTTTATAAAGATTTATGTCATTTCCGTAATCTAGAAGGAAGATGGGTATAATTATGCCGAAAAAACAATTGCAAGGGCGCTAAAGGAATTTGGGGAGAGCAATATAAAGACTATATATATATATAATTGTATACAGAGAAAAAGGTCGTCTTGGCCCCAAGAAAAATTGAGGAGGAGAGGGAGAGATGGAATCTGGAAAGTGGGGAGGCACGCGTGCTTTTTTTTGTTTTTGTCGTTTGTGTTCATTGAGAGATGAGTGAATGGTAGGGTTTGATTGGGAGGTTTCGTTTTTTCAAACAACTTTTTATTGTCTTGCATTTCCATTTACTATTTCTCTCTCTCTTTGTGGAAAGCTTAACAGGTTTGCTTACCAATAACATGTATCAAAAGGGACCTAGATAGTGAGTTTGCTTAGAAAGGCAAGTTGACATATACACAATAGTTGTATCAAAACACACACATACATCTACAAAAATATGCATATACATATATATATATATATATATAGTTTACCTCAGAGGACATATCAGCAACAAGGGGGGCAACAGCTGCAGCACCGCCCAACCTGCTCATACTCAGAACCTGAACACACACACAGATGCAGCAATGGAATTTTAGAAGCCCATCATCTACATATAACTCATTTTTTTTAATTTTAAAGCCCATAACCATACAATATATATATATATATATAGTACTACAGATTCTCTCAGAATTTGTCAAACCAGAAAGAAGCCTTTGTATAGCCCGTAATAAATATGTATATAGAAAGTAGTAACATTATATATATATATATATATATATATAGATCGAGAGAGAGAGGCTTACTTTGACTTGGAGCTGGAGGAATTTGACATAGTCGATGATCTCATCTAGCATTGAAGCCTTGTCGGTCTGTCATTCCATAACGCACAAACATATCAAAACAAAGATATTACTATAATATATTCCTATCTGTTCAAATTCAAACTAACATCTTGCTTTATTTTAAACAATAAATAAAATCCAGCTTCGAGTACGATTTTCAAACCCCCATTATCTGTACTGTATTACTTTCTGGTACGCACGGAAAGATATACACATCACACACACGTATAATAATCATAAATCATCTTCAACCGAAGCTTGCTATTATGCACTAATTGTCCATTTATCACAGGTTACTGGCACGTGCGAGAGTGTGAGAACAACAAACAGAAGAAAATTAAAAAGAACAAAAAAATAGTATAGATTTATGCTTTAATGGAATTATAACAATTGTGCAGTTTCAGAGAAGAGATATAATTGAGTTTTATAATTTCTTAATTTTAACTCAAAATTGAAAGAAGTCATAATTATTTGAATAAATTACCTTATTGGCATTGGGAACCAATTCCTGCAAAGCTTTCATTCTCTCTGCAATTCTCTCTCTCCGTAACTGACACATTACATTAAAATGAACTGAAACTGAAACACACAAAACAACAAAGTAGATACAGATGGTAGTCACTAGTGAGAGAATTGGCGTACCCTTTCAGCAATACTGTGAGGATCAGTGGCCTGTCCTCTCCGTGCCCTGACCCTCTGTCTCGGCTGCGCAGCCACTCCTCCGCCCGAACCGCTCGCCGGACCTTGGTTCATCACCGCCGCCGGTGCCCCGTAGTTCTGCCCCTGTAATCATCATTACAATATAAAATACTTGTAAAAGCACACACAGATATTATATATATGTGTGTGTGTGTGACAGACCTGAGGATGGTGGAAATGCTGAGTTTGGTTGGATGTCTGACCGGTTCCATGCAGAGATCCGGCCAACCCGTTGTATAGAGCCTGAACGGAACCATCACCTCCCTGTAATTATCACCATAATTCATCACAATTTCATCAATTTAATCATATAGTCCCTCTCTTTCCACAATTTCAACTCACCGGATTGGGAGATTTGAAGGACGAAGCGTCGATGACGTCGTCGCCACTACCTAGACTCAAAGGCATGGATAACAGGCCAGACTCACCGGCGCCGGAACCTCCCGCCGGGAACTTCAGACCACCGCTAATTCCTCTGGCCAACAGTAGCTGCTGCTGAAGCAACAACGACTTGGCCGCCGCCGGCGAATTTCCGGCGCCGCCTCCGCTGATTTGGTGTTGCTGAAGCTTGGAAGCCAACATAGCCGACTCGTCGAAGTGAATCTGGTGGTGCTGAACATTCTCATGATTCGACGGGCTCTGATCGTCCAATAAGTCTCGAGATTTGTGGAAACCGATCGACGACAAGGTGTTGGACGAGAGGTCCCAAGGAGACTTGGGAATTGGTCCAGAGAGGTCCGGCCAAGAACAGGAAGGCAGTGTAGAGAGCATTTGCTCGAGGAAGTCGTCGTGAGACGACGCCGGATCGAAGTTGGAGCTCTGAACTTGAATCTGAGGGTTCGTCATCTGTTGTTGACCGTTTTGAAGATCTTGAAGCGACTGGTTTAAGATTGAGTTCATTGCTTGCATTTCTCTACTACAAGGCTGCATAGCTTCACAAACCAATTCATAAACACAATTCAGTATATATAATATATAATAATATATTGTTGAGAGAGAAAACTAAAAAAAAAAAACGGCGAGTTTCATTCGATTTCATACCTGAGCTATGTGATTCTAGAGAGAGAAAGAAGTTTGCAGGAAGAGTCTCTATCTCTTCAATACAAATTATAGTTCAACTATAATGACTCGTTTCAAACCCAGCACAAATGCAACATGTTTCGTTTCGAATGTTTATAAGCTCTCTCTCTATCTCTGAGTTGGAGTATTAAATTCCAAAAAAACACTATACTTCTCTTTCCTCTCTCTCTCATCAAAGTTGGGCTGGATGATTGATTGAATAGATTAGGCTTAATAATAACTTACTTTCCCCATTCACAGTTTTGGCGCGTGAAATATAATAGAGCGGACCAGTAGCATTTAGGACTGGGACCAACGATCTGAATGATCTTTACGCGCTAAGAGACAAGTGAGAGGAGTTGTCGATAGGCCGCTTGGTCGGCCAGTCCCATTAGGGTTCGCTTTCAACCTTCTTTGAAATGTCGATTCTACCCTTATACTATTTATTTCATCCTTTAGTGATTTTGGTAATTTTAAAATTTTATCATTAAATTATACTCCTATATATATTTTTTTTAAAATTTTTTTTGTAAAGATAAAATTTTATTATTTGTTTCATAACATTTTGCCGTGTGTCGGTCACGCTGAATGAGTATATCTTTCGTTTCTTTCTTGTGAGTAGGGATTTACATTAGCTGATAATCTGAATTTTCAAATTGGATTAGTGGATAAGCTCCACATGATTAAAAGTTAAAAAATCACAGCACAGTTGTTAACTTGCTATTTAAGTGGCTGTGCTTGTTAACCGTCGTCGTCATTTTTGTTACGGAGTATTTGTTACATGAGCACTGTTATATTTGATTCACAGTGGGTTTTTTGGAGCTCACAATTACATACTTTTAATCGTTAATTAATTTTATTAATATTGGTTTTAAGTTCAAACTCAAATTTAAATTTTTTAAACGAGCTAGAGTGTTTAAATTTAGCTTGACTACTTAAAGTTGGATTAAACTCTGCGGAGTTCTAATTTAAAAAGTTAAAATTTGACTCGGTTTAATTCAATTGCATCCTTAATTCTTCTAGGGTTCGTTTGGTTAGTCGAAAATTGATGATGGAAAGTGAAAGGAAAAAAAAGTGAAGTAAAAGAAAAGAAAATTATATTTCTATCATGCATTTGGTTAGCATGATTTTTTTGTAAGAAAATGTTATTTCATTAGTTTGGTTAGTAAGAAAGTGAAAAGAAAATAATTTATATATCAAAATTACCCTCATGAATTCAATACCAAGTAAAATACATCGTACAATAAGGATAATAAAAAATATAAATAATTATTTTATGAATAAAAATATAGGTGCGTGCATATATATATATAGTCCTAATTTAAAAAGTCTAAAAATTGTAACTTAGAAGTCCTAATTTAAAGAGTTAGAAAGTTGTAATTTAAGTAGGAGTCATAATTTATCAAAAAGAAGTCGCTTCTTTTGTGAGTTTAAAAAGAAGGAAGATAAATAACTGCCGAGGGTATAATTGGAAACGAACACATGATAATACAACTTTCACGCGAAATTGAAATTTTTGAGGAAACATTTTAAATCAACTAGTTGCGGGAATATTACTTTTCTGAAAATTTTCTATTGCATGCTAACTACTAAATAATTTTAAAAAATTCCGTTTCTTTTCTTTTCTAGCTAGCTAACGCTAACCAAACTAACCCCTAATGATTATAAATTGAGTTCCATTTGAAATTTGACTCGGTTTTATTCAATTGCATCCTTAATTCTTCTAATGATTATAAATTGAGTACCATTTGAATTCAAAATGTGATTTTGAAATTTGTCAATTTCTCATTTGTTTAGATTTGAAAAAAAAAAAAAAAATCATATTTGTGGAATTTAATTAGGTTCATTCCCATCGTAATGTTCCATTCAATTAGCTGATTGAAATGGAAAAGAAATAGACAATCTCTTTAATGGAGGCTGTCCTCTCCTTTTTTTTTTTCTTTTTTTTTTTTTTTAAAGATTAGCCCAATAACACATTCAGCTTTTAATATGACCTTAATATCCTTCATTTCATTGTGTAACGACATAAACAGTAATCAAAATTATATATATATATAAAAGTTCTCGAGTTCTCGACATCTCCTCACCACAGAATACTAATTATACTTATATATTATCCTCTCCATGTACATTAATTATCTTGGAATCACACAAAATCCATATATAATTATATATTATTGTCTCTAGGTACGTACCAATTCATTTGGAGAGAAAAAAATGCATCCCAAATAAGTTTAATTCTCCCTCTCTATATATAATATCTATTATGTATTAATATAGAACATAACTATATGTATATATCTTCGATGATTCGGTCTACTCTTGCTATAATAATTCAGAATCATACGAACTAGCTCAAATCATATAAAAAAATTCGAGATATGTAAGTTAAAAAATCATATTTTATGAGGTTTGACATACACTTGTTTCTTGGAATTTCAAGTCCTTGGGATCAAACTCTGTTTGCTGAAACCCAGACAGGAGAATTAAAAGCTTGAGATAATGTTTGTAATCTTTGAATTATATATGTTTGTAACCACGAGATCTAGGTATTACTATGTTAATTGGATCGGCCATTGTTGTCATCTTTATGTTATTTTGTTCTGATCGTGGTGATCTTAGTTGCTGCTTTGCTCCATGTTCAATGTATCAAAAATAGATCTACATGACAAAGAATGGTACCAAAATAATTTAATGATATATACAAAAAAAAATAAAATAAAATCCTTAAGCCCATAAATGCATCATTTATGACACTGGAACCAAATATTTAAAAAGAGTACTTTTAAAAGTCTTACTAACAGAGCTGCTTGTGTGACTTTTTTTTGATGGTTACACATTTCACCATTTGAAGACAATGTTACAGTTAAAGTGATATTAGTTGTATTGATTGATACGCGACTTATAATACATTCGTAATTATTTTTTAGGGATCTAATACTGTTACACCTTTTCATAAATTTATTGATTCGGCCTATTTACACTGTGCAATTACAAACGGTGCCACTACTACAAACTATGATTAAAACATATTAGGGTAATAAAGTAAATGCATTTAAGCATAGAATCAATATCTAAAATGGGTAAAATGTTTGACAATCCAAACTTTCCTATATTGAACCAAACCAAGCTTTAAAATATAGGGCTGTGTGTCTCTAAAGTAGTAATAAGACTTGATCATCAAATGCCTCAGATGCCCTACATGTTCCAACGTTGTCATAGAAAACATCTTAGCGTTGCCAAAACTGACCAGTCTACGACAAGTTGTGAAAAAAAGTTATGCTGAAGAATATCTGAGACAAGAAGTGACAAAACCCGAGTCATCATGATAATTTATAAGAAGAAAAATCAGAGTAAATGATTTTTGGAGTCATGGAAGAGATGATCTCAAAAACACAATAAGGCCACTGAGGCATTGTTCGTGAAAGGTGACAATGGAGTCCACAAGCATACAATTGAGTTGACTAAACCCTTCGTGTGTGCACACACTCACAGGGACAAACTCTAAACCCGTGATAATATGTTAATACACACAAAATTTATAAAATGGTGACAAAATCCTTCCGAAGAGAAGGATGTTTTTATTTTTATTTTTATTTTTTTTATTTTCTTAGTTCCAAAATCTTGTTTGATCTTATGGTAACTGATTTTCAAATGAAAATAGGAAAAAGAAAAATAGGAAAATGCTTGATATTGTAATTTATTGTATGCATGTAAAACTTCACAGTTCCTCTTTCTATTAGATCATTAATTGTGTTTTTGTAAAAGAGTTCTGGACGCAATGAATTCCAAATTCCTTTTTTCTTGACATGATTTGAGCTCGTATGTGGAAATGTATTGATTCTATTGAAGATGGGTTGCATGGTTAATATTTCTTGTGCGCGCGCGCGCGCGCACAGAGAGAGAGAGAGAGAGAGTGTGTGTGTGTGTGTGGGTGTGTGTGTGTGTGTGTGTGTGGAGATAGAGAATAGGTAAAGTAGCTTGACAAGGCTAAGGCCTAAGAGATGTAGGTATATGTCCTTGTCTTGTACCATCACATCTCCACTTTTTCAGTTCAGGTGAGAGATTTTCTTTACACCTCACCCCACCATTTTACAAATTTAAGGTACACCTACGCCACGGAATTCCTTAAACTAATTAATGAGCATTGTTATCTCAATTTGTTTATTTTTAAACTACTTTACCCAAATATATATATATATATATATATATATATAATTTTAAAGTAGAGCGACATCTACACGACCTTTATTGTGTCATAATGCTTGGGGACCTAGCCTATATAAAGTCCCTCTTTAGATTACTCCTACTCTCCTAGATTGGCTTTAAATTACTTTAGTGGTTAAGCTAAAGTATGTTGAAATTCCCTAATATATAGAATATCATATATGTTCCTTTCTATTATTTATCCAAAATGCTTTCTAGAAAATACTAAATTATGTCAAAAGATTTTAAGACTAACATAATTTGCTTTAACCATGCCTCCATTGTTTTATCATAATCTTCATTCTTATCTTTCGTCTTTATCATACAAATGCTCTTTTTATTCCGTACACTTAAATTTTTATTAAAAAAAATTATTTTAAGAATATACGATTGCATTTTGCATTAACTATGGTTCTAATTTCTAAAGAGAAGCAATAAGCCAAATTAACTTTGTCCAATTGCACTTTAATTAAAAAAAATTATTTTAAGAATATACGATTGCATTTTGCATTAACTATGGTTCTAATTTCTAAAGAGAAGCAATAAGCCAAATTAACTTTGTCCAATTGCACTTTAATTAAATCGATTTAATTATTAGGGTCCTTTATAATAAAATTGCAAAAATAATGTCACCTCCTTATTCTTTTTTTATGTATATACATAGATAAGTGCATATACATAAAGTATATATAGACATACATATACATAAAGTATCCATATACTCCTATGTAAGTACCATAAAATATCCACACTCTGCTTTACAGACGTGCTTATTTAAGCGTCCAGGTTTCATTTTTCAAACATTAATAAATTATACCGACGGTGAACTTTCAAGTTTTTCAACCAACCACTCAAAAGAATCAAAAGATTAGTAAATAAAAGTATTTTCTGATTTTAATAAGGAGCTCCAATAATAACCATTGAGCCATATCCTTTAAAAAGATGAGATTTGATTAAATAAAATAATAAATAAATTAAAAAAAAAACCCTATGAACAACTCATTAAGAATGTCAAATCACACCTAGAAATTCAGGCACTCTCAATATATTAATGGAGAATCATCTTAGAGATATAGAAAGAGCCGTGCCGTAGGGTATTAAAAAAATTAAAAAGACAGTCAACTCTAAGAAAATTTCTTAATAACATTCTTGAGATGTGTGTTGTTAAAGACCTAAAAGGATAACAAGAGAATTTTATATTTGGGTAATTGCCTTCTGGCAGCATAATCTACCAAGTATTCATCCTAGTGGACGCATTCAATTATCTTCTCATATCTTACATTAAAAGTTCACTTCGAGAATTGTGTTTTAAAGTGAATTTTTAATATGAGACAAAAATAGTATAAGATTACATATATGATATCAATTTATTTTGAGAATTGTGTCTTAAAGTGAATTTTTAATATGAGACAGAGATAGTATAAGATTATCTATCTTGTAATTTTTCATATCGGTCGACATTTTGTTAAGTTTGTAACCATTTTTCAAGAGTTATATATCTTTATAAATCGGCTGGTTCAATCAGTCGTTTTAGACTGATATTCATGAGTCTATTACATTGCGATCACGAACAATACCGCAATTGCGAAACATAAATCCAACCCACATAATATGTTGAAAATCACATTGAAATTATCACAATTTGCTTAATTAAAACAAGAACTAAAGTTTTCCACAACTTTTGTTTGATGGACTCTATATATATATATATATATATATATATGTGTGAAGAAATTATTAAGTAGTCTATGTCGATAACTATTTAAAATCTAAAGAAATATATTGAAATGTGTCAATTTTATTCAATTTTTTTTTTTTTTTTTTTTTTTTTTACGTTTTGATGAATTTCGTGTTGTGTAATAATTTCTCGTCTATATAAAGTTAATTTGAGAAGTTTTAAACTAAGAAAGTGGGCAATAGCCAGTGACAAGTAGGAGACGACTCCATTCAACTGTTCATTATTCGACAACAGCTTTTGATAAGAAACAAGGAATGGTTTTGATTTAATTAATAGTAAGATGATTAATAACTTATATTTTGGTTAGAGTATAGAGGAAGGAAAGGGAGCGGAAAAGGGAAAGTTGATATCAAGAACTCCTCATGTTTGAAGGGAAAGTTGGCATCAAGAAAGGTTGAAGGAACTGTATACCTTTTTTTTTTTTTTTTTCAAGCGAAGGAAGGGAGAAAAAGGTATCTTCCTCTCTCTTTCTTACATTTTTGCGCTCGAGAATTTTTTTTGTGTTTTTTTTTTCAAGAAGGAAGAAGAAAGTATCTTTCTTTTCTCTCACTTTTTTTACCCTCAAAATTTGAGTTTTTTAAATAAATAAAAAATGGTTATTTTAACTATTAATGGATGCAATGGTCAAATCACTTCACGGTGGTTCTATTCCTTCCTCATTGACTTCCCATTCAACCAAACAATACGAGCACAAATTGTTTCCTTTCTTTAAGAAGTGTGTGTTTTTTAATAGGACGGAAATTTGTCATCGTCATAGTTACCAAACAGAGTATAAGTGTGATTATGTTGGTTGGTTTAAATTAGTATTTATTAAGCTATGTGGTCCTTAGACATTAGACCCCAAATGTATCTAATTAGTTAGCCAAAAAGTATGATTTGAGTCTTCGAATTTGAAAATCAGACATGACTATGAAATACGGACACTAGTTTGGTGGAAAATTTCCACCCTATAATAAAAAAAAATACTTTATTGTTACAAATTACCATCATGCCCGAAGGCAACTTAAACATATCAAATACTTTTTGCTATCTTGAAGTGACATATAAAAATATATTTAGTTATATTTGGGGGTACCAAATCAAATTGAAGTTCGTATGACTAAAATTTCAAAAAATTTAATTTAAAGTTTGAATTAAACCTTTGAATAAATTTCTTTCGATGTAGAGCAAGTATAAGCGCAAAAGTAGACAGGGATGCTATATTTAACAATATCAAACTATTATTAATGGAGAGCAGTAGTTGTTGATAGAAATCTCTTCATTATTATGATTTTCACTTCATTGATAGCTAAAAACTTAATAAAAAAGATAAATACTAAATCATTAGTCACTTTTAATATTTAGCTACTAAAATAGAAAAAGTAGAGAGATAATAATTAGCCCATGGTGTATGAAGGAGTTGGTAAGTTGATGACAGTGCTTTTGATCTTGATCATCATGTTAATGCTATTGGTGATTCCTTGTGACCCAATTCCACTGTCCTTCAAACCCTGTCAACAAAGAAGCATTTTTCTTCTTAGATAATTTTGAATCAACATTAATTATTAATTGGCAAACTTTCTGCAAGTTTTTCTTCACCTGGAAAGGAAAATGATCCGGTCCACGAGCCGGTGCAGAGTTGATCTGAACCGTTCCTGTCTCCATTGCATCACTGATCAACATTGCTTTACTGATGTCCCTTGTGAAGACACAACCCTGTGGTTCAGTCAAATGTATTAGTATTGCTAGTACTAGCTAGAGCTCTTGTTCATAGTTAATTGGAATGCTTTTATAGATAGTAGTAAAAGAGATGTGTTTTTTTTACCTGGAGACCAAAATTACTAGCATTACAATGGTGGATCCCTTCTTCAACAGAGCTGATTCTGATAACAGGCAAAACCGGCCCAAATGGCTCCTCCCACGCTATCCTCATGTCAGGACGAACATTATCTAACAGTAAGGGCCAGATTAAGTTGCCCTCCCTCTTGTATTCTTGGCAAAATGTGGCTCCGTTTTGTTTAGCATCCATAACCAACCCTTCGATGAAGTTTGCAGATGACTCTGAAACAACTGGAGTGATATCACAATCCTCCTCGGGAGGTCCAACTGTCAATTTTGCAACCTTGGCCTTCACCTTTTCTACTAGAGTATCGGCAACAGATTCCATCACCAAAACCACCTTAACAGCAGTGCATCTTTGACCACTGTTACAAAGGTGGAAACAAAGCAATTAGAAAGTTGTACTAAACAAAATGTAATTGCAGGCATGAAACAATTAATAGGATTTGCAAGTGCTAATGTTGTTATTAAATTAATGCATCATATCAAATGAACAAACATAATGAAGATCCTACTATGAAAAACTACCTCCAAAACATATTAGTAAGTTTGTTTCAAGAGAAATTATCATTCTTCTTGGGCTCTAAACACGAGTAGTGTGTGTCTGCAAAACCATTTACTATGTCTCCCTTTCCCTTAAAACATATGCAACTGTATTATTACGTATAGGAAGTTTCTCATACCTGTAAGAAAACCCTCCTTTAATGATGTTTGCTGCTACCAAATCAATATCAGCGTCCTCAAGCACAATACAGGCATCTTTTCCTCCCAGTTCCATCTGTAGAGGGATCATGCCTGCTTTTTTTGAAATCGCAATTCCAGTGTCTCCACCGGTGAAGCTGAGCATAACAAGTAAGCAAGTTCGAGGTTAAGCAAATAGCAGGCAAGGGAGAAAGGACCTCCTTCAGTACTATGAAATAGATTAACTTTGGATTACCTTATGCAATTCACTCCAGGATGCATTGTGAGGAAATCACCAATCTCGGAGCCTTTTCCTGTAATACAGCTAATAAGGCCTTTTGGAAAGCCGGCTAAGTGAAAGCAATGCACCATATGAAGGGCAGCTACAGCACCCTGCAGGAAAGTAGAATGAGATTGAGTGAACAAACTATTCAATGATTCGGAAACTGTACATATGTACACATCCACACATTTCAACTGTGTGGGTGTTTGGCAATCCAATGAAAATGAAATCTTTCTTCAGTTTTACGCTTAAAAATCATGGAATTCAAGCCTTTCCTCTGTATCTTACATATCATTTTGTATTGCTTATCATACAGCTTGAAGAAAATACTACTCGTATTATTGTCAAAAGATAAGAAACATAATGGCATGAAGTATGCATATCTAATGCTTTAGATGATTGTTGCATAATCTCGAATACTAAGCAGTCATCTAACAAATTAGAAGAGTACCTGAGTTGGAGGTTTGAGCACAAGGGAGTTTCCAGCAATCAGTGCAGGGGCAATTTTGGAGACAGCAAGGTTGACAGGATAGTTAAAGGGAGGAATCGCCAAAACAACCCCAAGCGGAATCTGCAGGACATAAGCAATTGAACATCATAAACCGTGTCAAATATGTTAAGAAAATAAGTTAAAACATATGATTAACTCATCATGATCAGTCAGGAATTTTTCAAACAGATAAATCTATGTAAAGTTGCGGTTTAGATGCAGCTAGCTAGCTCCATGAAGCATGTCATGTATTGACAAGTAAATCAAAGCAGAACTGACTAATGATAAATAAGGAATATGTACTAATTTTAAATGGGCAATTAAGTTCTTCCCAGCTCAACCAAGCCTTGCCATCTGATCAAGAAATGAAATATCTGACCGGGATGATGATGAAATTAGTCTAACGAGTCTATGGAAGCACGCTGGTTACTTCACTCCTTGTAGTCAACTATGAATGAGGACACGGCATTATGAATCAGAAATATTAATCAATAACCTGCACTGCAAGTTGGAGGTTTCTTGAAGGATCTCCATATCCATGTTCATAGGTTTTAAGTGCACCATCTTACAGTGCTAATCCAGATTAAAATCATTTTCTTACTTTGTTAGGAACTAAAAAAAAAAAAAAAGTGGATGACAATGGAAATGATGAAGGAATGGACTGTTTCATTGCACATGCCTTATCTTTGATGTGTCACGATATTAATTTAGTATGATAAATGAAGGCCACAGACAGATGAACCTATTATGGCCAGCAACAGACTCCATTGGTGCTTGCAAGTTCCAGCAAAAAAACAAAGGACGGGTTCACAAGGATGCATGAAGATTGAAGACCAAGTGACAAAACAAACCATCCTTGAAACAACTTGCTGATCTCACTGAGTCCTACTAACCATAACAGGACTCCGATCCAAACAACTTAAACTGCTTCTCTTAACCCTCTTTATGCAAAAACTTCCATAACAATTACACCATCCAGTGTCAGCATAATAAAGGATCGCGCTATAACCGATTGTACAAAAATTCAAAAATCATTAAATAAAAGTTGGCCATGTACTTGCACTTTCCCAAATGCCAAAGCCTGAAATTTAAACCTTTTCAGCTGAAATAAGCATATCAAATTGATCCATTGGACACGTAATCACATAAGTTCCTTAAGTTTCAGCCCTAACTTATATTGACAAATTAACTTAATCTATTTATCAGTGTCACAAAGAAGCAACAAACATATAAGCTAGAAGAGTAAAAGTATACCTTAGAAGTGAGGCAGTACTTTGTCCTCTCGTTCCCCGGAAAGCTGTCAGACACCAAGAACTTCCCCTCTCCCAGAATTCTAACTCCTTCTTCAGCACAGTAAGAAACCAAATCCCCGGACCTCACAACCTTCACAAAATACATAATTTCAAATAAGTCAGTTCGAAAGCATAATTCACTGAATTTCAAGCTAATTTTACCTCAAATGTGGAAGTGAAACAATCTGTATATATATATATACCTCAGTGACTGCATCTTTCGCTGGTTTTGCAATTTCTTTTACTAGACATTCAGCAATGGGGGCTTTGTGCTCTTTGAGAATAGCAGCTGCCTTGTGAAGGAGCTCTGCTCTTTTCCACAGTGGGGTTTTTGCCCACATTTTTTGTGCAATTTTCGCCGATTCCATGACCTTGTTCACCTCTTCTTGTGTACAAGCTGGTTAAAAGCCATAGCAATAAGGAAACGGGCATTGAATAATTCAGAACTTGCACTTGGTCAAGTTAAAAGCTAAACAAATGCGATACAAATTGTGGAGTAATAATTTCTCTTTCTCCTTCACTTTCACTCTGCTTGTTTGCTGTGAAAATGTATGATAATAAAAGAAATCATATGTTTTATTACAAAATTTTCCACTAATTTGAAAACAAAAAAAACAAAATTTGCTTAATTTGGATGGCTTAGGAGTTCTTCGTTTTGTAAAACAGAAGGCAACATTAGCCATACGATCAACAGTTCTGTTCCCTTTTCTTTTCCTTCATTTCCTAGGCAACCAAACTGAGGATAATTACTTTAAAACTTCCAAATTTCATGCACCAAGTTCAATAATAATACAAAAGGAAATTCTAGAAAAACTTCTAGTAAAAATAACACTTCTTTCAGCCCTAGAATTGCATTGAAAATTTTTCTACCAAAACAAATATTTCATTGGATTTATTTCTCCAATTTTAGCTAAAATCTACAAGAAATTTGGTAAATTTGGAACCAAATAACAACAAACAATTTCATTAAACTAATCAGGAACTTAAACTAACTTAAAATCCTCAGAACACAAAGTCCTTTCTTCAAAGAACAGCAATTTTGCATACATACATACAAAGACACACATTTACATATAAACAACAAAATACACACACAAGCATACATATATGCACAAATTCACGCACATGACACATTGTATATTTAAATGTATTAATAGTTTCATAAATATTAATTAATTACCTTGAACCTTGTACTGAGTCTTTCGTGTGGTCGGATTGACAATAGCAACAGACTTTCCGGAAGCTGACTTCTTCCACTCTCCTTCAGAGTAGTACTTGAAGACTTCCCCATCTATGATCTCTGCAAATAGTCCACTCCCAGCCATTTTTGCTAGTGACCCAAAACTTAATTTTCTCTTGATCCCCCTCTTAGCCTCCTCTGCAGTAGGCTTCTAGAGAGAGAAAATAGATGGAGAGAGAGAGAGAGGAACGGTAAGTGATGAATGTGTGTGAGTGTGGTTTGGTGTGATGTAGTTGTGGAGTGGTGTGGTGTGTATATATAGGAGGAAGATGAACCACTCTTCTCTAGCGGCTCTGGACTATCTTGGGTTAGGTGGTTCACAATGTGCCAAGCGAGCTTTGTGATGAATGATGATACATTTCTGTAAATATTTTGACGCTAATTTTTAAGCAATTTACGTGATGGTTAGAGGATCGACTAATTGTCATTTTAGTCCTTGACAGTTACAAGTCAAAAATTAGTTAACCTCGTTTTCTTCGTCCATGTCTGACACCTATTTTTATTTAATTTTGGTATTGGCAATGGCAGCACATCCCAATTTATATAGATTTTGAATTTATATATATATATATATATATATATATATAAAGGGATGCGAATATGCTATATTTGCACTTCTTTTTTCTTTAGCACATAAATTAATTCAATTACTATTTGTTTACCTGTGTATGTACGGAGATTGAATTATTAAAGAGGTATATATTTATTTAAAATAAAGGATAATTCACTCATAAAATACAAGAAAGAAACTAGAAAACTTCCATTAATGGGGGAGTCCTTGCTTTTTTTATGTTCGATTAACATATATCTGACCAGCTAAATTCCAATTAAATTTTGTTAAATTACAAGAAATAAAATGAAATGACTTATTTGTAGCTCACCAAGAATTGATTGAATTGAAGATAGAGCTCTGCACAACTATAACCATTCATATATATTAATATATATATATATATATATATATATATATATATATATATATTTAATTATATATATATTTATATCAAGATTTGAGTATGGGTATCTTATCTGCAGCTTCATTTGCAGAAACTGCTTATCCCTGCCTCGTTGTTGTGGAGGTGGCTGTGACCATACCTTATATCTCTTCCATAACGTTGGGAAGTAGAGTTCTAATAACTCATATGAACAACTTGGACCATTCGATTTGCATCAATATGGCCCAAAAAAAAAAAAAAAAACACACACACACACACCTAGGGATCCACAACCGGGATGGTGAGAAAAAATTTGCACGTGTTGAATTTGGAAATGAAAATGACGAACACATGTTAAAAGAAGCTAGAAATATATTCAAGGACGTCCAAACTCCAAACGCACCTCAACTATTTTGAACTACTATAAGTCATTTATTTATTTTCTCTTTTTCATATTATTATTTTCTTTTTAGTGATTGGTAAAGCAGTATTTGAAGTTCTTTATATTGTCATGTCGGATGAATCAGCCAAACAACAGGGACCATTTGATTAAAATGACTATAACAGGTATCCAAAAATGAGGTGGAAATTCAATTTGGGCTAATTTTGGTAAAACCTGACTGAATCCAAAACTTAGGGGCAAAATTCCAATTATATATATATATATATGCTCCAAGGCTAATCCAATTCTCCTTACACAGTCAATTTCAGTGTGAGAATTGCAATAAAATCAACTTATTTAGCCCAATAATTGGTACATTTTGTTTTTTGTTTGCATCGAGCTTTGTGTGTGTGTGTGTGTGTGTGTGTGTGTGTGTGTGTGTGTGTGTGTGTGTACTAATGATGTTGAATAGAGAGGAAAAAAAACAAATTCTATTTTCAACTTGACGGGGATGGACAAGCATACAATGCGATAAGTAGGTACATCCCCCAAAGGGTATGGACCATGGTTGGAAAAAAAGGGAAAAGAGGGATTACAAGGCTAAGGGATTTCTGGTGTAGGTTGAACCAGACCTTCAATTGTCCAACACAGACCACTAGTCCTGTTCTGGTGGTAGATTGTTCAAAAAACAACAAAATGTGACCCACGCCTCCTCATCATCTTTCAAGCCAACGACCTAATAACTCATTTCTATCCATGGACCACATATCAACATTTCAAAAGCCTCATGACCCACCAATATATTAATTGATTTGGTTTTTGCCCAATTGATGGTGAACCTCTTGTCCACATACAACACCAATGCCTTTATCCACAACCTTTAATACCATAGATATATTGGTCATCAGGTGTTTATACGAGCCACCTAATTTAGCTGGCAAAAATGCAATACATATTGGTGGTGATAATATTATGCTTTTAGGTTAAAGATCTTCTAAATTCTGAACAATGTTTTACACCATAGCATTCCAACTTGGAGACATGCCAGCCCGAGTTCCATTGAGCTACAGTGAGGAATGTCAAGACTGAATTCGTCAACGACACTAAGAAACTCTTTTCTTCCGAAAGTGATTATGTTGTATAACCATCACGATTCAGCATGCTGCTTCCAGCCTAGAGGAACACATTAAGCCAAGTGAAATGGCTCCAGATAATCTACTTGGCAAAAATAAACATACATTTTACACGGTCCAGGGTAACAGCAAAAAAGATTCTCTATAGTAAAAATACCTAAGGTCACAGGGAAGACAACCATTACTGTCCCAATGGTTCTACCACAGACGATATAATAGACTTCCCAAGCCACTTCTGATGGTGAAAAATATAATCGCGAAACAGGAACTGAGTCAGAAAAATGATCCAAGTAGATTTCAATTGATAAGACAAATACTCCTCATGATTCAAATAAGAAGACAGGATGATATATAAAAAGTGTTCCCATGCACCCTTGTATAATATCTCTAGAAAAGGAGATAAAAACTGCTCAAAAGTAACTAAAGAAAAAACCCCTCGATGAAAAAGATCCTCATTCTCAGCTGTAAGCTTAATGGGATTTCACATACTCCTGAACCATGTGAAGACCCTGAGTTTCTTCCCCGTAATCCTACAAACAATCAGATAAAGAAAAGAAAAAAAATTCATTCAGCAAATATTCAAGGACCATTAAAAAACTAAGAAATAAGAAAAAAAAAATAAACTTCCCAGTATTTAAAGCAAAGACAGTGTTCAAAATTGTTCAATCAACATAAATATTTGATGGGTAAATCTGTTTAGGTAAATTGTTTTTGTTACGGACTGTTACTTATTTGGAACAACTAATAAAGGCAGTAAAACTGTGATGTACCTCAACAACAACACAGGAACAACCAACCACCTTCCTTGCTTTCCCTTCAGAATCAATCTTACACAACTGTATTCAAGAAAAATAATAATAATAATTAACATAAAAATCATCAATATTCAGTGAGCATTGTCAGCCATTTTAAGAAAAAAATTCTAGCATCACAAGCCTTACGAACAGAGAGAGGTACCAATAAATCCTACTTCTCAATCAAAAAAGATAAATAAGCAATTTTTTTGTGAAAGACCAATCAGTTCATTTTCCGAAAGGTTTCCAAATAAGTTCAAAGCTTTTTTCATTCCCTATGTTATCCTTCTAATCTTTAGTTTCCCGACACTAGTGTCACCATTGGTCTTCCACAAGGTGAACTTCCATCCTTGTACAAGGGTTAAAAACAATTTTCAACTATTATAGCCACATTCCAAACAGTCTGCAGTATCTCACTAGCACAATCACCAGATCCCCATAAAACACGTTACCTGATGCAAACTTAGCTCAATTGCTTCCACTCAAGCTCAACTACCTACTGCAACCCACATCTAACCACCAGACTCACAGCCCTAGCAAACAACATGATGTGAGTTCCATCCTCACTATATATCTCAGCATGGCAAACCAAGCACTTCCAATCTACACCAAGCCCATAATCCCCCCATATATTATAGGCCTTCACTCATTACAGATACCTGTACCAACCTGCAGGCTCTCCATACCATTAGGAAGAACCCTTAAAAACCTCACAACGGCCAACTAAACTCAATACAAGCCACCCCTTGCCACCATATCAATAATATCTTTCTTCCTTTCCTTTTCCTTTCTTTTCTTTAATTTTTGCTTCAGAGAGAGAGAGTTAATTATGGCCACTGTCAGATCCACAACAATAGGACCCCTATCACAGGCACCACACTGGCTGCACATGTGAAAAGGAAAGCGTTGATGGAGAAGGAAGTGCAAAGTTTGAAAGACAATAAAGAAAATGCAATAGTGCTTGAAATCATTGAAGAAGTTTCTGAATAAATTTTACCAGTATTCCACAAAACTTATAGAACTAAAATATCATTTTCATAGAAAAGTAGGACTTATCCATACTGATCCTTGCGAACTACCTCAACAACATGGTAGCGAGAATTTGATAACCTGGTAGGGCTTGATTAAAAATAAAAAATAAAAAGAAAAGTAGAAGAAGATTAAGAAGCATAACAAATAAATAGAGGATGAAAACTGGAATTTGGTAGTCTAATGGATCCCAGAAATAATATGTGCGAGAGAGGGAGGGAGAGAGATGGATAAAAAATATAAAATAAAAATCCACTTAAACTGTTTTTTATCAGATAAAATTGACCGCACTCATAGTCCTTGGATGACAAATGACTTTTTAAGCATGAAAGAATCAATAAAGAAGTTACAAAGAAACAAGATTCAAATAATTACTCAAAAAGTTTTAAGGAACAAAACCAAAGAGTAACATTACCCAGTCAAGATACTGGAAAACAAGAGCAGCAAATAGAGTGGAACGAATTATTACTTACACCAGCCCACTCGCCAAGAGTTTTAGGATTAGGTACTGATATCAAGCTGACATTATGATCAGCACAAAGTGCTTTGACAAGTTTAACATAATCTGGCTGGTTGCAGTCCTCAGCTAACACACAAAGCTGTGCGGCATGCTTTTCAATCACCTTAGCACCTTCATGGAGCCCTCGCGAAAGCCCCCCATGAGCAAGTGATTTCCTCAGCACAAGCTGCAAGGCTGTCATGACGTCCATGGGCTCACCTAGAGCTGGAGCAGAAGTCTCTGCAACAACATCTTCTCTGTAATAACAAGAGATATATTAGGAAGACATCTTCAAGAAATGAAAGATTTCTTTCTTTTTTGTTTTTTTATTTTCCTCTTTTGTGTGTGTGCACACTTGCATTCTCATTAAAAAATTTCCCAAATGGAAAAGTGAGATTGATTAACAAACTATATTTATATCAATTACTCATATGCAGATTAAGGAAACTTAAAACAGTATCCAAATTGTGTATGTCACAAATTAATGAAGGTGGAATCAAGAATTATTTAAGAATCATCAATTAGCCCCAACCTTGTACCAAGTTAGTTATGAAACTTGAGTCTACACTCAAGAGAAAACATGAACCCTTGTGCCATCCACCACATTAAACCATATCAGCTGTGAGAAAACCTCAAACTTCCAATAATCCTTTTCCAGCTTGTAGAAACTTGCCCGGATAACTAATCTAATCCATTTATTCTATTTTCTTTTCCTAGTTGTAACTCATGCACCCACTTTTGTACCTAATGGGACTTGAACCCATGACCTTCCACTTAGGAAGGTAGAGGAGATATTACTAGGCTACAGGTATCCCAAAACTATTCCATTTATTTTATTTGCACTCAAAACTTGTTGGGTCTTGGTACTGTAAACCAGCACATTGATATCTCTTACAGTTAAACTCCCAACAAAACAATGAAAATTCACTCTCCGCCACAGGTAGTTGTTAGTAACTCTTAAGATACCCTACACTGTCATTACTCCGCCAAAAGTTATTTGACTTCAAATAAATCAATTATCTGATAGTTCATACAATTAAATGTTTGTAACTTTGTATGATCTTTTTTATTTCTAACCAATCATTAAAATCAATCAAACTGCAAATCTCTTATTACTTGTAATCTTCACCGTATTACCATACCAAGAAGTAAAACTATTCAAATAATAAATAGTTAAATAAATTAACATCTACGAGTACAGACTCAAAGGTAATATTAAGACGCACATCATCCACATGACCTGCCAGAAAGTTGAAATTCCTATTTTCTGCAATGGTATATGCTCTTCTTAAGGTTTTAAACCATTTCTATTTCTATAGATAAGAGTTATTTACCATGCAAATATAATTACAATGACATTATCCTTTTTATCATCAGTCAAGTATCTTCCAATTGAATTGGCATGCAAAATATATATATATATATATATATCTTTGATAAGCCAACTGAAAAGCCAACAAGCAAACAAGCCAAAGAGTAACAAGTAATAGGTGCACAACAATAACTACACCGAGTTGCTTGAAGATACTTGTTTCTACTCATAAACAGCGGATAGACTGGAACAATTATACAAAGTTCGGGTCTTGTGCAAACTATCAATTTGCATTTGTCAACATGCAACAATGACAATAAATAATTAGAACAAACAATAAACTTTCACATACCCGGACATTTTTCTGGGTGATGCTAAGATCGGAAACTCCTATATGATCCGAAAATTATATAAAAATTCAATCAGACAGGATGAATAGTCAAACAAAGCAAAGTAAGAACAAATTCAACAAACACTCCTCCACTAACAAAATCAAAAACATTTTGTATGGTTGTTTTTTCCTTGGTGTTGAATCTATAGTTCAAGTATTTTTTGTGAATATCAAAAAACTCACACAAAAATATGCATATTCGATATATATCAAGACATTCAAATTCATAGATGTATCACTGCAAAAAAAATTAAAATAAAAATAAAAATGAAATAAGATTTACCAATTTACATGCACAGAATGGCTCGTAGACTAAGGTTAACGAAGCGGAGAGAAATAAAGGGGAAAATGCAGTTGATACCATTGATAGACAAATCATTAATGAGTGACCAAAACCCTAAATCTGCAACACGACGACTCTTTATGAACCTAAGGATGTATAACAGTAGTGATAAAAATCAATACTCTACCGGATGAATTAACAAATTTAGTGTATGTATGTATGTACAGGAGAGATAGAGAGATCACTTGGATGATATGTGAAGGTGTAACCTGCCTCTGCAACACTGCTTCCGCCTTGCGACCAAGAATACGAAACGAGGGTTTTATATGACCGACTATTTTATTTTTTATTTTTTTCCACTTGCAATATTATTAAAGTAAATTATTCGAGTAAAAAAAAATTAAATTAATTATCCGGAGAATGCAAAATAAGTGCACTAAAAAAAATCCTATCTCGTGACACCTTAACCCCTCAACTATCCCGTTTGTTGCAAATTATTAGTTCATAGTCTCATATTTAACGTTAAGTGGAGGCACGTGACTCGTGTGACTTGGCCAAAATTCAGAATCCCAAATATACCCTACATTTGTGAGAATTCAATGCCCCGAAAACTTAAGGGCTACTCCACAAGGTTCGTCCACAGAGGGTGAGTAGGACCTAACTTCAAGCCGAAAGGCTTAGTCGACGGACAACAGTTGGATATTCTTGTACTATTGTTAGTCCCGAGGGATTAGGGCTGCAACTCGGGCGGATTTGACGTATAACTTGAGTCCAATTCACTATTTGAAATGCTAAACCCAAGTCCAATTCTAATCCTATCCTGAACCTTAACTACTCAATCTGAGTCCAACCCATCCTTCTACTTTTAAATTCGGATTTATATTCCGGATTAAAACTTCGGGTTATTTCAGATTACTCATATGGTTAATATTTATACCGAAAATTTAATATGACATTGAATTAGTTTTAGATTAAATTACTCTTAAATAAGAAAAAGTTTAAAGATTTTTTGTAAATTTTTAATAAATTATAAACAAATTTTTAGAAAATTAATTCTCCTAAATATTAAAATACAATAAGTTAAGATTTAACAAAAAAAAAAAAAAATGTTATAAAGAAAAAAAGTAATCATAGTTTAAATTTTATATATAATGTATTTATAAGTAAAAATATATATGAAAATAATATTCGAATTCGGGTTTGGGTTGGTTCGGGTTGCTAGCACTTCAACCTAAGCCCAACCCTAATTAAATTCGGGTTGAGATTTTTTAACCCAAGTCCAACCTTAATTGTAAAAATGATTGCCCAAACCTGTGAAAAATCGGGCTGGGCTCGGGTTACCCAATCCAAGTTGCACCCCTACGAGGGACGGAATGTAATACCCCTAATTTTAAAAAGGATATTCCTGGTATTTAATGGTATTTAATTTATTATTTAAGTGCATTTTATTTGATTATGTGTCATTATTTTTTTTATTAGGTGCTTAATTGTTTTCTTTTGTGGTGATTTAATTTATTTAAATGATATTTATTTTTAGTTATTTGATTGGAATTACTTGTTAGTGTTTTAATTATTTAAGTGGCATTAATGGTTTAAGTGTAATTAGTTTAGTTATTTAATTGGAATTACTTGTTAGTGTTTTAATTATTTAATTGGCATTAATGGTTTAAGTGTAATTGGTTTAATTATTCTATGTATGTCTTATTTTATGTGTGTCTTATTTGGTTTAATTGGGTTTACTAATTATTATTTTGTTCAATTAGATTATTTGTTAAGTATTTAATGGTGAATAGGGTAATTAGGTAAATACATCTAACTAGGGTTTTAATTATAGTATAAATTAGGGTTTTATATTATAGCTGTCGTAGGTTTCTACGTTAATTGGATGGGCCGGTTAGGATTGTGAGTTGGACTTAAATGAACCTAGGGTTTAGAAAAACTCTATAAGTATAAGGTAGACGTCTGTGTAGGGTTTTTTTTAAACAAAGCACACATTTTGTGGAAGTGGAGAAGGAAAAACGCAGTTTTTCACATTCTGCCAAAGTTTGATCAAAGCTCCGATCCAGCTTCGTCCGTGGTCCGATCGAGCTGAATTTTGGAGGAGAGGTTCACGACTCAGTGACGCACAATCTGAACGGTGGAGATCAGACTTTGACCTCTGGAACAGTGATTCGTACTCGTGAACAGTAACTGGGTCGCACAGGTTTTTTCCATTCTGCCCAGATTTCATCAAACATCCGATACCGCTTCGTCCGTAGTCCGATCGAGCTGAAATTTGGAGGATAGGTTCATGACTCAGTGTCGCACAATATGAACGGTAGAGATCAGATTTTGAGTTCGGGAATAGTGTTTCGTACCCATGAATAGTAACCGAGTTTTGGAACTCGCCGGGATTTTTTAAGAAGACGACGTTGAAACTTTGAACAAAAGTTTCTGAGGCAAGATTCTATCCTTACTCTTTCCCTTAGGCTTCATACTCTTTGCACTCTTAAATGATTCCAGGATTAAAGAAGATTAAACCAAACTAAAATGAAATCTGTTTTGCTATGAAACTGGTAGTTACAGTAGTGTTGTATGCTTGTTCAACCTAGACTAAGCATGTTTGTGAATGTATTGTGGTTCTGTGGTTCACGTTTTTCCTTACCACTGCTAGTATAAATTATTGGAAGGATGGGTCTAGATGATAGCTATCTTAACTTCTGTAATAGCAACTGTTGGAACTTAAATATTAGGAGGATTTGAGTTTAACACTAGATCGGTTTTGTGGAACACTATAATTTGAGCATGTCTACATACATACTGTGAATATTGTTTTGATACTTACATTATCACAGTTAGTATCAACTATAGAGGTTAGGATTTTGTGATACATACCCTACATATCTGTATGTCATTTGTAAGGTGTTAAATGGAAGTTTTAATTAATTCTGTCTTTATATCAGACTAAAGGGAACAACTTAAATTGGGCATGTATATGTTGTTTTTGTGACCCTGTTTATCAATGCTTATTTTATCACTGTTAACATTGAATGTTGGATGTTGGAATTTAGTTGATATATACTTGATTTATTGGTATTATTGACTACTGGAGGATTGGAAAGTAGGCACCGGTATGGGACGATGGCATACTAAGGACGGGTTTGGTTTTTAAAACAATATCATTACCCACCTACTTGGAATAAGGATGGGATTAACTAAAAGTTAAGTCCCGTGGATTTGTATTGTCATGGCAACTACTTGTTGAGCGGCAATACCAGGGATTTTGGATGGATTTTATATATGTACTGTTATGGTGCCTCGGTATGAGCTTGAGCCTCAGGACCGATGGCTAGGGAGCGTATATACATCGGGATGTGTAGCTGGCTACGATGGTTGGAGGTGTACCCTGTTCAGGTATAGGTACATATGCCCACTTCGTGTGCGTTTTAGCATGTTACCTCTATTCAGGTTGAGACCGACCTGTAATCCAGTGAGAGTCCTTTAGTGTGACTATATATATATTTACGGACTATTAGCTATTGTTGAATTGTTTAGGATGTACATGCGTATCGGGCCTCTGTTTGGATTGTAATAGTATAGAACTTGCGCGTGGGCCTGACCCACTTCTATTTTTCAGGTACACGACAGTTCCAGGCTTAGACGTGTTCGTGCTGAGCAGAGGTCTCTATTCACTCTTCCGATGATGTAGGGCTCTCTCTATAGTTTTATTTCTGGACGTTTATTACAGTTGTTCTATCTTCCGTTTGGATGTTTAATAGGGGTCCACTAGAGATGGATTCCCAAGTTGTAAACTGATGGAGTTTTGGAGTTTGGGTTTGATGAATTTTAATAATTATAATATTTTGCGGATTCTATTTTTAGTTCCTTCCAGCTTTAATTTCATTTCTTAATTTATTTTGTATTCCGTGTTCATTATAAAATATTAATTGTTTGATATTCCCTCGGGTTTGGGCCTGGGCCTGATCAACCCGTGTCTCGGATCCAAGGGGTATCACACGGAATCATTATACCATTATATATATCATTCCATAGGTAGTGACAGTTGTGGTTTTTGAACTATTTTATTATGGAGTGGTTTGGAATGGTCATTCTTCCTTTAAATTTCATATCAACTAAAGAAATGGTTGGAATGAACGTTTCATTCCATTCTTTTATGCGTACCAAATTAGGCCTACGAGAATTTGAGGTGGTGTCGGGTTTTCATTAATTCTTTGTAGTCCACTACTGAACATATATAGTTCATTCGTTTCGCATGCACTAGAGAATAATCCAACAACATTTATAAGCAACTCCAAGAGAATTCGAACTTCCAAAGCTAATGGGAAAGTATATATTATTAGAAAATTTTAAAAATTATGGTTAAAATAAGTGAAACAAAAAAAAGGAAAATAAGTAAAAGCTTAGGCCTGTTTGACATGCATTTTGTTTCTGCTATTTTTGTTTTTGAGCTGCTATAATGTCGATTTTGGCAACAAAAGCTTGTTTGATGCAGGCTTGTTTTATTTTACACAGTACTAAAACACTTCGTGAACAGTGGCCCGATATTAAAACACCAAAAAGTTTTATTTTTTTATTTTTTTTATTTTGACAACTGTTCATGGCCCAAAACCATAACAGTAGCGCAACATGGGTCCTAAGTGCTAAAACACTTCATTCCTAAAACGTACTTCCGATTTTTTTCCAAAACACTCCTACAACAAAAACATTGTTTTTGTTTTAGCCAAAAACAAAGCATATGCCAAACAGGCCCTTAGTATGAGAGTTTTAGAACAAGAAGGGAAGCGAAATCAATTGAAGGGAGCAGATTTATTAATTTGTTGAACAATGTTTCCCTATCTGTATCACAAGTGGGAGGGAAAATGGAGAAGCATAAGAAGTAGGATTAGGGGAGCACAAAAATCTGGTCAAACCGAAAATCCAAATCGGACCGGACAGTTTGGTTTGGTTTGCTAATGGTTTGGTTTGGTCACGGTTCTAAATTTGTGAAACTGTAAAAATACAGTTTGGTCATGGTTTGAGATCCTTTATGACCGAACTAGATCGAACCGAACCATTATGTTATATATATATTCTTATTTATTTATTTATTTATATATACGTTAAATTATACAATATATATTGGGGTAAATTACACAGACACCCTCTGAGGTTAGGTCATATTTCAGCTAGATGAAGATTTTGGTTTTAATTTTCACTTACACCCCAATCATGCGAATTGACCCTTTTACCCTCAATTTTTTAATACAAAATTTATGTAATCTTAAATGACAAAAGACCCCCTATCCCTACTCCACACCATCGCCACCATCTCTGGCTCCCGACCACATCCACCACTGCATACCCGCCTACATCCACCACTGCATACCCCAAACCACTGCCGAAATGGACGTTCATGGCAAAAATGTTTTTAGATTTCTATTCCCCCTCACCACTGGAATTGAATAAGAAATCACTACTAAATCTTATCATTCAGTAAATAAGAAAATCAACCTAATAAACAATTATTTAGCCAATTTCCTTATTCACAACTACAAACCCAGTTAAAAGCACAAAACCCATACTATGATGCCATCAATTTCCCGTATCAAACAAAGTGTTAGAAAAAGGTCATAATCTGTCAGCATTTAAATTCCCAATTTAATTCTCTTAACCATTTTCTGATCGAAGGCGAAGTCGATTGCGGACGACGACGCTGAAGAGCAAGTTGATGTTGGCGGCGGGTGTCGGATTACAACCTTTACAGTGTCGCTATCAATATATCTCGGCGGTGGGACGTCGGATTACAGGCTTACAGCCTCGACGGCGTCGAAATCGGCGGAGAAAATCCGCGTCTCGTGCTCCTACAGGAGGGCTGGACCCAGCCCTTGTAGCGAAACCCAGTTCATGTCCGGCGACGAACGACAGAACTGAACTGACCCAGTTCCGGCGAGCTCCTAGTGTCGGCAAAACCAAACTCAATTATGGCAAGCTCCAAGTAGCAAAACCCAGTTCACTTGATTTGGTGGTGGTTGTGGGGGGTGATGATGGATGTGGCTGTGGGTGGTGGAGCTGTGATGTGGTGGGTCGGCGGCGGCGGTCTATGGTGGGGGTGATTGATGGTGGTGATATATATATATACACACACATACATATGTGTGTGTGATTTGGTGGACAAAACAGTGTCGTGGTGGTGGAAAAAAAAAAAAAAAAAACCTAAATCGAAGAAGGAAGAAAAGGATTGAGGAGAGAGAAAAATAAGACAAATTTGGCAATTTTAGACACCAATGATCTTTGCCGCCATTCTCTTCAATTGCCCCTTTCTCTCTCTCTCTCTAAGACCCTTTTCTTGTTTGGGAAAAATTCAACAATGGCAAAGAGGTAGAGAGAGAGAGTAAGGTTCATGACAGCAGCGGGGCGATGGTGATTGTGATGGGTAGTTTGGTCACAAAAAAAAGTCAATGTGAGGTCAAAGGGTAATATAGTCATTTAACACCTCAAAGTATTCTAATTTCATCAAAAATTAATTTTTGGGGTGTAAGTGAAATGTTAACCTACTAATTCAAATATAAGTGAAATCTAAAACCAAAATATTAATATAGGTGTAATATGACCTAACCACAGGGGGTCTAAGTGTAATTTACCCTATATATTATATGGTATAATATAATCCTCCAATTCAAATCACTTAGAAGTTTGTATCAACTATCAATCATATGGTCCAATCTTAATTCTCTTAGGTCTTATCAATTTATTAGATGATTCTTTTTTTTTTTTTAGTGTGGGCTAAATTTTGAATTTTGGTTGTTTGTTTGTTTGTTGTTGAATTAGTAATTATAAATATATTAGATTATTAGTAATTCTAAATTTATTCACCTTAGTTCTGGAAGTGATATAGAAGAATGAATTAAAAATTTTGAACATATTAATAGTTTTGAATGTGTTGGTAACTTAGTTTATTGTTGTGTATGTGGATTTTAAAATATGAATACTTCTGTAACAAAAAAAAAAAAAAAAAAAAAAAAAAAAAAAAAAAAAAAAAAAAAATCCGTGGAACCGAACCAAGCCAAACCGGTTTTTCACGATTTGGTTTGGTTTGGTTCATTTGGTCAAATGGTTCGGTTTGGCTCAAAATTTTATGAATTTGTTAGAATTGGTTTGGTTTAAAAATCCTCTTAAATCAGTTCAAACTGAACCTTATGCACCCTTAAGTAGAATTACTCTAAGTAGGATTACTAGATTTGTAACAAAAGAATTTTTATTTTATAATTTCACTCACATAACTGGAATGAATACTAAAGCACCATAATAGGGTTAAAAATTATTTTCTTTCCTTTTGGTCTTGAAGATCCATTCATGAAAGTGGACCGGGTTTGAATAAATGAATCTGATTGGGTACAGTGATTCGGCCTCTTCACTAAGTTGGGCTTCTCTGGTCAATCGGTCTATTATCCAGAAGTTTGGGCCTGTGTTCTAGCCCGGCAGGTTGGATTACCACATAGAGCTAACCAATCATATTCTGCCACGCAAACAGAACTCCTATACCAATTATCACCCCTCAACGTCACGGCACAGAACTTTCGTTAAACCTTCTCCTCAAAGCCGACAGACAGTATATACAGATATATAAATATATATATATATATATATATATAGATATAGAAAGAGTGAGAGAGAGAAGTTTTAATCGATCACTCTTCCATCTTCCATCTTCGATATCATTCAGTCTTCAAATTGAATACCAAAAACCCTAGAGAACAATATGCATACCCCAAAGCAACAACTCCAGATCTTCGTTCAATCCCCAGAGCTCCAAATTCCCATTCGTGCCCTAACCCTAAACCCTGTTGTCACCATACGCCACCTGAAGCTCTCTCTCCTCCCCCAAAACCTCCCAGCCGAAGCCCTAGATTCCTTCTTCTTCACCTTTAACGGCCGACCCATCTCCGATTCCTCCACAATTAAAAGTTCCCAACTTGCCCCTTTGTCCACGCTAAATCTACGATTTCGCCTCCCCGGTGGCGGTGGCGATGGCGGAGCCACCGGCGCCGAGTCCCGAGACTGTTACCTCAACATGTACGCGGTGAAGAAGCCGGATAAGGTCGACCCGAACGAGCAAAAGCTGTCCAAGTTTACGAATTGTGCGTTGTCGAACGAACCGTTGAAGCACCCAATTGTGGTGGATCTTCTCGGGAATGTGTTCAACAAGATGGCGCTTGTGGAGGCGTTGTTGGGGAAGAAATTGCCCAAAGCGTTCGGACACATAAAGGGTTTGAAGGATATGATTGCTGTTGAGCTCGCGTTGATACCTGGGTTGGCTTCAGTTGATGATGCGGCGGTTGGCGTGACACGGTTTCAGTGTCCAATTTCGGGTTTGGAGTTCAATGGGAAATACAAGTTTTTCGCTTTGAGGACTTGTGGGCATGTGTTGAGCTCCAAGGCTTTGAAGGAGGTTAAGTCCTCCGGATGTCTTGTTTGTCACAAGGATTTTTCGGAATCCGATAAGATTGTGATTAATGGGAGTGAGGAAGAGGTAAAGGCTTTGAGGGAGAGGATGGAGGAGGATAAGGCAAAGCTGAGGGAGAAGAAGGTGAAGAAGGTGAAGAATGGGAATGCAGATGAAGGTGTTTGTATGGAGTCATCGCGGTTGAGTGGGACGAAGCATGAGATTGATGATATTAAGGTAGCAGAAAAGGTTTCTGCAAAATTGAAGAATTGGAATGTGAATGTTGCTGCTAATGGTGCTAATGGTGGTGTAAAGGGTGCAAGCAATGGTTTGAGTAATGGTTCGGGAAAACGGTTCAAGGCAGGTGATGTGGCTCCAGCTAATGCTACTAAGGAAGTGTATGCCTCCATATTTACCTCGTCAAGAAAGTCTGATTTTAAAGAAACATATTCTTGCAGATCGCTCCCGCTTGGTAGAAATTGATTGATGACATTGTAAGGTTATCTCTTTGTGTTTTGTTCTGATGTGTTGTTTCTCATTCAGAAAAAAAAATAGCAAACGGTCCTCTTTTGTTACTGATTGCTACAGGATGATGATCCTCTTTATGTAACATATTGATCTTGATCAATGGATTGCTTATTTGATATGGTATTATCGGTTTTCTTCTTTGTAATTTTCTGGTGAAATATATCTACTGTTCATTCATGCGATGTTAATTATTAATTGAATGATAAATTTTTGAACACAAATCAACTTAGCGGATCAACTGTACAATTTCATTCACTGCATCCATCTTTGCATATGGTCATACTTAATGTTTTAATCATATGCCAGTATGTCTTTTTACACAACTCCAATCCATAATTTTGGTCTTACCATTGTCATGAAAAACCTTTCTGAATCAAACTGTTAGTTATTATTCCTCATGCATGTTGCCAAGCAGTGGAGTATCAACTTGGTTTCTCTCATCTTGTACCGGGTTGGAATTATGTGGAATTCTAAAAAATATGCTCTTTCCCTACTGTAAGTTGTGTTAGTCATTAAAATCACAGGGATCTTGAAGAATAATGAGAATAAAATATTATCCTGTCACAGAAAATATTTTGTGCTAAAATGAATTCATAGTTGAGAATTAAAGAATATGTGTCAAAACCTACTTTCACATATCAGCTTCATGGTTAGACAATATATGTGAATATACACATGGTAGCCTAATAGTTTGGTTAAAACCGGTAGTTCTGCTTGACCAGCAGCCAATTATGTCAAAACTTTTCTGAGTAGTTGCAATGGCTGCAATTCTATCAACTCCCTGCTCTGGAGGTGGGTAGAGCATTTCCCTCCGTCTCTCCTGTTTTAACTACTCCAGACCTATCAGCTTCATGGTAGACAACATAGGTTATTCATGAGGCCTAGCAGTCTGTCCAATTACATTATTCCTAAGTAATAGCAACCACAGCAATTCCACTTGCCCCTGCTCATGGGGCTGAGCATTTTCCTCTTCTCTTCTATTTTTATTTTCAACTATTTCAGACGAGCCTGACATTCCATCTTTTCCTATAAGAGATGCTGCCTGGTCAATTTTTTGACAATGATGCGACCTCAGGTTACATTTTATTTTGCTGATTGGCCAAACCTGTTGAGCAATAAATCAGAATTACTTATGATTGATGAAAAGTCCGATACAATTTCAAAAAAATTGGTTTAGAGCTTTACTATGTAATGATGCAGGCAGATGCTTTGTATTTCATGCTTATGTTTTATGAACTAGGAGATGGGTCTATGGGCTGGTGTACTGGTGTTAGATAGGAGTTTTTACTTGGTCTTTAGAAAGTTTTGTGATGGAGGGTGTTGCATGGACTTTGTAAGGGAGATTCACTATATCTGTTTGCTTCTAGGTAGAATTTACTATGACAAGATCTGGCATTCACTTTGTTACTTGAATTTCTTGACGCATTCAACCGTTGAATGGCATAGGTTATTAATAATCTGGGTTGAGTACAGACAAAACAGCTTAAATGTGAATGAATACAGTATAGCTTGAACATGAACTACGATCATTCTACTTTAGGGCGTTGATGGAAAGTTCTCTCACCTTGTTTACTCCAAGTCGTTGGAGAGCAAGTTGTGGAGAGTACTCTCACCTTACTCTCCAGTCGTTGGAGTGCATTATAAGTTGAAATTAGCTGTTGAAGATGCTTTAGCTCCCCAAGTTCACATTTGTAACCCTGATTACCCAATCTGTGTCAATAGTTGATTCTGTGTTGTTGTTAATCAAAAGGGTGCCAGAGGAAGTCCTCTTGCAGTGGTCATAAAAGTGTACTTTCACTCTTTATAGTAGAAGAACAGAAATGACTAGTAAATTTTATTTTGAGCTCATAACCATTGATACGAAGATCTTGTTACACAATATGAAGCCATTTGAGTTGTGGGAGGAGGTAATGGAGATATACACACTAAGTTAGGAAAAAGGGATAGAGAAATCTTTAGCACCATACATATAATTGTCACAATTGAATCAATTACAAATTACTCCTACAAAATTTAGAAAGGCTATGAAATTATTGCCAGTACAATATTAGATGTCATTACAATATATCTAAAGTGATCATATATGCACTACGGTAGCACAAAGTGATCGACACAATGGACATGAATTATTTTTCGGCAACCACTTGAGCAAGCAATCATCATGGAATACGTGCGAACATCGTAGCGTTGCAACCAATGTCCCCGTCAAGAATCCCTGCAAACATATCGGACAATTGTATTCTTCTTCTGGTCTATCATCACCAATCAATCTGGTGACCTTCACTCCAATCTCAATTTGTTTCAGAACTACTGCTTTCGGTTCATGAGTAGTCGTAATTAGTTTGCTATTTAGACAAAACTCTTCCAACTCTTTTAAAATATCCGAATGGTCAATCCTTAGCATCTCCAAATGGGAATCCTCTTCTTCTTCACTGATAAAAAGATTTACAATGATGACAATCTTGGACTTTCTCGAAGCGTTTGGCATGTGGCGGGTAAAGTGATAATCGCTGACAAGGATGGAAGACATACTTTGTGATAGAACAAGAGCATTACTGTCTTCCAAGAAAACGCGGGAGGATAGGAGGAGGCGAGAGAACATTGATTCTAGGGTTTGTTGAGACAGTAAGTGCTCGAGATTGATTGTGAAAAGAGCGTCATCTGCGGTAGTAGCAGTGAATACACGAAGCAAGAACACTCCTCCTTCATCCTCATTACTGCTGGAAACTGTTTCGCTCCACTCAAACACACCCATTGTTGCGCCAGAAATCCTTTCAACCCTAGCAGCCATCATCGATCTCTCTCTCACTCTCTCTAATCTCCACTCTAATAGTCTCTCGACAAAAACGAAAAAAACCCTCTTGCACAAGTAATTAATGAACGATTTTAAGGGGATATATATAGAAACCGCCTTTGTTATTAAGCCGACTTGGACTAGGATTTGGATTTCTTAGAGATCAAGTTATAGTCGCCGCCTCTCTTGCTCAATTGCACTCCTACTTAGGACTTTTAATTGATCAGCTTAGTGGTGTGAAAGTACCACTAAGCTGCAAGCCCTAATCATCTAAATAAATTTAAGATGAAAATAAAAATTATTTCCTTCACACGTAAATGTAAATGACAATGGGTGATTGTGGAGAATTGTAGCTAAGACGCTTTTGATGCCAACAAGACACTGCATGGGTTGGGTTAATTACCCTTAAATTAGGCCATCGGGATCAATTAATAATTTTAAAGAAGTGAGCATGGCTATGGTGACTTTATCTAGCCCAATTGTCCTGACATGGTTATAAACTGGAGTTTCGTGAGAATACAGCACCCGCACAACATCATTGATATAACACATTATAATGGAAAAATTAAACATCCTCCAAATTCTTAGAATGCCGTCGATTGGGTCGTCTAAATGGGAAAATGAATCCCACCCTTCCCCACCCATCACATGACATTATGTTGTAAGACCCACACCACACTATCCCCAATTCAGAACACCCTCCGATTTCAGAAAATGTATCATTGCTCCGCTATGATATCCCACCAACATAAGAAATTGATGCATTCCCCCACACTCATCTCTGCAATGAATTATTATCGTCTCCAAAGTTAATATAATACATCTTCCAGTAACACTTAAAAGTCATTGCCCCTTGAAGATGGTAAAAAAGTTAAAAGCATGCTTATGAATCAAAGCCTGTACGAGGTAAAAAAAAGATTACTTTACCTCCTTTCTTAAAACCTACTAGGCAGTCTATCCAGGTCCACTGCCAGGACCATATAATTACCAGGTTTATACACAAGTCATTGTATCAGTATCATTCTATTCTTTTTTTTCTTTTTCTTTAATTACTACTGTTACTCAATTGTTCCCCAAACAAAATGGAACATTCAACAAAATCCACTTCTGGCTTTATGCCTGAAGAAGGAGAAATGACAAAAACTTATCATGATACAGTATACGTAAGAGTACCAAAGCAGATTAATCCACTCACATCTACCTTGACCTCCTCTGCTTGTACATGCGCCTTGCCTGCATCAGGTCTCGCAGAACCTCAGCAACCACAAATTGAAGCTAGCATCGAACTATAGTGTCAGTCTTTATGCAGGTCAGATTCTACAGGTGGCATGCCCAGGTCCATTATGTAACCTCCGTAGCGCTCAACATACAATCTCTATAAGTAATGCACTATGAATTAATGTTGCTTTAAGAAAAATGACAATTCTGTGACACCGTCATTGACGGCCAATACAGTGTTACATTCATCGGTATATACACAATCTGAAAAAAGCATATGGCGGCAGCATGGTAACAATATAATATAACTATTGCGGGTGTACACAGCCAGCCCCAACACTCCATGCTAAGCAGGTGGCATAACCAACCCTCAACTATCTAGATATAAGTGGAGGAATCAAGCTAAGCAGAAACTCCCTCAGAACCACGAGGGCAATACACCCAATCAAAAACAGCTTCCTTAAGCTCACAATTAGTTACTGATCCACCTCCGTTTCCGAGCTGGACGTTCTTGTTTAATCTCTGATTCTGCACGGGTTTCACCTTGGACCGAAGGTAATGGTTCACTCTCCATCTTTTTTATTGCTATCGCGTCCTTCTCGCTGGGCATTGGAAGCTTGAAGCGTTCGCTTCGCTTCTTCAACTTTGCAACTGTGTCCAAGTGTTTATCCTCCGTCTGTTTCACATCAACATGCTTATTCTCTGGATTGTTGGAATCTTTTTCATCACCCGAGGGATGTTGGTTATCAATTGATTCGGCCGTTTTGGAAGATACATCTGGAGGTTTGCTGGCAAAGGACGACGCACCACTGTTGTAAGTGTCAATCGCTTTAACTTTTAAGGATGACGACGACTTGGTGTTGATACTAAAATCCCTCTCCTTATGGCTAGTCCATCGTTCCAATTTGGACCGTCCTCTCCTTGAATCTTGCTGCTCGTCATCTGATGAAGCATCTTGCCTATGCTTCCCAGAAGAGAGATGGTCCATCGCAATGTCATGTCTGCCATTTCCTTGCTCACTAATTCCTTTCAAGATTACCTAAATGAAAGCAATATTGATTGTTAAAAAAGGCACAAACCTGTAGGAAATTTCGAAGCCAGATCCACGAGACCATGATCAAAAAGTTCTAAAAGAAGAAAAAGGAGAATGTAACTCATTGGCCCCCAGCAAGGAGATTAACCATAATACCCCCACTAAATGATAACAATTCTTTGGACCTCTGTGATGGTTGGCATACGTTCTACAAGTCTTGAACCTTGGCCTTGTGGTTTAGGGTTCAAGCCATAAGCCAACTGGCCACAGGGTGAACTGGTCATCTGTGATAGTTACTGACTGACTTTGTAAAGAACTGATCAGCTTTCCTTTTTCATTTTCGCTAGGGGATGATCTTTAGCAGAAACTGCTAATAGCACTCGTCATCATTAGCACATTGAGTAACAGTTGGTTGGATGACCCATTATCCTCACAACCACTGACACAAGATATTCACACCGATATTCTCCCATGTAGCCAACATTAGAAAGCTAGGCCTAAAAGGACCCATTTATGGACTGATTTTATGTTTTTCCCCTGAATATGAACCGCGAATTAAAAAAGGGCCCACGCAGTAATGCAAAAGCAAAATCAGCAGTAAAGACAAGGGGACGAAGCTCAAAGATGAAAATTCATTGGAGATGAGATAACTAAAAATTAGCCATCTACAAATTATAAGTTTATACAATTTAGAAAGCCTCCTCAAGAAAATATTGACTTGCTACTATTGTTGTTAACATATTAGCCCCCAGAAAAAAATATTGCAGTCTAAACATCTGTCAAGCTTAAGTAATGGCCCTACAATTGCTAGGTAATAAATAAACCTAGGCATTGATGAGGACATGGAATATACATGCTATGAATCAAATGTCAGGTAGAATACTACAGAGTAAGATAGTTTCATGGCACCAAAATCACAGAACTCAGACATAATGGATTTACAAGCTTTCTCAACTTCTACATATAAACTACTAATACAAGTTCTCTCACCAAAAAAGAAGTCCACAAGTATATTTTGATGAAACTTAAGCAAGAGAATAATATCTAGTAAATCTAACATATATGTATTGCAAAAACAATAAAAAGATCCACTAAGTAAACTTTAAATTCGATCTCAATAACAATTAATATGTCAAAGGAAAATCATTAATACGGCAATATATAGAACTCATCCACCAAACAAAAGAAACAATAGATTACACAAGAATTAGTTAGTGACTTGGTGTTCTCCTCATTGAATTTAAAATTTCATTCATTTTTTATCCATTTCTACCTGTTACATAAACAATGCAAAATAATAAAATTTATTAGTTATTCACTGCACCATGTGGACTCTCCTGTTTCTCCAAGGTATTGGTGTCAGCACAACACTACAAAACACGTGTGTCCAATAAGAACCTATATCGGACACGCCAACTCTCTCAAATTTAATTATAGAGAAGGACTACGTAATTTTCACACGAGAAATAGTATGAAACCCCTTTTCTCCACCACATCCCATTTAATTACACAATATATATTTGCATTTTTACATGCACGTATCTAACTTTTGAACACATTCCAAGCCAAGTCTCCGTATCCAGGCATATGGTGTTCCAGGAGGTCCAACACCCGACACACAAACAAACCTGATACTTGTATTCAAACCCATGTACCATAAGTGCAATTTATGTCTTGGGTTCTTATTCTACATACCTAACATCCAACTCAGTAGAAAGCATGATCTAAATTACAATATCAACTGCAGTTTTGCTTTCATGGCAATGCAAGCAGACAATATAAAACTGGTCCAATCCTTAAGTTTCAATATTGAGAGATATCAAAGTCCGAAGTATAGAGATGCTGATGAAGTTATTGGAATTTATATCTATGTCAATTTAGATTTTGAATCTTCAGAGATAGCAATAAAAAATGAAAATTTTAAGGAAATTTGGGACTGGTTTAAAAAGACACTAATGCAAGATGTAGTAATAAAAAATGGTTTAACTTATAAGTATCCATGCAAGTATGTGTCATGGAGATTGCAAAGAACACAAGACTGAGAGTATTCAATAAAAATTATACAGTATTAAAAGCCAATGCATAATAAATATACAGTCATATTCTATAATTTTTCTTTGTAGATTTTAAAGAACACCATAAATACTTGTTAGTTCAGTTGAATTAACCAAATTTCTTAATATATAACATTATCATATTAAAAAAAAATAAGAATATAATATTTTCTAAAAAAAAATATCAAACCTTATAAAGGAATTATTGAAAATATACTTATGAAGTCAAAGGATAAAAAGAGTGAATTATCCAGAAGGATGAAACTATTGATTGAAGCATTAAAACCAAGGTCGACATGTATTCTGTATGAAAAGCATTATTGTACTTTAATATTAGTAAAATTGTCAGTGCAATAAGAATTTAAAAAACACAAATTTGAAGAAAGAATTCTATTATGATGGATTACATAAAAACAGCATCACAAAGAGCTAATGCTGTTGGGGAGGGGGAATATTACCAAGTATAAACCAAACATCTGGTTTTATTTGCATGTAGCAATTTAACGTTACATAGTCAGATTGTTTTAGTATGTGGATGGAAATGGATGCTGGAACGTGGTCTACATCTATGTGAGATGGACTTAGGTACCTGTATTAGGTGTGGGTGTGTGTCTAAGTGTTGGGCCTCCCTGAACCCTAAATCAAAGGAACATGGAAATTTGGCTTGAAATGTCTCAAATAGTTAATTGCTGATATATAAACACGTTATGCACATTTAAATGCATTAAATGTTAAATGATATTGTAATGTATAAGTATTTAAGTATTAGAATGGGATGTACTTACATCTTTTCAACACATGAGAATTAGGAAACCTTCTTTGCCCTCAAATTTGAGCTTTTCCTTTCTCCATCATCCCAAGTGGAAGATCAGAGTGTCAAATTTGGGCCAGTGTAATGGGACACATATCCCATACTTATATTAGTGCAGTTTCGTGTCTATACGATCCACGTACTCTAAAATGGGGAACAATAGAAAATTCCGTGTAACACATCATATACTCTAAAAGGGAGAACAATGGGGCAGGTTTACACGGATATCACACTTGGAAGGTGTTGATGTATTTCTAAATGTAAAACGGATTTACTTTGAACGAGTTGAAACATAACATTATAGGATTCTTGCATTGGAAAAGACTATACTATGACTAAGCAATGGACCTCCCTTGTTCAGTGGATTGTCTTGGAGCAAGGGTTTATATTTGTTCTATTCTGTTGGGAATAATGGAGCAGTTCTGTTCATAGGAGCAAAGAGAAGCAGATATATCCTATACTTGATAAGTACCAATACGCAATGGGGGGTTGATACCATTTCCTCTAAATGAAAATGTCCATACTTGTTAATCGTTGGAAGGACCGATTTGTACTCATCTTCTTTATTTTATCACTTAGGAGCCGTGTGAGATGAAAGACTCATACATGATTTGAATGAGAGAGAAAAGTGAAGAATCATCTTTTCGACTCTGACTCTCCCACTCCAGTAGTTACTTTTCTTTCTGTTACTCCGAAAGCAGCTGCTTCACAAGTTGTCCAGTCACTTTCAAAATTATGTTATATTAGATTAAATGATGTAACATATAGAAACTTATTGTTCGCAATATAATTCTACTTCCATGCTCCAAGGCCCTCCCTTAAAAACCTTATTCTGAAATGCTCTTACCTTCCTAGATATCAATTACTTTCCTTGTTTATGTTTTTCTGTATAAAGATGAAAACTAGGGGAGAAACTTTTAAGATCATTAAATTCAAAATTTTGGAACAAAACTGTACCATATGCTTTGAAATGTACTTACCAAATAGGCAATTCACTGCCACATTAGTAGCAACTCTGTGCTGCCCTCAATTTTGAACTCATGTTCACATACTTGACAACCTGAACATTTAATATTACACCAGATAAATCCCCTAAAATGGTCTAGAAGACCATGAGTTGTTTAGTTTTAAGATTATAATAAAATTCATAAATAGATAAAGCATTGGAATTTTTTTATTAAAATCCTACGATCTCTTTTTCGTTTTACCTACTAAAGAGTATGCGATGAAGGAAAAAGATTAAAGTTCCAACTAGACATTTATGTTTTGTGCAGTAGGAAGGAAGTAAGAGGAGTGAAGCGAAAATAGGGAGGACGGAACAAACTTCCTTTGATCGGTAGAGAGGAGACAAGGAGAGAAATGATAGATGGGAGGGATGAATCATCCTTCCTCCTATACAAATTTTCATCCCTCCAAATATTGGCGGAAAATATGAGGGAAGACAAGTGGTGCTATTATGGAAGTTTTAAATTACAATACTATCTTAAATTATACAACTTTTAAATTACAATATTATCCTCTATAAATTACAATATTACGTTTGCTAGAAGAAAGAATTTTAAATTATTTTTACCATTATATCCATCACAAATTTTCACCCTTCCTCCTCTACAAATTTTCATCCCTCCAAATATTGGCGGAAAAGAGGAGGGAAGACAAGTAGTGCTATTATGGAAGTTTTGAATTACAATACTATCTTAAATTATACAACTTTTAAATTACAATATTATCCTCTATAAATTACAATATTATAGATTATAGATAGTGATGGCCATAATGGTAAAAACAATTTAAAACGCTCTCTCTTAACAAACATAATAAATTGTGAGCTTATTCTCCTCTTTTATCAAACTGAACAAAAAGAAGAAAGAACATAATCTCTTCTCTAGAGATGTCTCATCCATCCCTTCTTCTCTCCCTTCCATCCAAATTTTTTCTTCCTACCGAACAAAGCATTAATAATGAACCAAAAGAGGAGAAGAAGACGATGACGATGACTACAAGGGAGAAAAGATGACGATAACAATAGATTATGACGAGTTAAATCATTATATTAGTTCTGATTTAGATAGTTAAGTAGGCTTTTAGTTTCTATTAGTGAGGTCCTCACTTGTATAATTCGCATGTACTTGGGTCATCCCCGCTCTCTCTCAACATTTTGATAGTATTATATATATGTACAACTTACCCATCCAAAAAGGCAAAGCATTTGATCTCTCTCAACTTCCTTTTTTTTCCCACGCCATGACATCACTACACTCTTGTCAAGATCTCAACCATATTTTAACCATATGATGATTTTCCATTTTGAGCAGAGGTGCGAGATCCATCAACTAACAAGATCTCACCCAGTATCTTGTTTCGGTAAGGATTTAAGACACCCTCACAAGCATAACTAGCTTTGAGAAAGAGGATATCTAGTTATTTTCATACTGGGTATGTTTTGTTTGTTCAAAGTTTTGTTATTTCTTTTCTTCTTTTTTTTATAAGTAAAATTGTATAAAAGCACTCCAAAGGGGAGCGCATCCAAAGAGAACTACACAAGGCCAAATAGGGCCTCTAAATTTTCGAAGAGTCTAAAAAATCGACAATCTCCTCTAAATATCTATAATTTCTCCCTACAAATCAACAAAAAATAGTGGAAATAATAGAGAACTCAAGCATAGAAATAGGATTCTCCTTTCCTTCGAAAGATCTCTTGTTTCTCTCGAGCCAAATACACCATCAGACACACAAAGGCGTAACCCTTCAAACATCCCGAACTTGGGCCCCCACTATACAACTTCTCCAAAGGTTTTCTTATTATTGTGGTTTAATTACTTGTATCACTCTCAAGATTTTAAAATATTCTATATGTTGAAAAAAATTTGTTTCAAAAACTCCATTTTGTGTTGCTATTTTTTTTTGAGCTACCATATTTCAAGAGTTTATGATTGGTTCTTGGTTGGAACGAGTGTAGAACTCTCAAATTATTTTTTATGTGTAAACCATTTAGTCATTCGCAACAATTCATTTCACCAAAATCAGAACCTAAATCTTGAAATCTATTATACTACAAACCCTATCACTAATTACATTATTTTGACAACTTAACCCCCTCACTTCGTCCAAATTATTCACCCCTAGAAATTAAAAAACCAAGCGTGTCCAGCTTCACCAGAGTGTGAGTGCATGTCCTTTACCCATAACCCCACTAATATGCAGTAACTTTAGATTGCAACAACCTAATACTGGAATATATTCAGGTGAATTCCATAACACCCACCAAACATGATGTATAGTGGATATTGAATTTTACATTGGTCTTCAAGTTCATTAAAGTAGGAAATAAAATCTATTAATGATAGATACGGTCGAATTTTGTAGAGTGCCACACCTCCGAAAAAGAAATGCCATTCTGACTCCTAAATTTTTTTCAATATCAGACTTTGATATTTTTTCTTGTTTGCTTATATATGTATATATATGCGCACACATAAATTATATAGAAGAGGTGATAAAAGTGAGAGGCACAAAATGTTCTTCAAAGAAATAAACAGATTCACACGTCATAATTTACAGTCATTAACGGCGCTGTAATAAACCATAATTGTCAATACAGTACTGTATCGAACCATGATAGCTAATAGCTATGATTATCACACCCAATAAATCTGCTCAAAATTACGTGGAACCCATCCACCCATTATTGAATATGGGAATGGGAACAGGGTATGATCATGTACTCAAACTTATATCACTAACACTAAGCTTATATGGATCTTACAGTTGGATAAATTGCTGATGTATTCCTAAAGGAGAGTAGTTTTCTTATAACTAATAGATTATTAATGAAGCATAGCATATCAGATTGCCAAGCCTAAATCTTCACTCAGTAAACCAAACTAGGAAAGGAAACAGTGAAGCATGCGTTCCAAAAAGCACCAGATACTTCTGTTTGATATTTCTTCTTCTTGAACCATAATAAAGACAAAAATCAGGAAAGAAAATTTTTAGATCATTAAAATTGGTGGTGGAATGACAGTGTACTATGTCTTGAAATGTGCACTCCAAAATGCAGTTCACTGTTGTAGTAGTCTGTTTCGGTAGTCCTAAAGCACCTAACCTAATTCAACCAGGCATTTCTGCTTTGCCTTGAGATACAGGCTTCTACGCCTAGACACCACAAACGTGTGCCAGGGCCAAAACGTTCAACAAAACTACTACTTATTAAAGTAGTGAGAATCATGTTGAATGGAAAATAAACAAAACCAACAAAGAATAGTTGTTATATTCGCAGAGGTGATATGGGAACTTATTCCATCCTATAGCACAATACTTGCTTACTAGAAGGCAAACCAAAAAATTTGCCACTATTGAAAGTTCTCATAAATAAACAGATATAATAATATAAATAATTGCACAAATTCACAATTTTGTAATAGTTGCAAGTTGCAACAATTTCCAACTTCCAGATTGATATAAAACCCCGAGATAACTCTTGAAAACTGTTGGAGAATATTATAGGAGTGATTTTAGCCTATAATAGAATATTAATTGGAGTGATTTATGGATTGATTTTAGGAATCCTCCATCAATGTATTTTCCATATTTATCACTTGTATTCTTTCACCTATAAATAGAGGTGCTCATTGTAAACAATATTAAGAGAGAATATAATAGAGGTGATGTAGCCCTTTGGGCTTTGTGTGTCTATCCTTGTGTTCTTCATGTTCAATTTCTCTCTTCAAATTTTAACACAAACCTATTGACTCACCCTGTAAATTGAGCATCAGTTTATCACAATAAGTTTCCATAACTAGCACTTATATTGGAGTTTTAGCACATTTTTCCTCTAGGAAAAGAATAAGCAGTTTTTCCACTTAAATTGTGTAGATACATTTGAATTTTAGTAGATATGCTCCACTCCTTAAGTTTTTAAGGTAGATGTTCAGTTTACTGTAAACCTATATAAATATCATAATTAGTATACTTCTTCAGAAATTAATATTTATTGTTTCAGTGTTAAAAAACACAGAAAACCACATGCAGCATAACCACATGAACCCAAAGTGAACCCTATTAGAAAAATAATAGATTCATTTAAGATTCAAAAATTCAGAAGTTTTATAAATATAAGAAAAATGAAATTACAGTATGGCCAAAATATATGGAATAAAATTGAAGACTCATTTTTATTTCGATCACTTATTTTCTTGTTTTGAACTGTATTGATCTATTGTATGAGTAATTTCATTGTCGTGGATTGCATCAGAATGGGAACCACCAATACAGAACGTATACCTAAAACTATGCCAAGAAGACGTGTCCTTGAAGTAACTTCAGTCAGCCACTAGGCCACCATAGTTTCAGAATCAATGAACTATAACAAAATCTCCGTGTGGAAATTTTAACCGAGCCTGTAAGGCCTGGGATTGAGACCCAGGTTTGTTGGCTTCCCACAACCAGGGCCAAGCCAAATATGTTGTACTACATTTTATGAAATCTTTTAACAGAAGTATCGGTTCATTATATGGTAACTCAACTGACGAGGGACCTTTTCCCTCTCATTATATGGTAACTCAATTGATGAGGGACCTTTTCCCTCCACCAAAGATTATGCTATTGTGCAGAGATGTGACATACCTTCTCATTTATCTGACCACCAATGTCCTCTTGGTTTCTCTTGGAGGGGCCCAATGAATTGTGAGCACCAACCTCAGATTCTTTGTTCTTCCTTGCATTCTCTTTGTGTTTTTTATCATGTGCCCTATTATCATCAGAAGCGTTGATAGAACGGTCATTACGAGTGATTGCCCTTTCCTGCCTTGATCTTCTCTCGTCATTACTGAGCGGGATTCCACGTGGATACACATTTTCACGTCCCCTATGCTGTGAACTTCCATCTTCAACTCGGTCCCTTCTCTTAATTTGCTCACTCTGCCTCCCCGTGTCTTTGAATTGGTAGTCTCTGTCAGAACCTTTATACTCATCCTTCACTCTAGCATGGGTGATCCATGCTTTATCTTCTGCAGCTCGTCCACTCCTCATTCCTCCCCGTCCTTCTTCTCTTTCTCGCTTTGATAGGCTTTCGTCATGTGATTGTTTGGGCCTATGCCACTCATCCCGCTCCTTCTGCCTTTCACTCCTCTCCCTCTGAAACCAGCCCTCTTCTTTGTGCCTGACAGAGTGATGATCATCCTCTCTTATTCTTGCTTGGTCATCTCTCTTCCGCTGATCCATAATATCATCTCTCTCTCGCTTTCTATGAGTGGTATTTTCTCTATGGCCGTGCAAGATTTCTTCTTTTTCAACATGGTCCCTCCTTATGTGTTCCTCTTCTTTCCTTCTTTTGCTATGGAGATCATCAATGTTCTCATATCGACTCTTCAAATTATCATCCCTTTCCCTGTATCGTGATCCCATATCTTTATCATGATGACCCTTCCAACTACCGTTGTCCAACTGTTTTCTTAACTGAAGATGTTCATCTTTGTCACTCCTCTCACTTTCTCGAACCTTGCTCCGGTGCCTGGACCCCATTTCATCACCACGCACCCGTTTCCTTGTGTCTTCAGGTCTTGTCCTCCTGACATGCGGATCATCATCTCTCTGTTGCCAGGCTCCATCAGAGTTATCCCTCTCCTTTCGCCTGTCAATGTCCTCAGTCTTCAAATGCGAGGAGTGAACTGAGTTAGGATCACGATCTCTACGTGTATAGATATCCTCCCTTCCTTTTACCACCAAGCGGTGTCTTTCAATTTCATGTCTCTCGTCACGACCTTTTCTTCGGCCACTCTGCTCATATTCACCAAGAGGTCTTTTAATATTCCCAATGCGCGAAGAATGGCCATCTTGAATAACTTCCTCCTCAACGCCATCACGCAACTTCTGATAATCTCTGCTGCTTCCTGATCTTGCTTTGCTATTTTCGCTACTTCTCGCAGTCTTTAAGTCCTCACCATTATCAAGTTCTTGAATATAAGGCTGCTCAACACGAGAATTTAATTTTTTCTTTTTCATGGAATGCATTAAATATTCATCTTTAAGGGAATCATCTGTTTTAGTCAACATAATTTCCTCTCTTTCCATTCCAGAGCTTCCATCAGCTGGCACAAGTTCATCATGCCTACTTTCACCATGTTCAACACCCGGCTCCCCAGCAATCTCAGCATTGATAGGTGATGATAAAAGAGGACTAGGTTTACCATCAATGCTTTCAACTGATTCTTCCCTCTGATTATCAAGAAATATTTTATCACGTGTACCTTCCCCGGGGTTCAAACTGGGGGATCTGTCACGTGCTCTTCCCTTGGTCCGCCTGTGTAAATAAGACAAAATTCAATATATTAATTAATTAACTTCAGATGCAATGTCACTGAATCAAAGTTAATCCAAATAACTCGGTAAATTTTTCAACATATCAAACCCTATAAAAGTTCATAATGAATCAAAATAATAATAATAATAAAGAACCAAGATATTGTAAACCAAAACATGAACACACAAAAATAGCAGACTGCTATTTAAACCACCTAATTTTCCCGAGTGAAGTATAAAAAAGAACTATCAGGCCAGTCACAACAGTAGTTTAACTGATTTAATAAGTTTCTGCTCAATAAAGTACATGAAGTTTCATCTAACGGTATTTCATACCTCTCCTCATGAGGGATGCCAAAATTCCTGCCAGGATATACAGCAGTCCGCCCCTTAGAATCAGAATGGTACTGACTGGGTACTTCCGGAGGCAAAGGCAGTGTCCCATCTCCTTCACTTTCATTGTCCGGAAAAGAATTCATGACTGATGCTTTTCGTCCAACCAGCTCCCCTTTCCTACCATTATAAGCATGTGAAGAGCCAACAAAATGTTCAGTATCTTCCTGTGCAATGTCTTCTTCAATTTCATGATCTCCTCTGAGATCCTCGCTTGCATGATCATTTTCTGGTTGCTCTGCAACATCAATTTGTTGTGAAGAATCATCCTCTGTGGAATCCTGCAAAACTATCTGTTTGCCAAAGAACATCAGTACGTCAGTAATGCATATGCAGGTTAAAGACATGCATCATACTAGTAAAGTAGAATTAATGTTCTAAAGGACAGGATTGACCGCTTACCTCAATGATTGCATCTGAATCACGGATTCGTGGTGGCCGAGTATCAATGGATGGGAGACGTTCACCAAAACCACTCTCCACCTGTATTGCTCTCCCAGTTGGCTAGAAGGAAATCAATCAACTAGTGAGTGAAAAAACTGATATAGCAAACAAACACCATATATCAAAGAGTAGCGTGTATGAATAGTTTCATTAAAGCTACAAGTGATCAAGATTAAAGAAAGAAAAGTGAAGGAAGAATTTAAGAGAGAAAATATTGATGTCAAAATAGAGAATAAAAAACTATGATGGCAAACAAAATCAGAATTATGTTAATCTTAGGGAAAATAAAGTTATAAACAAATATATAAACAGCAGCTATTACATACCAATGGCGGCCGCACACCTGCAGAACCCTTTGACAAGTCATTTTGTGCAGTATCTGTCTTTTCAAGATTTGCATTTGCAGATGAACCATCATGAATGCCTGCTGCCGCAGCTAATTCCGGGGGTAGATCTGGATCATACTCCTGAAATGATATAAATAAAGCATTATAAAAAAAAAAAAATTCTTCAATCTTCTCAACCAGCCCCACCCCCAAAAAATTAAATAAAGGAATAGAAAATAAAATAATGGTTCACGAGTGAAATACTTGAGAGACACACATCAGATGCAAAAGCACCTGGTTACCTGTTCTGTTCTTCCACTCTCATAAACACGAATTTTGGTTTGCATAGTTGACTCCAGGCGAAGTTGCTCCTGCAGAATTCAAATTCAACCTCTTCTTCACTTCTAAGTTCCAATTATATAGATAATAATATTATAAAAGTAAAGTTACCAGCTGTTTGCAATAACTTTTCCAGCTCTCCTCATTCAGACCAAAATTAAAAAAATCTGATATATCGATACCAGGGAGCCTCCAGGGTTTTTCCTCAAAACTTTCAACCTCAACATCAAATATAGTCCTGAAAATAGTAGGGAAGTCAAGAACTGTGTTGCGAGGAAAAGACCAAATAAAAATATGATCACTTCACACATGAAACTAAAATATTAAATAGCAAGAACAATAAATAACTGTTTCCCAAATAAACAAGAATTCCTCCAACTAAAACACTGCCTGTTTCTGCAGCTTCTGTATTCTACAATGCCCAGAATCATGAACATGATACAAAATTACAAACAATACAAATGTAATTTTAAATTAATTCATTGAAATTAAAATTCATCACCATAGACTAGTCAAGACAATCTAGTCATAAATTACCTTTGGAGTTAGAGGAGAAGCCATGTCTAACCAGTAAGCTAAAGGGAACAAGAACACAAGAAGGAAAGATATCAAGCAATCTTTTTCAAAGATCAACTATTTAAGGAAAAGATTAAATTACCCAATCAATAAGCGTCATTTTTTTTTCTTTTTTCATTTTTTTTTTAACATAAAATCATTATACTATGTCAATGTGTCATTGCTTGCTTCAATAGTAAAAGCACAGCATCAATTTTTTTTTTTTTTTTTATTTTTTTCCGAACATCAAATCTTCATACTATGTCAACGTGTAATTGTTTGCTTCAATAGTAAACGCTCGGTTCATAAGCATGACAATGGGGTTCAAGTATAAAAGCAGCCACTTTTTCCATATAATATCAAACATTATGTTTGTTTCCAATCCACCCATCCAAAAGCCCTATACCCGAAAGACCAGCATCAGGTGATAGCTTTTTTATCCTATTACTATCCCAAAAGAATATACAACTTATTAGATGTTAGGAGAGAGTAACTTGATCATTAAATGCTATAGAAATATCACTCTTAACATAAGTCGAGAAGCATCTAGCAAAACACTCAAATTTTCACTTGGTGTACTGCCTAACTGGGAACTCGGGTACTTGTGTTGAGTGCAGATATGTGACAAAGGCATCTCACTTGTTTTGAAGCAATTATATAATAAAATTAAATTATTGTGTGTTTACATGCATGTCCAACCAAAAGTGTCGAACACATGCCCCATACCCACGTCCAAGTATCGTGTGCCTGACACAGGTACTTCACCTATTTTTTAAAAGTCCATGTAATATGGCAGGTTGCATCAACCCTCATTTCCCATGTGACAAACCAACTCCTCTTGAACCTACCCCTATCATCATCTGATATAAGTCCAAGTAAGCAGAAAATTTGACCCCAACATCCGCTAGTTGTTGCTTGTTCTGTGTCATGATTATCACCTCCAATTGTTATTTTGAACAGCCAAATATTTGAGAAAGTGTGACATCAAATGTATAAACAAATCTTCCCTAACAAAAAGCATAGATGACAATGTCCAGTATCTCCAACAAATTAGAGTGATGATAGATCAGCAATTATGATCTATATTTATTAAGCAATAAACCAAGGACCAAATTCAGTTCATTGAACTTAGATGAGTGAACCTAAGTGAAGCGAAGTGAAAAAAATATTAAAAATAAAAATAAAAAGCAAGGAGAGAGCAAAAGGAGCTACGTATTATAATGGTTTAACTATATTTGTCAATGATGCAAATACAAACAAGAAATTTTGTTCAGGATGTCAATAAAGTTAACGGAATGGTCAACACCGGGTACTTTCCTGTCAAAACATTTTCCAAACATGTGAACAAAATCATTAGGAACTATCATCATTATGAAATAACAATTAGTTGGTACAGGTTGATCTAGTTTTTCATCAACTCAAGATGTGCAACATTTAGGACAAACTATCAGATTGATTTGAAACACAACTCCAAAAATATTTTACTTGTCAAAAATAAAAAATAAAAAATCCCGTGTGTGCCAACCCCAGCTTCACTTACAACACCAAATCCCACACATCTATCTTCATCTCACCCCTCCCCTCCTGCTTGCATAAAGAATGGCGTTAAGAGGATGTTCGGAATGAGGAATAGGATAACTTTGTGATGTTACTTCCTGAAGGAAATATATACACGGATCACTGGAAGAAGAAAATGCATAACTCATAAGCAGACCCAGCACTTTCATCCTCGCATCATTCCAAGTTATCATTATCAGTATCACATTAGTCAATCGGAATGCTGATACATATTAGTAAGAATTCATATGGCAAGACCACATATTTGACAACCTAGATAACTCAATCCCGAATATACATCAAGAGGAATGAACACTCCCCCCTAGACCTGTAAATAGATCAGATTCAGACCGGATCAGGCCAAGGCTATTCAGTGATCTGATCCGATTCGATAACCCGATGGATAATTCATGAATGAATCCATATCCGATTTGTTATTAATTGCACATCCAATCCATTATGGGTGTAGTTTTTCTTTTATTTAAAGAAATTGATGTTAAAAGAGAAGGGCAAACAATGATTAGAATATAAAAGAGAGAAAACAGAAGACAAATAAAATATGGAAGAAGAAAAAAAGAGAAGAAAATTAGATCTTTACTCTTTGTTAAAGAAAAAACAATTAAAAGTAAGAGAAAATACGGAGAGAGAAAATAATTATAAAACATTTTGATAATATGAAAATACCATATAGGGTCGCGAGCAAAAAACACCCCTATGGTATGCATATAGAGTGTATAACCCCCTACACGTTCTGAAAAATCCTAGCATTCAATTTTTGAGCAAACAAGGGTCTGAATGCTGAAAAGACCAAAGTGCTCCTCTATAACTGAATTTTAAAAAGGATTAAATAATAATTAAATGTGAAATAACTAAAGTGTCCCTCTTCTTTTTTTTCTCTTCTTCTTATATATAAGGGCATTATTGGAAAAGAAAATGGTATTTTCAGAATTTTATATCTTTAAAATGTCATATGCAATGCACACCAAATAGTGACCCCAAGCCCCTCTCTGACATCTAAATTGGGACAGAGGGAGTATATAAAATACTATGTTGGATAGGGTTATTATTGGATTGGATTGGATTGACTATAATCCATATCCGATTTGTTTAGTTAATGGATTATTGGATACGGATCGTGAATGGGTTATCGGATTAAATTCTCAATCCATATCCAAGTTATGAAATCGGATTCGGATCAACATTTGATCCATAGGCAGGTTTACTCCCCCTTCTCTTTCTTCTCTCTCTATTGCAATCAAAAACATATTGCAAAATAGAAGATGAGTTGAATCAGCTAATATAGAACAACAATTCATAATTATTGGCTAAACTTTCCCTTTATCAAGCAAGTTCAAGATGTTATTTACCTCTGTGGAATTACACTTTATTAACCAAATTTGAAATAGTTTTTTTTATGTGAAGTTACACTATTAGAGTTTGTGATTTTAATTGCACTGCTGAACAAACCTTAATCCAACTACAGGGCCTCAGACTTCCGATACATGGATCCTTCATCTATGGTCTATTCTTTGAAAAGCCATATCACAATCAGGTTTCTCTCACAACCTCAACCAATGTTGCTTTTGCTTTCCTCTAGTTATATTGGATCAACTCACTCCCCCATTACGCTGCACACGGGCTAAACATAACAAATTTACTTTTCCTCATTTAATCATCAAATGAAGTTACCTCTAATCAATCATACTTCCCATTATATCCATCATACTGTATTTCTATGCAACATCTAAGATTTTTACTGTTATCGAGTTTCACCAAAACCTGCATGCCAAATCCAAGTTTTGTTAAAAATTGCAGGCTATATATTTAGCAATTGGGCCTACTTAACCAAAAACCATTAGTTTCAAGAGTATTTTTCCATAATCTAACTTACAGTTGACCCATCTCCAGTTTCATAAATTATAAGTTATGCTATTAATAAACAACGTGGCCACAAGCCATCAACTTTAATAGGTATAGTAAAATTATTAATAACTAGTGAAAAAAGATAAGGACTCAATGAATATCCCTGAGGTAAGCCCGTTGTCATTAGAAATACACCTCTACCTGAACTATTCTCAAATTAGTTACGGTCCCATAATGCAAAATATGAATTTCCCTGGATGGGGCATAATCAAAATATATCACTTGCAAGGGAATATTATTTGTCAATTCGAAGTATAAAACAAGACAAGGACTAACTCATAAATATTGGCACATTGATGATACAACATTGAAGTTGTTTATATACTTATGGGAGAGATTTCTCTGGCATATGTCCGAAAAAAGATATCAAATTTGCAGAGACACTCAATCATGTATAATAGGAAAATCCTACTTATAAGAACCAAATTTTCCCATAAATACGTCATAAGCTCAACAGGAATTGCTTTGAGATTAAAATTTAAATATGTGAGACAAGAAATAAATCTCGCGGACTCATCATCAGTGTTTGAATATTATACAGGCATAACAACATAAATTTGACGATAACTCCAGAAACTGCCACCATTTATCTAACCAGAATAAATATAACAAAATGATCAACTGAAAACATGTAACACTAGCATGATAACTACGTGTAATTAAGTAAATAAACATAAAACTAAGATATACAGATATATGAAGGTTACTTGTGAGATGGAAGTGTGAATTCCAGGCCACTGCCAAAAGCACGCCCCGGTGTATTGTTGCCCCAAACAGGCATACCAAAGCCTGGATGAAAACTTTTCTGTGCAGAAGCACCACCTTTTATTCCCATTGGTCGCCAATCACCTCTACCACGACCAGCAATAGGGCCCATGTTAACTGGTGGACGAACTTGACCTGAGGCTCCCCCAGGGGGAGCAGGAGCTACTCCAGGCATCGGCGCTGCACCAGGTCTCACATACTACATGATTTGAAAAAACAAAAAAGAAAAAAGGGATGATAAGGTTAACGCTTGACACAAAAGCACAAAGGAAATGCAATATATATATATTCCAAAAATACAGTCTCTATAAACATTATTTGATCAACTTTTTTAAAAATTATACGCCTTATCATTTATCACTTCTGGTTACAAACTTAGATCTAAGGATTCAACAGCTATTTAACAGAAAGCACACTTGAAGACATATTTATTTACAGAAGTATCATAACTTTCTGATAATGGTAAACTATTAACAGAAGTATGTCGTAAAGAGAACAGCAACTCGAAACAAAGAACAGGGAAAAAGGAGAAATAAATAGTGCACAAATATTTTTTTTCATATGGTAAGTTTACCCTAGTGCAATCTGTTAGAAAGTAAAGCAAATGGCATGCTGGTGATATAGCATGAAAACTCACAAGTAACAATGATTAACTTTGCTCATGTTTCATTCACTAGTAAATCAGAAGGTTTGAGCAAAAGCAATAGCTGAATTCTACAGGTACAGGAGGCATCCTCGCCTAGGTGAAATGATAAGAAAACAAATGAAATATCAACATGGGTGAGGAACTAGCATCCCGAGAAAACTACCAGATTTTTTTTATGTATTATTAGAGAAATACATACATATAATATAAAGATTTATGAAGGAAATTTATAAAGCTTAGATTCATCAAAACTATTTTAATGCAACTAATTAGAAAAACAAAAATTAGTTTAACTGAACCTTGCCCTTGTTCGAGCAAAATAGTCTAGGCATAGTCGGGGCATGAATATAATCTTTCTTTTAAAGTGAACTCAATATGATATTCCATCATTCTATTGCATTCTTTGTGGTTTATGAGCCCAAGAGAAGCAAGATTGGTGATTTTAGTAGATAGAATTACATGAACAATCAAAATGACTCCTACTAGTCTAGGAGATGAAACAGGAAACGGAAGATCTTTCTCACTGCAGCGATGCCAGCGACCAACTACCAAAGTTTGCAAATTTGTCAAATAAATCCATGATATCTTTTCCTTGTGATAATATTAAATGTGCTTTTGAAGTCGTATTGCCCGGTAGGGTGAACTAGAAAGGGGGTAATTATAAGCAAAGCTGATTGTTATTTCCAAGGACTTAAAGGTCTGCAATTGGAGACACCCAACTTTACAGTGGAATTAAATGAACTCAAAGCATCACTAGACATAAAGTAAGTATACTTGAGTTTGCATTGCCAATGAGAATGTAATTTCATTAATCAAATAAAAAGTCATCAGTACAATAGTAAATCCCACAGTTCGTGATCAATGCCTTAATTCATATTTCATATCATGTTTCTAGTACAGGGACGTTGATCAACAATTAAGTGCGGCCATATTTTAGTACAACAATTACAATCCAAATTACATTTCAATATCTCATCAAACAAGGGGAAAACACAAAACCCCACATGTCCAACGTGACTGACCTTAAACTGAGAATGAAATGGATGATATACATGATTGCTGTACCCAATCTTTGGCACAACAGCCACTCCTCCATTCACTTTGGCCGCGTCACCCAGTTCCTTTTTCTCGCCATCCGTGCCATGAGCAGCATCTTCGCCCCATTCTTGCTCATCCATAGGCTGGTTATTTGGGTCGATATCGGCAACAATAACCAAAGGATCGCCGTCTTCATCCTCGTCGTCATCGTCGTCGTCAGGTCCAGCCGCTCCAGTCCTGTCCATTGCCATTGGCCCATGATTATTATCATTGAGTACAATTTGCAGATCATCCTCACTATCACTATCCCAGTTATCCCCCTCACCACTGGCTTCAGCCTGTGTCACAGTATTTGCACCTTCTTGATAAGCCGTAACTGATACCCCAGTAATCGACAACCCTGGAATTATCGGCTCCAAACCCAAATCTTTAATCCCAGTATTAACCTCTTCTTCGGTACCAAGATTCTCAAAATTCTCCCTTTTACCCATCGTAGTCTCATCTTTTTCCACCAACAGATCATCTTTATCATCTCTCTCGTCAACCACAACATCGATGGCAGAATCATCCATAAAATTTGGATCTTCGAAAGCCCTTTTCTGCATTTTAACATCACTACTACTCCCCAAAATCATCATCTTAGTCCGCTCCGTCGATTCTGATCCCCAATTATTCCCATCCCCAGCTAAATCCTTTTCTTTGTCCACTTGATTTTCAAACTCGTCATCGACTTTCAAAATCCGATGAGAATCGGAATTTCCGGCGACAATCGAATCCGGAGCCGTCTTTTCGAGCTTGAAAACTAGGGCTTGTTTTTGGCTTGATGAGGCGAAACTGAAACTAGGTTTGGAATTGGAAGCTCCGAAGAGAATCTCTTCGTCATCGCTCTGGCCGTTGGGATCGATCAGACGGGTTAGAGAAGGGGGTGTGGAGTGTACCTGGTGTGGCTGAGGAACAGAGGACGATGTGAAAGATTGGAGGACGTCTGTGTACAGATCCCCGAACTCGTCATCTTCTTCCATGATATAATTTTAGAGAGAGAAACAGAGAGGCTCTAGAGAGAGATTGGGTGGGGGAGGGTTTGAGGTTTGTAAAGCCGAGGTTGGGAAAACCTGGCGCATTATACCATTACATCATTCCTAAACTTTGTTGGGTATCAGGTATCAACAAATAACCTAATTGAGAATTAAGTAAATATTGATATAATAATAGATAAATGAATATAAATCCTGGCGTTAAGTTTTCAAATCTTAAATGTACAATTAAATTATGTAAGGTTAAGTAATTCTTGGCAACCAAAGAAAATATTAAAATATATATATATATTTAAATCAATATAGAATGTAGAACAATTTTAAGAACATGACCAACTTTGATTTGTCTAGATTATTTGTTAAAATACTATGTATATAAAATTTTAAATCTAAAATTAGGAATTTTACAACACGTTATAATATTATTAGGACAATGCTTGTCTACTTATCGGTAAATAATTTCACCCTTATGTGTTTCAATAAAAAAAATAACACATCAATTTTAATAATAAAATCAACAAAATAATAAAAAAAAAAAAAGAAAAAAGTTGGATCGACTCGTTTTAATTGGACAAAAACCCTTTCCTTTTTTTTTCTCTCTTTCATCGATTCCGACTTTCTTCTCATTTTTTATTATTTTGTTAATTTTATTATTATTATTTTTATTAAAACACATAAGAGGTGAATATGGTGAAACTACACACCGATAAATAGCTAAGCATTGTTCACATTATTATGAGTGACCTTATAATAATTAATAGTAAAAACTAGTCTTCATAAGGGAAAAATAATTATTTCCCATACAGAAATTCAAGAAATTCAAATACTTCTATTTAAATAGTTTATGTAATTACTCAGTTTATATAATAACTTCTCATTGTTTATATTACGTTAGTTATGTAACAAGAATAAACTTTTCATTCACCTTCCCACTACCATATAATACATTGCACTAGCAATCTAAACCAACACAAGATCCCCCATGAATCTCTAAAGAACAGATATAATATAGTACATTATACCATCAATTAAATAATCTGTCAAATTGACAAGTATTGCTTTTCTTATAATTTATCCAAAAATATAAATTTAACAAGTAACTTTTTCAGAGCTCTAACACTAAGCAGTTTTAAGAGCTTATTATTATTATTATTTTTATTAACAAAAAATACATCCACACACTCACTTTTTATTCATTAAAGACTTGAATCATCAAAAAAGGTAAAAAAATAAAAATACCACTAGACCATAATACCTCTTGTGCTTTGTCAAGCTTATTCTTTGCGAAAATAGTAACAAATGTGTAATACTCTTTCTTTTGCCACCACTGTGCTGAGGGATTTCATTGAAAGATTATGTATTGAGCAATGTGTTTTATTCAAATTTAGGGAATCTAATCTTAATATTCTTTCTAACAAATCAATTTATAGAAAAAAATATATATTGTAAAACTGAAAAAAAGAGGGTAGAAGATTCATACAATAAATTATTACATTATTTCGAAACTATTTGACTCGATTAATTACTAGCTAATAAGTAAGTAAAAAATTAAATAAAATTATCACAAAATCGACATATTTGCTTAAATTTTGACTAATAATTGACTGGACAACGTAATAATTTTTCCAAACACACTTTCCAAACACACATGAATTCTTCCCACTGTGTGTTTATATGTTTCGGGGAGAAAGTCAAGCAAGTAAGCAATTTACATTTTTCTTCCTTACAAAAAGGGTAAAAAAGAGAGAAAAACTTCAACGGGTCAAGTTGCATTGCAAGCGCGGCCCAATTTGCACAATTGCTTTTGGTTCAAATGCAGTTTGACCCATCCAACCCGAAGACCCTTTTTTAACTCTCGTCTCTCGCCTAACCCAATCGACGAGCACAGACAAGAAGGCCCGGAGTGTAAAATACAGTGGTATCGATTCTAGAGAGAGAGAGAGAGAGAGCAGCAAAGGCGAGGAGGAGGATGATCGGAGTGGGGAAGATCAAACAGTACACGAACGTCCTCGACAAACCACTCAGCAAGGGCAAACAAGAGGTACAAATACTCTCTCTCCTCTCTCTCTCTCTCTCTCTTCCACTTCAGTCGTTTATAAAGTCGCAAGCACCCTAGATTTCCATCTAATTCCGTGATGCACTCAATGTCGTTCTTCAATTTACAGAGATCTTATCATATTAAGCTGTTTTGATCCCCTAATGATGCGTTTGCTTGCTGAGAAAATGAGGGGAAACTGAAAATTAAATGAAATCTTGTTATTGTGTTTTTTTTTTTTTTTTTTTGTTCCCTATTGTGTGAACAGAAGGTAACGGAACTGAAATATTTAGTCACATCGGTTTCAGTTGACTTGAGGTTAAAGCTTCTTCAGTGACAAATATTGAAATTTTGAGATTTGGAATGTCAAATTAATATTCAGTATTTTCATCATATTTCTACATTTAACAAATGGAGCCTTGATTTTGATCTTATGTTTGTTACAGGTCAGTTTGAGTGCGTTTGCTTTCCTGTTTTCGGAGCTTGTTCAGTACAATCAAACTCAAGTTGACAACATTGCGGAGTTAGAAAGAAGGTAACCAACCCGTATCAGTATGATAATTATATATGATTGCTTAAAGTCAGGTTATTATAAAACCCCTTTCTTATCTCTTCTATCCAGTTAATAAAAGAATTAAAATCTAGGTGCCATTTGGATGTGTTTTAAATGAATGGACTTGAGTTTAAACAAAAAATGTTTATTGAATTTGGGTCGTGAAACTCAAGGGGATATTAGATTAGAGGTAAGAAAGACACGCTTCATTGTAATCACTGTGTGCAGTTAGAATCCTTACCGACAGACATGTATTTCATATATCTATTTCCACCTTGTTATTTGAGATCTAGCACTCAAATCATTGTTAAAGCTTAAATCTGAATTACTATAATTTATGCTATAATGATTTAACTAATGAGCATAAATCTATTTATTTCAAATCCTTCGATCCAAATGAATCATCAAAGAACATCGTCTTGGGGTTTTGAAATTAGAAGACAAAAAAGACAAATTTATTAGAATGGGCACAATGGAAACTAGAAATTGAAATTTCAGCTGAGAGTAATCAGGGGGCACATTGTATATATATAAATTAATATTAAGGGGTATATATATAAATATATAGAGAGATATAGATTGTTATAAATACAGGGAAATATATATTTGGAATAAAGTAAAGTAATAAATTATATATGTAGAATATAAGGAAACAATTTAGGAAAAGAAAGAAAAGGAAACACATAAAGAGAGGGAGAAAATTCAAGATGGCTCTTTACATATTTTCAAAGAAAATCATAAATAGATTACAAGAAATTTATATAGAATATATGGGGAAGGAGAAAATTCAGGGGGTCACGTGCCCCCATGGCCCTTTACTCCCTCCGTCCCTGAGAGTAATGTGGTAGTTGTATGATGGACAATAATGTTCTATGCCTCAGTACAAGTCAGAGATCCAACATTGCCCAAAAAGAACGAACTATTTGCAATTGTTTCTAGCGGATTGGCTGTTTTTATGCTCGGAATTATAGGTTAAACCACGTGACAGAATTTTCATATCAATGTTCAGTTCTCTGTTTTTTGGTCAATCAAGTCACTGTCTAATTGATTTACATGGAGCTTAAATATGGGGCAGGTTGGAGGATGCAGGCTATGCTGTTGGCGCACGGGTTTTGGAACTTCTTTGCCATCGAGACAAGGTACAAAGGGTTTAGTTTATTAAATATGGGATTAATGTTTCGTCTTTGAGCCAAAGGGTTTAGTTTCACGAAATGATATTCATTTATGTTGCTTAATTGGGTTTGGGCCATTCGAAAAATATTATTAATGTTTGAGTTGGGCAGGAATACGCACCGCGTGTGCATCTAATTTATTGTTGTTATTACGATTAGTGTAGTGATATCTTCTGATGCTGCAGGGAAACAGAAGGGAGACCCGATTGTTAGGTATTTTGTCTTTTGTACACAGCACAGTATGGAAGGTGTTGTTCGGAAAGGTAGCAAATTTTCTCTCCATTTCTTCTCTTTTTCTTATTTATTTATTGTTGTGGGGGAGGGGGAGATGGTGTTTTTTTTATGCGCTCTTTAATTGCCTTTTCTTTGTCACGAGCCGAATTTTGTAACCAACAAATTTGGATGCTTTGTTTTTTTTTTTTTGTGCAGTATCTGCATTTCTTCCATCGGATTGACATAATCTATTGTTTCTTAAATCCAGGGGAGGTTCTAAGAGAAATGCCACAGCCTTTTTTGATTCAAAACTAATCACTACTTTGATAAAATTAAGTCAATTTGTAAATGCATTTGTTCTAGGGTCTAAGAATCTTCTTCTCCCTCTTGTTTTTTTACAATGATATAAAAAGACCCATAGTTATGTTCATATGGTTGCAACAACAAAGAAACATGAATTGTTTAACAATAGCCTAAATCGCAAAAGGAAGTCTAAATTGAGAGTGGTAACAAGGTCTAATTACCAATCAGCAAACCCGATTTAGGTATTGGTATGGTTAGAGATTGTAAATAGTAAAATCTCAAAATATTTTTTTTTTTTTGGGGGGGGGGGGGGGTCTAAATTTTAAATGTTTCTGATGAATTTACTTGTTTACTTATCAAAAAAGAAAAGAAAAGGCTTGTTTACTTTTTTCATTAAGAATGATTTAGATGTAGTGAACTGGAGATTCATTTCCACAACACAGCATTGGAGGTTGTTGGTTGAGTTTAGTAACATAGTAGCATAGAAGGTTTTATGGGTTAAAAGCCTTATCACCTGAATTTGTTGCTTAAATAAAGCTCTCCAGCATTCTTCAAACTTGCTCAGGCCTCACACACACATATATGTATTTGTAAATATGATGTAATTGATGGTGCAGTTCCAAACTGCTCGCATTTGATCTAGTGGGTTGTGAATCTCTGATGGCCATTTTTTGTGGTCGGGGTGCTCTTGGTCAGTGAAAAAGGTGTCCATATTTGTTGGTTCATTGTTTTTGGTGTAGAGGTATTATTGTTATTATCACACTAGACACTGTGGTTCCTAGGTTAGTATGAGTTCGATTATAAGAGGAGTTGTACAATTCTTATTTGGGCTTGTTGAGTTACTCTGAGAGTTTGGAAGGCCTCATTCTTAATGGAAGTTTCTGTTTTCTTAGAATTTTAACTTTGTTTATGATTTATATTCAATAGTTGTGATTTATGCTGGGTTAGGAATATTCTTGTTTCTCCAGTACAATATATATATATATATATATATATATATTATAGTATTTAGAGGATTTTACTCTCATTTGATCATAATATTGAGCTGAGCAATTTTTGAAGGTCTATTGTGTCACTAGGGTGTTCTATCATTTGTATAAAAGGTTCCTTGATATAAATAAAATAAGAGTTTAGTCAAGGTGTTTTTTTGTGAATGGATGTGTAGGGAACTTCTTCATTTGTTTGTGGTTATAAAACCCACTTGTGTAGTAGCTCTGTCTCTCTCTCTCTCGCACACGCATGTCCCCTCTCTTGCTTTTATGTCTAACTTATCTTCTTATTTTCTACTTAAATACTTTTTTCTTGTTAACAAAGTCTCTTCTATTACAGACTCTTGGAACAAGGTTTATATTCAGAAAAATTGTTACTCTGTTTATTTATAACCCCTCCTCCCCCCCCCCCCCCCCCCCCCCCAAAAAAAAAACCCATAACCTTATCTCCCTTATTTTATCTAATTAAGACACTACTCTCTTCCTTGTATTCAACCCTTTTAACCTAGGAAATCTTGGCCCTCTTGCATCAGGTAATCTGCCTTTTTCCCCCCAAATATAATTTATACCTCTTGTCAATGTTCATGCTTCAAATCCTTAAAGATGCTAAATCATGGGGTTAGTACACTTATACCCCACCCCGTATTATTTAATCTGATAATTAGGAAAAGAAAAGGTACTGTTTAAAGCATACAATAAGTTAACTGTTATCTATGAATGCCCTGCTTCTTCATTTGTTAAGAGTTGTGACAAGTCCGGGCAGCAAATATTTTTAGTTTCTTTGCATCTGTCTTGTTCAAATTATGCAGACAAAAGTTCTTTGAACTACTTGAGCACAATGACTGTCTTATGAACTCTTTTACGACATCATATCAGGTAGCTGACTCACTTGAGAAGGGCACTGAACATGAAGATGAATACATGATTAGTGAGAAGGAGCTCCTTGTCAATCGGTATTAACTTTTTTGTGTCTATAATTTATATTGTGACTTGCAACTAGTTGGGGTACGATTTTTTATTTTTATTTTTAATATGAATTGCTGATGATTATGTTTGCATTGTAGATTTATTTCAATACCGAAAGACATGGGGACATTTAATTGTGGGGCGTTTGTTGCAGGAATAGTAAGGGTGTGTACTGTATTGGCGCTGTTTCCAGTAAGTGATCATCTAGTGGTTGAAAGCTGATGGATTTTCTTTTTCTCTTTGAAGGGTGTCCTGGATAGTGCAGGGTTTCCTGCTGTAGTTACGGCCCATTTTGTACCTGTTGAGGGTCAGCAACGACCTCGGACCACCATTCTGATAAAATTTGCTGAAGAGGTAAAATTTTCATTTGCGGTGGTCAATGATTTTTTGTTGGTTGATTGGATTTATTTTGTACTCTCCTTGTTTTGCAATCAATATTGGTGGTTTCTACAGGGAAAAAGAATTGATAGTTTTGCATAATTGAATTCTTATACACGTTACCTTCTGAAATTTTTTTTGTATACGTGTTAAGTTTGATGTCAACCCTTTGACTGCAAAACACCACCAACTTCTAACTGAAATAAAAAAAGGAAAAGGAACATACTCACTTATAAAAGACCACTTCAGAAACACAAAAGCAAGTATTAGGTTGATCTCACTAGTAGCATCTACAAAATAGAACCTTACCTATCAAAGGAAGAAACTTAGTCAAGTCATTAAATCCTCCGCATTGTGTTTGCACTTCTTTTAGGTTCCAAATATTAAGTTGTTAAACTGTCTACTTTTGCTTTTTTCTGTAGAAGTGCATCATATAACAGGGTTTTTTGGATTGGGATTATCCTAACCTATATATAAATATATATAAGCAAGCAAGAAGGAAATTGTGAACTCAAGGTCGTTCACGAACCTAAATTGACTAATGTAGATCAAAGATTAGAATGTCACAACATACTAAATTCATCAATTCTTGGTCATAACTTCCTGAGTTTATATTAGTTTTCAAAATTTACCACTGAAGTATCTATTTCTGCAAGTTCTGTAAGGGACAATGTTAGTACAGCTGTGTGTCACCTATGCTGACTGTCCCTCTAGAACTTGGCAATTGGCGAATAAACCTGAGCAGCCCAGCTCAAGCTGTTCATGCTGAGCCCAATCTATTCTCGATCGGCTTATTTCATTTTTAAGGCCTGAATGAAGTTCTGAGCAACTATTTTGCTATTTTGTTTAACCTTTTTTTTTTTTTTGATAAGATCTATTTTGTTTAACCTTCTCCTGTCTAGCTCAGTGGTGTGCAGTTGTTTCACCTTTTGCTGATTTTTTATTGCTTCCTGCAGTCGTTTTTTTCGAGCAACCTTCTTTGCCTTTCTGTTTTACCATGCAGACTAAAGTTTACAGCAAACCCTGTCTTTTACTATTGACTATTTCTCTCCTCGTGTATGTAGAGTTGGTATCTAGCAATGTGTTGAAAATGGGAGGATTAGGTTGAAGTTAAACATAGCATACTGCAATGGCTAGAACTGTCAACCTGAATCTTATTAAACCGGGTTGCCTTTAGGTCTGATACAGCTAATTAAATTAAAGCTTTGGGAACTTGCTCACTTTGAGCAATGGAAACTTCTGTTGAAGGATTTAAATATTAAAGTTACACCCCCTCTAACAGGTAAAGCTTTTAGAGTAGATGAGTGTTAACATGGTATCAAAACAGCCAAGGTGCTGCGTTCAAAACTCAGTCACCCTGATAATTAAAATTGAAATGCGTGTTGGACCAAAAGAAGGCCACATGTGAGGGGGCATAATGAAGGATTTAAATATTAAAGTTACACCCCTTCTAACAGCATAAGCTTTTAGAATAGATGGGTGTTAACAACTTTTAGGCTAATTAGCAACCAACTTGTTTAACTTTATGGTTGCTTGTCCTAGCTGGCTTTTTAGCATTTGGGGCACCATTCTTATTTCTTGTTTTGAATGCCTCGTTACATTTTTTTTTCCTTAGTGGACAACATGATTTTTGTTCCACTTCCAATATTCTGCTCTATATAGAGTTTTATTGTTGACTATTAGGTCTACTTGCCAAACAAATCCATTTTCACAATTTAGCGCCATCTAGGGCCCTATTTTAATCCGTCTCATATTCAGCTTGGCTTCCTAAAACAAGATGTGTTTATTAGGAGGTACTTCTTGAAAAGCTTCTGCTGGCAGGTGATGTTTGTTAAATACTTTGAACTGGGGCTTGGTAGGAGAAGAATTGTTATGGAAAATAAATTTGATCTTTGAAATGTGTTACCAAACTAAAACATATTATATCCATAAACCTGGTTAAATATATGACTCTGGGAAGGAGTCACGATGATTGTTCTCTCTCCTCTCCAAAGTTGAACAAAGACGTGTAACTTGGATATTTTAAGTGAAATTTTTGTCTGATAAATCTTCTTAATTGGCAGTTTGTCAAATTTTCCTTTAATTTTTATTGGAATTTTGTTAAACAAATTTATTATTTTAATTTCTTTTAGGATTTGCCCATAAGTTTTGGTCTTTGTCATCGAATTCATCCCAAGTTCTTGTGAATGTTAGATCATTCATAAGTGATAATTATTGCTGTTACTTCTCGTTGAGAATGGGATCTAGAATCTAGATTCACTTTCGTTAATATTCTGTTTCTTCTCATCCACTACACAAGTTATGCAAATCTGTCTTCCTAATTTACCGGGAAAAAAAAAAATTAAAAATTAAAAATCTATCTTCCTAGCTAAACTGATTATAGATTTTAAATTATAACCATAACACCCAAAGTGTACAAGATGGAAAGAAGATGAAGAAAACCCACTGAAGGAATGTTTTCCTCAGAATCTCCCGGAGAGTGGACTTGCTTGGTTTGTAACTATGGAAACAGTTTTCTGTTCTTCGAAAACTGAAAATTATACAAAAAACTCTGCTTGGTTCAGTTTTCTGAAACTATTAACTGAAAATTCAGTTATAAAAATGTCTCTTTTTAGAGAACTATAAAAGAGTGGTCTTTGAGTAATGTTTTCTATTTTTTGAATTCTTGAGAATTGTTTTCGAAGTTACAAACCAATCATGCCCGACCTTTCTCTAATTACTAGCTCCTGTTCCCAAATTTGGTAGTGCTTTGGTTTTGTACACGGCCATGTAGACTGTCCACATTTTCAACCCTTAGCATTGCCTGATTGGTAGGCTTGTTAAAGGAGGAAGAAAAGGGCAAAACTGTTACAAAATTAGTACGAGGACGAATTTGTGAAAGCAATAGTTTTGATTTGTGAAAAATCTGCGTCTTTGAAGAATGTGATCTAGGGAGCAGGTTTCCGTGTTAGTTGAAAGGTTTCTTAGACGATGAACTTCATCATAAAGTCCTTCATTAGTGCACAACAGCACATTATTTTGTAAAGGTTTCTGAAGACTAGAATGAAACCTTAGAGCCTACTTCCAGATGATATTCTACTTTCGTGCCTAACAATTTCCCCAGCATAGCACATTACCTAGTTTAAAAGATTGATCATTAAATTTTATCTGTATGGGTTTAATCTAAATGTGTGGAAGATTTGGGAACAATCTCTATTTTGCTGCTGATGTCTGATGTGAGAAAATAAGAGTAAAGGTGCATTTTGGTCATAATTTCTCTAGATTGTTGTAACACACTAAAAAGACTTCTCAGTTTCAATTTTGTCGTCCTTTTTTCTGTTTCAGGTATTACGAAGAGAAGCAAGGTTAGGTTGATCTTTATGTGAGATTGGCTCATGTAGTTTTTAGCAGTGTGCTCCAACAAATATTGTGGAAGGGTGGTGAGATCTCTTGGTGGTTTGTGGAACCAATCCGGATGCTCATCACACGCAAACATGGTCATTGCTGTTCGGATTCCTACCGAAATTCTTTTCTGCATGATGAAATAACTATACTAATCTTGAAATACAATTTCAATTTGTGTAAAACAAATGTTCATTTGCCAGGGCAGTTGATGTAAAGTTCTATGTCATTACTTCATCTTGGTGCTTATATGAACTCGGGTGGATTGGGTATTCAGGGATAAATTGATTTCGGGATCTTTTGTTGTAAGAGGACAAATCAGGTTCTTTACTCAATGTTTGAGAATCTTATATGGTCAGACATTTAGGATTTTCATCTTTTGATGGGTAGATGCTCGGTGTGTAAATAATACTAATAAACATGCTATGACAGGATGTCCAGAAAACAAAGTAAACATGTGAAAAATGAAATTTGGGACTTTTATGTGTAATAGTCGCACCCTCATAGCGCCTTGCCAAGGTGCTAATATCAGCAAAGGAAGTGGCCAGCTAGTGCCTACTACATCCTTCTAGCTCCATATCAAAAAGAATTTATAAGTGTGTCGAGTCTGGGTGTGGGCAAAATGTGTTCATGAGTGCGTTGTGTGAATTTTGGTTTTTGTTAATTGAAAAAAAAAAAAAAAATTAAAAAATATATATATATAGTGCTTCTTTCAGACATAGCAGCAGGATGTGTGTGCACTCTTCAAACACAGCACGCTAATAATTTCTCCTTCGTCGTTTCTGAGAACAATACCTCCACCATAATATTCTCCTTATGGTTCGCGTAATTGACTTTTCCAATTTGTTACCTCCGCTCAGATACCAGAAAAAGAAAATTAAATTTTTTTTTTTACATAGCACAAGATAATGTTTTTGCTAATCTGGCATCTAATTCGATAAGTGTGTTACTGAAGTATCGTTATAATGGAAAACCATTGTTACTATTAGTACTATTTAGGGGTGGTGGGACCATTGGGATATCACTGCACATGTTAATATTTTAATTCTGACTCATTTTCTAGAGATACAAAACTTAAAAAATCAAAGAGATTCCCACAGTCAGCAACAGCTTTCATAGCTCAGTTGGTTAGAGCACCCGTTTAGTAAGCGGGAGGTCTTGAGTTCGACTCTCAATGAAAGCAGAACTTAATTTTTTTCCTTGTGCTGCGTCTTAGTTGTTAACAAGCAAGGACGCTGATCTTTATCATCTCCTGTTTTTCATAATGAATGTAGTTCGACTCTCAATGAAAGCAGAACTTAATTTTTTTCCTTGTGCTGCGTCTTAGTTGTTAACAAGCAAGGACGCTGATCTTTATCATCTCCTGTTTTTCATAATGAATGTAGTTCGACTCTCAATGAAAGCAGAACTTAATTTTTTTCCTTGTGCTGCGTCTTAGTTGTTAACAAGCAAGGACGCTGATCTTTATCATCTCCTGTTTTTCATAATGAATGTAGTTCCTGCTAAACAAGATGTTAAACCTGGTTTGGTTATAACCGAATCTTCTATCATCTGCTGGTTGTAAAAGAAGGTTGCTACAAATCCTCATGTGCAACCACATGAGCTTGCCTCCTAAATAGACTTTCAAACCAGAACCTGTTTTTACAATTTGCCTCCAAATGAATTATGAGAGTGAGCAGGACTCTTCCTGAAACCAGAACAGGTATGGCACAATTTTACTTCAGAACTTATTTGAAAACTCGATTCCCACAACAATACAAAATCTTACACTTGAAATGTGTCTAGAATGAAGCTTCGATTCAAAAGTGTTGTGCATATGTAACTACGGCCAAGATAAATAACTATTTTATTGAGAGTGTAACTTTGATTTAAATGTGTTGCATTTTCCAGAAAAAGGTTGTTGCAATGCTGGATTTCAATGTAAATGTTTGTGTTTCACGAGTATTGCATCCTCAAAGTAAATGTGTTGGCTGGGTGGATGTTACATTCGGGTGTAACGGTGTTACAATACGGGAAGAATCCTCATTCCAACTTGACAACTCAATTTTCTCAAGGCAATAATGAAGAAACAGCAAACAACTCAATTTTCAAGGCTACGCAGGAACAACAGACCACCTGAATGAAAATCCAGAAAAACATGGCTTAGGAAATCCTCAATATTAAGCAAGATTGATATACAACCCTGGTATGAGCATTTTAAAATTCAAGAAGCTTTTAGTTCTATATTAAATTATAAAATCACGGATAAGATACAAAGTACCTGTTTTCATTCAAAACGAGGCCAGGATTTGATTTCAAGATGCCAAGTGTTACTTGGAAAAGAAAAGAAAAATTCATCCAAACAAACTTACTAATTAAACATGTAATAAAAATATGGTGTGGTTGTTAAATATTGATTAGATTATGATCATCAAAGAACTCACACATTCACTTTATTTATTTGAAAATTCGAAATCTTACCATCCATTTTGCGAAGTAGAGAAAATATCATTAAACCACAAGATAATCGGTGATCTCAAATATATCTCTATGAGTCTCTATTTTCTAAAAAGTTGATATCTCAAGAAAAATAGCTGAAATATTTACGAGTAAGTATTAAGAAGAAATAAAAGTACTCATGCCAATACTAATTCACTATTTCCTACACAAGAAAGAATTGATGGCCAGATGAGATTTTTATTAAAGGGGCATGCATAACCGCTATCCTGCGTCTTCAATATTTTTTCAACAGTGACAAGTACACGAACATTCACTTCAATGTATCAAATTGGATTGGTCATAGTAAATTGTATCAATTTTTTTTCTTAAAGTAAGCCAGAGCCAGAATTAAAATAGGTTACCTATTTGAAATCGATAAATTGACCATAAAAAAATAAGTTAATTGTTTTGTATTTTTAATATCCTAAAAACATCTTAACCCAGTGATGCAGTCAAGGGCGGGGGAAGGGGTGGGCGTAGGTGGGCTTCAGCCCACTCCAAAAAAGAATTTTTTTTTTTTTTTTTACTATACTACTTTTAGCCCAGTCCAAAAAAAAAAAAAAAAGCCCACCCAAAATAACCCAATATAGAATTAGCCCACCCCAATCAGTAACCCTGGATCCGCCCATGGATGCAGTGGACTTGCGTGGAGAGTTCGGTCATATTTGGTTAATTTCAATTTCCGAAAAGGTTAATTTCTATTTGTGTTTACTTCAGTATCTTTACACCCACGAAAACACTGAAATATTGAGCAATTAGAGTTCAACAAGGACAACAAGTTTCCAACTAAAGAAGGACTGGGGTGAATAGGCGGCGACTATAACTTGATCTCAAATCTTAGTCCAAGTCCGCTTAATAAAAGGCGGTTTATATATATATACCCTTAAAATCGTTCATTATTTACTTGTGCAAGAGGGTTGGTTTGTTTTTGTTGAGAGACAAGAGTGGAGATTAGAGAGAGAGAGAGAGAGATGATGGCTGCTGAGGTTGGATGGGTTTGGGCATCATTTCGTTTGTTTGAGTGGAACGAAACAGTTACCAGCAGTAATGAGGATGAAGGAGTGCTCATGCTTCGTGTATTCACTGTCACTACCGCGGTTGACGATTTCACTACCAAATTCGAAAACAAGGTCACTGTTTTCCCATTCAATCTCGAGCACTTAATGTCTCAACAAACCCTAGAATCAATGTTCTCTTGCCTCCTTCTATCCTCCCGCGTTTTCTTGAAAGACAGTAGTGCTCATGCTATGTCACAAAGTATGTCTTCCGCCCTTGTCAGAGATTATCACTTTACCCGCCACATGCCAAACACTCGGAGAAAATCCAAGATTGTCATCGTTGTAGATGTTTTTATCGGTGAAGAAGACGAGGATTTCTATATGGAGATGTTAGGGGATGACCATTCGGATATCTTAAAAGAGTTGGAAAAGTTTTGTCTAAATAGTAAACCAATTACGACTACTCATGAACCGAAAGTAGTTTTGAAACACATTAACATTGGAGTGAAGATCAGCAAATTGACTGACGATGATGATAGACCAGAAGAAGAATACGAGTGTCCCATATGTCTGAAGGGATTCTTGACGGGGACAGTGGCTGCAACGCTACGATGTTCGCACGTATTCCATGCTGATTGCATGAACAAGTGGTTGTCGGAAAGTAATTCATGTCCATTGTGCCGATCACTTTGTGCTACCGTAGTTTATATATGAATACTTTCAATATGTTGCAATGACTATTTGTATCATCTAATATTGTACTGGCAATAATTCCGTAGCCTTTCTAAATTTTGTAATTTGTAATTGATTCAATTGTGACAATATGTATGGTGCAATTTCCGAAAAAAAAATTATATGTATGGTGCTAAAGATTTCTCTATCCCTTTTTCTTTACTTTGGGTGCGTATATTTATGTTGTCATTTAAAACGCGGCCAGGATTTGATTTTATGATGCCCAGTGTTCTTTGGAAAAAAAAAAAAAAAAATCATCCAAACAAACAAACTTACTAATTAAACATGCATGTAATAAAAATGTGGTGTGGTTGTTAAATTTTGATTAGATTATGACACTATAATACTCAACAATTTATTCCCGACTCTCCGAGTCATGCATAGTTCGTCAATGTTTTCACTTGATCTCAAATATATAAATATATATTTGTCATAAACAAGAAACTCACACACATTACTCACATACCCACTTTATTCCTTTGAAGACTCGCATGACAGTGTCTTAGCTACAACCCTCCACAATCACCCATTGTCATTTACATTTACGTGTGAAGGAAATGATTTTTATTTTCATCTTCAATTAATAATAAAAAAGGAAAAATTGTTTAGATGAGTTTTTGTTTCCTTAAAAAGGGTTTCTATTTCAAGAATAATACATATCTTCTTGACGCACACGCACAACGCTTATCAATTAAAGTCCTATGTAGGAGTGCAAGCGTACACTTTAAGCAAGAGAGGCGGCGACTATAACTTGATCTCAAAGTTATCCAAATCCTAGTCCAAGTCGGCTTAGTAACAAAGGCGGTTTCTATATATATATACCCTTAGATCCGTTCATTAATTACTTGTGCAAGAGGGTTTGTTTGTTTTTGTTGAGAGACAATTAGAGTGGAGTTTAGAGAGAGAGAGAGAGAGAGAAAGAGATCGATGATGGCTGCTGAGGTTGAAAGGATTTCTGCCGCAACAATGGGTGTGTTTGAGTGGAGCGAAACAGTTTCCAATAGTAATGAGGATGAAGGAGGAGTGTTCATGCTTCGCGTATTCACTGCTACTACCGCGGTTGACGAATTCACTACCAAATTCGAAAGCAAGGTCAATGTTCTCCCATTCAATCTCGAGCACTTACTGTCTCAACAAACCCTAGAATCACTGTTCTATCGTCTCATTCTATCCTCCAGCCTTTTCTCGGAAGACAGTAATGCTCTTGCTGTATCACAATGTGTGTCTTCCTACCTTGTCAGAGATTATCACTTTACCCGCCACTTGCCAAACACTCCGAGAAAGTCCAAGATTGTCATCGTTGTAGATGTTTTTATCGGTGAAGAAGAAGATGATTCCCATTTGGAGCTGCTAGGGGATGGCCGTTCGGATATCTTAAAAGAGTTGGAAAAGTTACGTCTAAATAGTAAACCAATTACGACTAGTCATGAACCCAAAGTAGTTTTGAAACACATTGACATTGGAATGAAGATCACCAGATTGATTGACGATGATGATAGACCAGAAGAAGAATACGAGTGCCCCATATGTTTACAGGGATTCTTGACGGGGACATGGGCTGCAACGCTACGATGTTCGCACGTATTCCATGATGCTTGCATGCTCAAGTGGTTGTCGGAAAGTATTTCATGTCCATTGTGCCGATCACTTTGTGCTACTGTAGTTCATATATGAATACAGTCAATATGTTGTACGTAATGACTATTTGTATCATCTAATATTGCACTGGCAATAATTCCGTAGCCTTTCTAAATTTTTTAATTTGTAATTGATTCAATTAATGTGACAATTATATGTATGGTGCTAAAGATTTCTCTATCCCTTTTTCCTAACTTTGAGTGTGTATATATATATATGTTTTCATTCAAAACTCCGCCAGGATTTGATTTCAAGATGCCAAGTGTTATTTGGAAAAAAAAAATTTCAACTGAACAAACTTACTAATTAAACATGTAATAAAAATATGGTTTGGTTGTTAAATATTGATTAGATTATGACCATATAATACTCAACAATTTATTTCTGACTCCCCCAAGTCATGCATGGTCCGTCAATATTCCCACTTGATCTCAAATATATAAATATATATTTGGCAAGAAACTCACACACACCAGCCACTCACACACCAGTTTTATTCCTGACTCGAAATCTCTTACCATCTATTCTATTTTGAGAAGTAGAGAAGATACTATTAGACCACAAGATAATTGGTGATCTCTTCTAAACAGTTAATATCTCACGAAAAATTGATGAAATATTTACGAGTAAGTATTAAGAGGGAAAAAAAAACGTACTCATGCTAATACTAATTGACTATTTCCTAGACAAAAAAGAATGGATGAATGAGATTTTTATTGGAAGAGTAATACGTAACCGCTATCCTCCGTCTTCAATATTTTTTTGGGTAAGTAATCGTGAATTAAAATAGGTTACCTATTTGAAATCGATAAAGTGAAAAAAAAAAAAAAAAAAAAGTTAATTGTTTTGTATTTTTAATATCCTAAAAACATCTCAATCCAATGACGCAATGGATTTGCGTGGAGAGTACGGTCATATTTGGTTAATATCAATTTCCAAAAAAGTTAATTTCTATTTGTGTTTACTTCAGTATCTTTACATCCACGAAAACACTGAAATAAAGGAGGACTGGGGTGAATATAACTTGAATAATAGATTTTTTTGGTTTACAGAGAACCGAATCCGGAGAGAGATGACGGCTATGGTTGAAAGAATTTATGGTGCAAAAGTTCGTGTATTGGAGTAGAAGGAGGACTACTTTTCCGGCAATAACGTTTCCGAATCCGAAGCAGTGTTCATACTCCGTGCATATACTGGTACTGGTGGTGTTGAGGAAGTCACTGAATTCCCAGTTAAGGACGTCCATGTTTTCACATTCAACCTCCATCACTTACTATCTCCACACTCCTTACAATCATTCTTCGATTGCCCCATTCTATCCACACCAGTTTTCTTAGAAGACGGTAACGCCCGTGCTTTATCAGACACTATCTTTACCTACCTTGCTTGTAATTATCAGTTTACCAGCAAGCTAAACTCGTTTCTCTTGAGAAAGTCCAAGATTGTGGTCATCGTTGTAGATGTTTTTCTGGAGAGATTTGTGGACAACACCATAATTAAGGAGGGCTTTTATTTGGAGTTACTAAGGAATGACGATTATTTGGATATTCTTAGCACGTTAAGGTCTTATTTACATATTGAACCAACTCCGACCCATGAACCTGCTGACGTTTTGAAAGAAATTGAGGGTGCAGTGAAGGTCAACAGATTGATTGATGGTCATAGATCACCGGCAGATAAGTGTCGGATATGTCTGCAGGGGTTCTTGATGGGGACAGATATTGCAACAATGCCATGTTCGCACGTATTTCATAGTGATTGCATCTTCGAATGGTTGCCGCAAACCAATTCCTGCCCTATTTGTGGATCCGTTTGCGCTACTGTAGTTCATATATAATTAATTTCTGTTTTTATGTCTTTGATAGTTCTCATTCAATGTAATACCCCTCTTCTAATTAATCTTCTGAAGTGTGAGAGTTTGGTTCTGAAGGTCCCTATATATTGTGTGTGGCATACATATATATATATATAATAGTAGCATCGAGTCCCCGCAGTACATGAGAATAAACAGATGAAGGCTTTACATATTGCTAGCTCCCATAGAGCGAATCGGCTGATGTAGGCGAGGTGGTGGTGTTGAACAGCTGATGTAGGTGAGGTGGTGGTGTTGAAGGTTATGGTGTCGGTGAGGTATAGTGTTGAAGGGCTGATGTCGGTGAGGTGGTGTTGAAGGGTGGTGTTGGTGTCGGTGAGTTGGTGGAGTTGAAGGGTACTTAGTGTTGGTGTCGGCGGGGCGGTGGCGGTGTCGGTGTCAGTGAGGTGTATGATAGGGATAACTGGATATGGTGTCGGTGAGAATAAGTTTTTTTTTGGTTTCGGTAATGATGGGGAGTATTACAACAGACATATGACATTTTAGAGTGTTAATGTAAACAAGTGCATTAGTTAAGTAATAGCGACCCAAACATTACAGTGTGCCTATATAATTTATCAAATATAAAGTTATGAAAATAAATTTCCATATATAATTTACCAAATATAAAATTGTGAAAATAAATTTCCAGGCACAATCTTTTTTTTAGTGGTCAGAGAATAGACTCATCCATTAATCTAAGACACGGTATTTTTATCAGGTCACTCACTCAGTACAAACTCACTCGCTCGGTTCACAACATCAAAGACGGATATCACGTATCGCTCTCATTCATGCTCTCTCCTCGGTATCAACGGACTGAATATCTTCTCTCTCCTAGGCATCGCCGGACTGAATCTCCTCATCCACTTCCATTGCCTCTCTCAAAGTTCTCGCCGATCAATTCCGGAGAACAATCAGTGAGTCAAAGAACGTCATTGATAGAATTTCATGTTGTGGTTGTATAATATATTATTGATTCTCAATGTATACATAGTAGCTTGCACTTGCGACTGATTTGAAAGATTTTTTTTGAGTTTGATTTAGGGCTGTGAAATTGGCTTCGACTGATTTGAAAGATTTTTTTTTATTTTGATTTAGGGCTTTGAAATTGGCTTCAAAATGCAATAGAAAGTCTATGTTGCCTCTCAGTTCCACCATTAAATCAAATCTTCAAACTTCTCCAGCTTCCTCTACTTAGCAGATCCACTTCGTCACCTATCCACAAATTCTTCTTTTCCAGGTTCCTCTCTTTATATATCCAAATTCTGTGATATATGTACATTGCAGAGTTGAATATTTGCTTATTTTAAAGGTATGACTTCAAAGCTCCTTGCAAGGTTGTTTGGTTCAAGTGTCTACTTTGTTCTTGCTGTTATAGAATTATACAATAAATTGTGCACTGTGTGGTTTGTATTATATTTATACAAATTAGTACTCCACTTCTAAATTATCATGGATTTAAATCCTTGAAGAATCAACTATGAAGTGATCTATATTTTACCACAATAGCTAAATTACATGTTCCAGCTAGAAAATCTCTGTTTGTTTTGTCGACCAGGAATTGAGTACCTTGCTGCATTGGCTGAGGCTCTTACATCTAACCTGATAGGGAATGACTTTATTTTCTTGAACTTTGAATGATGAGTTAGTATTTCCTTGGGCATTATGGAAGAATATAGAACAAGTATTAAATAGCATTCACAACCTAATAAATAGCATTCATCATTAGGTTGTGATAACATTTTCAATTGAACCTCTTCTAACATATTTCGAGCTGCACATTGGTATGTATGAACACGTACTGTTATTTTCCTCCATTCTCTAATTTTAATCTTAACATTATGAAGCTTTTCAGTCAGAAATATGTAGTGTCACCACAAACACTGATTTCCCAGGCCGGTCTTTTGCATGACTAAACTAATCATCAAAGATTTTTCTGTTTAATTATTATTATTATTATTATTTTATTTATTTATTTATTTATTTTTCACCCACATCGCTGATTGAGATTTTGGTAAAATTCAATCAACGATTTCGCCCACATCCCCATCTCTCTCTCTTTATCTTTCACAGCTACACACTCCTAACTAGCAAAATCATTTCATCATCATTCTCTCACACATACCCCTATGTCCTCACCACTTTCTCTCTCTTCCAAACTGTCTCTCTCTGCACTCTCACATCTCTACAATCGTCTTGACCCATCTCATCTTCCTGCTCATAACTCTCACCACTCTCTTCAGCACCGTCACTTCCGAGTCCAACTCGGACCGAGTCATAAAGTCCCAAACCACCTTTGCGCAGTTCAGCATCAAAGTCCTTCCTCACTATCTGAATGGCGGCGGCATAGAGCTCTGAAGAAACCACCGACGATGATGATGAACTTGGAAGACGCCGGTGAGTTTGGGTGAATTTTCCGGCAATAATGAACTTACCGACTGTGGACAAAGAGCTAACGGACTACTGCCCGGTGAGCCGCCCTCTTGAGCCGTTGGAGGACTTAGCGAAGTCAACGATTTTGCAGAGAGAAATCAAGCAATCATCGGCATGGTTGTTGAGTTTCTGATCGATTGAACTACTTCTTGCTTTGAAATTGGAGGAGTGGTCAGATTCCGGTGGCTGATCGGATCAGAGGTGGATGAGATGGCGGAGGGTGAGGTTGAGGACGAAGTCAGTGGTGTCGAGGATCTGCATGGTGGCGGGACAGGTTTTGTGGCCGGATTCGAGCCAAGTCTGGATGCTGGAACGGTTGTAGATGACGTCGGTAAAGATGAGAGCTTGCCGCCGGAGTTTGGTTGATGGGTTGGGTTCTTTGTATCTGTAGATGAAGAAGTCGATGGACTTGAGATGTTGAAGAATAGAAGGTGAGCTAGCGAGTCTGGGTGGTTGTTGATGTGGGTCTTCTTGGGTTTGTGGTTGTTGTCGCTGGTTTGCTAGGCTAGAGGTGAAGAAAATGGTGCCGATCATGACATTGATGGTGACAAAGGGTGATTGGTATCACCAGGATGGGTCTGTGCAGAGAGAGAGAGATTGGAGGAGAGAGAAGATGGCTTATGTGTGATGTATTTTGCCGACGTGGATATTCCTTTCTCTCTCCTGGGCATTGGTGTATGTTGGAGGTAGTTTGGTCACAAAAATAGTCAACACGTAGTCAAATGGTAGCATAGTCATTTAACATCTCAAAAGTACTTTGACCCGACCAAAAATTGACATTTAGGGTGTAAGTGAAATGCTAAACTACTAATTCAAATGTGAGTGAAATTTAAAACCAAAATCTTCATCTAACAGAAATATGGCCTAACCTCAAGGGGTGTGAGTGTAATCTGCCCTAAAACATAACAAAATCAATGTCTTTCAACTCTTATAATGGATTTCTAAGGAAGGTGTAGCTTATAGTTGTGAGAGTCATGAAAGTGTAAAGAAGCAATAAAGTAATTAATAAAATATGTTCAAATCCTGTCTAGTTTAATCAATTTTACATGAAGATACGCGTCCGGACACGGGAAAGACATGGTAGCGATACGCCGGACGACACGGAAACTCAAACAATCCCACCCCTACTCTTCTCCTTCCCCTCCCACCTTTTCTCCATAAATCGGTTAACGCCTTCGGCTCTGTCGCTATATCCGGTGGCGCCGATGGCACCATAAAGACTTAAGATTTCTCAACCTCCGGCAACCTCACACCACTCATCCTCCGTCATCGCCCCTCTCATTCTTCACCCCGTCCTTCCCTCGCAACTTGTTCTCCACCTCCAAAGACGGCGTTGTCTAGAGTGGGTAGTGATTCGTGCTTTGCTCTGTTGCTGAGGTTCCGCAAGACCTGATGCAGGCAAGGTGCATACAGAAGCAGAGAAGAGGTCAAGGTTGATGTGAATGGATAAATCTGCTTTGGTACTCTAATGTATACTGTATCATGATAAGTTTTGTCATTTCTTCTCCTTCAGGCATAAAGCCAGAAGTGGATTTTGTTGGATGTTCCATTTTATTTGGGGAACAATTGAGTAACAGTAGTAATTAAAGAAAAAAACGAAAAGAAAAAAGAATGGAATGATACTGATACCATGACTTGTGTATAAACCTGGTAATTATATGGTCCTGGCAGTGGACCTGGATAGACTGCCTGGTAGGTTTTAAGAAAGGAGGGTGAAGTAATCTTTTTTTACCTCATACAGGCTTTTTGATTTATTAGCATGCTTTAACTTTTTTAACATCTTCAAGTGGCAATGACTTTTAAGTGTTACTGGAAGATGTATTATATTAACTTTGGAGATAATAATAATCCATTACAGTGATGAGCGTGGGGGGAATGCATCAATATCTTATGTTGGGTGGGATATCATAGTGGAGCAATGATACATTTTTCGAATTCGGAGGGTGTTCCGAGTTGGAGATGGTGTGGTGTGGATCTTACCACATGATGTCATGTGGTGGGTGGGATTCATGTTCCCATTTACACAAAACTCAATCGATGATATTATTAAAATTTGGAGGATGTATAATTTTTCCATTATAATGAGATATATCGATGATGTTGTGTAGGTGCTGCATTCTCACGAAATTCCAGTTTATACCCATGTCAGGACAATTTGGCTAGATAAGTCACCATAGACGTGCTAACTTCTTTAAAATTATAAATTTATCCGGATGGCTTAATTTAAGGGTAATTAACCCAACCCATGCAGTGTCTTGTTGGCATCAAAACTGTTTTATGGCTACAACAACTCTCCACAATCACCGGTTGTCATTTACATTTACCTGTGAAGGAAATAATTTTTATTTTCATCTTAAATTTATTTAGATGATAAGGGCATTATGGTACTTTCACACCGCAAAAGGGTCTGTTTCTTTCCAAAAATAATAACAAAGGGAAAATTGTTTAGATGAGTTTTTGTTTCCTTAAAATGGTTTTTATTTCAAGAATAGTTTTCGTTTCCTTAAAGAGGGTTTCTATTTCAAGAATAATACATATCTTCTTCACGCACAACGCTGATCAATTAAAGTCCTAAGAAGGAGTGCAAGCGTAAACTTTAAGCAAGGGAGTCGGCGGACGATAACTTGATCTCAAATTAATCCAAATCATAGTCCAAGTCGGCTTAATAACAATGGCGGTTTCTATATATATACCCTTAAAATCGTTCATTAATTACTTGTTTGTTTGTTTTTGTTGAGAGACAATTAGAGTGGAGATTAGAGAGAGAGAGATGATGGCTGCTGAGGTTGAAAGGGTTTCTTGCGCATCAATGCGTCTGTTTGAGTGGAACGAAACAGTTTCCAGCAGTAATGAGGATGAAGGAGGAGTGTTCATGCTTCGCGTATTCACTGCTACTACCGCGGTTGACGAATTCACTACCAAATTCGAAAGCAAGGTCAATGTTTTCCCATTCAATCTCGAGCACTTACTGTCTCAACAACCCTAGAATCAATGTTCTCTTGCCGCCTCCTATCCTCCCACGCTTTCTTGGAAGACACTAATGCTCTTGATGTATCACAAAGTATGTCTTCCTACCTTGTCAGATATTATCACTTTACCCGCCGCATGCCAAACACTTCGAGAGATTCTAAGATTGTCGTCGTTGTCGATGTTTTTATCGGTGAAGAAGAAGAGGGTTCCCATTTGGAGATGCTAAGGTATGACCATTCGGATATCATAAAAGAGTTGGAAATTTCTTATCTAATTAGTAAACCAATTTCGACTACTCATGAACCGGAAGTAGTTTTGAAACTAATTGAGACGGGAGTTAAGATTACCAGATTGATTGACGATGATAATAGACCAGAAGAAGACTTCGAGTGTCCGATATGTTTGCAGGGATTCTTGACGGGGACATTTGTTGCAACGCTACAATGTTCGCACGTATTCCATGATGATTGCATGTGCAAGTGGTTGTCGGAAAACCATTCATGCCCGTTGTGTAGATCACTTTGTGCTACCGTAGTTCATATATGATCACTGTTGTACTGGCAATAATTTCATAGCCTTGGTAAATTTTGTAGTTTGTAATTGATTCAATTGTGACAATATGTATGGTGTTAAAGATTTCTCTACCCCTTTTTCCTAACTTTGAGTGTGTATATATATTTTGTTTTCATTCAAAATGCGGCCAGGATTTGATTTCAAGATGCCCAGTGTACTTGGAAAAAAAAAATAATTTCAAACCAAACAAACTTTACTAATTAAATATGTAATAAAAATATGGCGTGGTTGTTAAATATTGAGTAGATTATGACCATATAATTTTTTAAAAAGTTTATATCTCCAGAAGAATAGATGAAATATTTACGAGTAAAAGAAAAAAAAAAAAAATTCTCAAGCCAATACTAATTCACTGTTTCCTACACAAGGATGGATGCATGAGATTTTAATTGGAGGGGTATTACATAACCACCATCCCTGGGTCTTCAATATTATTTTAAAAGTTACAAGTACATGCATAAGAACATTCACTTCAATGTATCAAATTGGATTGGTCTGGTCATATTAAATTTTTTTTTTTTTTTGGGTAAGTAACTGAGAATTTAAATAGGTTACCTATTTGAAATCGATAAATTGACCATAAAAAAAATAAGTTCATTGTTTTGTACTTTTAATACCCTAAAAACATCTCAATCCAATGATGCAATGACTTTCGTGGGAGAGTGCGGTCATATTTGGTTAATTTCTTGATCTCAAAATCAGGTTAATTACTTGTGTAAGAGATTTTTTTGGTTTACAGAGAACCGAATCTGGAGAGAGATGACGGCGATGGTTGAAAGAATTTATGGTGCAAAAGTTCGTGTATTGGAGTGGAAGGAGGACTACTTTTCCGGCAATAAGGTTTCCGAATCCGAAGCAGTGTTCATACTCCGTGCATATACTGGTACTGGTGGTGTTGAGGAAGTCACTGAATTCCCAGTTAAGGACGTCCATGTTTTCAGATTCAACCTCCATCACTTACTATCTCCACACTCCTTACAGTCATTCTTCGATTGCCCCATTCTATCCACACCAGTTTTCTTAGAAGACGGTAATGCCCGTGCTTTATCAGACACTATCTTTACCTACCTTGCTTGTAATTATCAGTTTACCAGCAAGCTAAACTCGTTTCTCTTGAGAAAGTCCAAGATCGTCGTCATCGTTGTAGATGTTTTTCTGGAGAGATTTGTGGACAACACCATAATTGAGGAGGGCTTTTATTTGGAGTTACCAAGGAATGACGATTATTTGGATATTCTAAGCACGTTAAGGTCTTATTTACATATTGAACCAACTCCGACCCATGAACCTGCAGATGTTTTGAAAGAAATTGAGGGTGCAGTGAAGGTCAACAGAGTGATTGATGGTCAAAGATCACCGGCAGATAAGTGTCGGATATGTCTGCAGGGGTTCTTGATGGGGACAGATGTTGCAACAACGCCATGTTCGCATGTATTTCATAGTAATTGCATCTTCGAGTGGTTGCCACAAACCAATTCCTGCCCCGTTTGTGAATCAGTTTGCGGTACTGTAATTCATATATAATTAATTTCTGTTTTTATGTCTTTGATAGTTCTCATTCAATGTAATACCCCTCGCTCTTCTAATTAATCTTCTGATTCAAGTGTGAGAGTTTGGTTCGGAGGGTCCCTATATATTGTGTGTGGTATTTATATGTATATATAATAGTAGCATTGAGTCCCCGTGGTACATGAGAATAAACAGATGAAGGTTTTACATATAGCTAGCTAGCTCCCTTAGCCCCTTGTGCAAAGTTTGTTTCTTGAAATTTGAGAACTGACCCATCAAACCAAACAAATCAAGTAGCATAAATGAATCGAAATTCCTTTCAATTTGTGTAACACAACCTGTAACAATGTAATTAGAAAAAATATTATTTTCAATATTGACATAATCTCAATGATCAGGGGTGGACCTAAAACTTTAGGTAAGGGGAAAGGCTATTGGGGGGAGGGGTATGCTTACTCACCCAAAACACTTGTTAAATCCAACACACTTGTTAAATCCAACGATTTGATTCCATTGAACGCCACAAACTTTCAACATTAAGTAGAAAAAATAGAATATGTTATAGGGGTGTTCAAATAATTCGTCAATCCGTACACTTCGGTTTAGTTTTCTAGTTTTGTGGTTCGGTGATGGTTTGAAAAATTAATAATTCATAATAGCCGAATCGGTTAACTGATTGAATGCTCAAAAAACCGAACCGATATGTAAAACTAATTCGTGACCGATCAATTCAATTCACACACACACACACAGGAAGCATTGAATACAAAAGAGAGTCTAGGAAAATTCAAAGCCATATGACAGGCCATATGCAAAAAGCCTATTTTACACATTTTTTTTTATTTTACAAAGCTATGAGCTATGTGCAAAAGTTTAAAAGCATACATAAAAAGTACTTCATCTATTTAAAAAGAATGCCTATTTTTCCTTTTTGGATTGTTCTAAAATAATTGTTCATTTTTATTTTTTAAACAATGTATTTTACATCTTTTCATATATCATTGGAGTTTAAATTTTAAATTTGAATATTCAAAATTTAAAAAGGCAAGTTAGTAACTTTTTAGGGAAAAATACATAGGCCACATGTCCCCTTAAAAATTTCTAGTCTTTAAAAAAGACATTCTTTTTGGGATAGAGGGAGTAATAAAAACAAAATACCCCACTCACTAGTCAAGCAGGCGTGCCTTTAACATATGCTCCCCTCCTATTATGCTCCCCTCCTATTAAGCTTGGTATCGGGTAGCGAAGATTGCATTGAAATTTTCACAACTTCATATCAATTTCTTTCATTTCATAGTACACACTCTCACATAGGAGAGTCGCCTCTCATCAACCAAAGCTAGAGCATAACATATCTCCTTTCTTCTCTGGCAAATCTTCTTTCTTCTCTAGTCTTCTCCGGCAAATCTACTTTCTTCTCTGGTAAATCAACTTCACAACATGGCAAATCTTCTTTCTTCTTCGACAAATCTTCTTCCTTCTATACTCACGACAGCATTGTCGACCCTCGATCTATTAAAAACGTGCAATTCGTAAAACCGAACCGATCGAATTCGTTATTTCACAAATTGTTTGATTTGGTTTGAGTATTCATACGGAATGGTTTGGTTCGGTTTGAGTATTCACATTGATCGATTTAGTTTCACAATTTATCAATCCGTTGAGACCAGATTGGATTACCTTTGACCCCTAAACCGAACCGATCCGAACCGTAATTAAACCCTAGTATGCTAGATTTTCGGATCGGTTTTTTGAGCTTTTATTATTTCTCAAAAAGATAATACAAAGTAATATTTTGTCTGAATTTGGTCAATTCGAATTGCTATTATATAAATGAGGTGGTGCCCTCGTCACATGACATTACAACAAATTAATCATGGTTAATTTAATCAAAACATAGTTAGGCCGGCATGCAGGGTCTTCTTGGGGCCCAGAAGTGGCCGAAGGCAGCTAACTGTCCTGAATTATCCATTGCCGTTTACACTTGGATGTCAAATTGGATTGGTCATGTTAAAATGGGTTATCCTATCTAAAATTAATTTATTTGACCTTATAAAAATAAATTGATTTTTTTGTATTTTTTATATCTTAAAAACACGTGATCCAATTATGTGATGGCATATGTGCAATAGTAAGAGTAGGGTTATATTTGCTTTAAAAAAATTTATTTCCTAAAAGTTTTTATATATATATTTCCTCCAAAAATTCAAGCAATAAGGATTATTAACAAGAATATAAGATTCAACTAAAATAAAAAACAAGAATATGAGCCTGAAGACAAACTTCAACAGGCCGAAAGAGACAATCCAATAAATTGGACATACAAAAAAAAACCAACAACATTTAAAGGGTACGACTTAGCTATTTGGAGACGGCCCAAAAAAGCCCAACCCAGACTTAGAACTAAAAAGTGGTCCAAAAGAAGCAAACCCAGCGATTACTATTAAGGTAACCTAATCCGGTGGCATCATAGAAGTTTCCATTTTGCGTCTCCTACTTCAACATCTTTAAAATATACACAAACCACCAAGGAGCTAGAACAAGTTTTGCAACAAAAGCAAAAGAGTCGGTGAATACAATTTGATCTATATATATATATATATATATATATATATCTGTGCAAGAGTTGTTTTTTGGTTTAGAGACAGATATGGCGGTGGTTGAACAGATCAATTACAGCGAAAGAGTTAGTGTGTTCGAGATGAAGGAGTACTTTTCCAGCAGTGAGGTTTCAGAATCCGAAGGAGTGTTCATACTCCGCGAGTATAGTAATACTGGTGTCGAGGAAGACACTAAATTCTCCATTAACAACGTCCAAGTTATCCCATTCAACCTCCATCATTTACTGTCTGCAAACTCCTTACAATCATTGTTCGATCGGCTCTTCCTATCCACACTAGTTTTGTTGGATGAAAACAATGCTCGTGTTGTATCAGAAGCCATCTTTAAATACTTCGTTTGTAATTTTCAATTTACTTGCACTCCAAACCCCACAAAGCCAATAATTGTTATTGTTGCTGATGTTTTTGTGGAGAGATTTGTTGACATTATAAAATCTTCTTTGCCCGAGGATGAGTACTCGATTTCGGACATTCTGAGCACGGTAGGTATTGAACCAATTGCTACCCATGAATCTGGAGAACAAGTTTTGAAAGAAGTTGAGAAAGGTGTGAAGATCAATACATTGATTGATGATGATACATCACCAACAACAGATAGGTGTCCCATATGCCTGCAGTGGTTCTTGACGGGGACACATTTTGCATTAACGATGCCATGTTCCCATGTATTTCACTGTGATTGCATCTTTGAGTGGTTGCTAAAAAAGAATTCCTGCCCTATGTGTCGATCACTTTGCGCAACCGTAGTTCATATATAATCAGCTAGTTTATCTCTTCAATTGTTTCATTCATTGTACTGACAGTAATGTCACATACTCTCTAAAATCTTGTGATTCAAGCTTAAGATTTTGGTTCTAAAGTCCCCCATCTTTTATGTGCATGGCAGTACTTCAATGTTATGTGAATTTTCTTTTTCTAAACTTAAATAGCATGCATTTAAGGAGGTATACAATAATTTAAGTTGTAATATATATATTAATTTTTTTTATGGGTGAAATGCTATGCATATTAGTTGATCAGATAAAACAATAGAGATTTTATTTTTAAATTTTTATTATTTTTTGAGTCAATGTTTTGTATGTCAATAGTGAAAATTTTAAGTTCTTTTTCACATTCAAACAAATAGGCAATGTCAACTTTAGTATCAAGTCATTGATGTAATTTTCTAACACTTATATTTTTTTTTTTCGAAGAAAACAAAAATCCTATTAGTGGTGAGATGTGATCGATTTTCAAGTGAAGAGATTTTTATTTTTATTTTTATTTTTTTGGTACTTACCTTTTTATTATTTTAATTAGTGATATTAGTAACTATTAAATTTAAAAATTATAAGTAGTAACATTGATTTTGTGTTATAAGGAAGGCATATATGTGAGTTTGGAATGTGAAATTCTCGCTGCAAACAAACAAATGATGACCATTAGATTTAATCTAATGATCGCTATAGAAAGTGCGGACAAATTTTTTTACTCCACAGAAAATAAGAAATTAATACTCATATATATATATATATATATATGTTTATAATATATAAAACAAATAAGTGTCTTTCAACTCTTATGCTATGGATTTCTAAGGTGGGTGTAGCTTATAGTTGTGATTTGTGAAAGTCGAGAAAGTGTAAAGAAACAATAAAGTAATTAATAAAAAATGTTCAAAACCTGTCTAGTTTAATCAATTTAAGATGTAAAGATATGTAAGTTAGGCACGGTAGGGGTTTGATTTCCGTATATTCACTCATATAGTGTGTTTTTTGTGTGAGTGGATTTTATGGGGTAACGGTATCATATTTGACCGTTGTGATCGCTCACATGTGTGAATCGCTAGCATAGGTTAAAAACAGAAAGTGAAGTATAAATGTGTAAGCTGAGATTAATTCAATGTGAATATCATTACTGAAATCATACTTTGAAAGGCGTAACATCGATTGTGGCATGAACTGATAGTCGGTGACGGCTCTAAACTATAAATTGCTCAACTAAAATTGCTTTAATTTTGGGTATTTAATCTTTCTTGACTTTTTTTGTTGTCTTAAAAAGACCCAAATATGGAAATCCGGTTTTTTTTTTTTTTTAGTTGGTACTCATACACGTCTCTTTTGAGACTTGAAATTTTGACCTTTCTTTAGAAAGTAGGAGACTGATACTGCTAGACCATTGGTCAATTTTGGGTACGAAGTATTTGATGTTTGTGTCTGAAATGTGTCAAAGATGGTTTCTATTCCACACGTTAGAAGTGAAGGTTCTTTATTTTGTGATTGTAGTATATGTATGTCTTTAATTGTTTCATTCAATGCTACCCCTCTTTTAATTAATCTTCTAATTCAAGAATAAGAGTTTGGTTCTAACACTCCCTATATATATATATATATATATATATATTTTCTCTGTTCTAAATCAAACGTTGCCTTTGAGAATTGTGACTCACAACAATGTAAATTATAATTCTAAAGACGACGTTTAATGTGAGTCACAGTTCTCAAATACGACGTTTAATTTGGAATAGATAGAGTATAAAATAATAACATTGAGTCTTGTAGATGAAGATACAAGAAATTCCTTCCCTCTTTCTCTC